GGGGGGGGCGCTCTGTTAGGGCTCGTCTCAGTCGCCTATCCGGTAGGGCTGAGACGGCGGTGAGCGACCAAAATAGCTGGTCCTCGTCCTGCTGCAGCGCGGGAAAAATCGACGGCCCGGTCGGCCTCTCCGTCCGCCTGCCCAGTGCTGGCCCGCAACAAGCAGACGCCAAAGCACCGTTTCCAGCGAGCTCGTCGCCTCCACCGTCCCCGCCCCGCAACTATGAGCCGAATAGCTACGCCCTCCATGCGCGCCTTCCAGCCCGTCTTTCGCCCGCTTGGACTGCGCCCGGCGCCCGCCCTCTCAGCGCTGGGCCGCCTTCCGCTCGTCACAGCTCAGCACGCGGCAACAAGCCAGACCACCCCGTTCTCTACAACAGCCGTCCTGCAGAAGAGAGGCAAGGGTCCGAAGAAGGATGCGAGAATAGGTGAGACGGCCTGTTGTTTCCAGTGGCGCCAATTGCCCAAACCATGCGTGGCTGCCGAAGAAAGGATTTCGTGCTGATCTCATCTTTTTTTTTTCCTTTGCTGTACAGTCCAAATCCGCTACCATCTCTTTCACCCGCGGACGCCCCGTCCACTCCGCTTCTCCCGCCTTCGCGCCTTGAGGCATTGGACCATCCACCGCGCCTGGATGTTGTTCAAGAGGAACCAACGTCGCGAACAGGAACTCGAGCTTGAACGACAGTACAACTCAATGCGGAATGCGTGTGAGGAGTTGAGGTTGATGGATGACAATGGCATGCCCGGCCCGGAGACGGCGAAGAATGTCGGTCGCCTGTATAGGACCGCTATGATGAAGACCGGGATCTGGGACGGCGTCCCCATTGAGTACGCGAGATTACAGGTTGATACACCCTCGAAGGATGGCTGGAACCACGAGTGGAAACGGTAGGGGAGTTTCGGGTTTTGGAGGCGGACGGGATGTGTAGAAAGAAAGGGTGAATAGAGCAGTCAACAGTGCTGCGCTCATTGTAACAACATAACGAGGAACACCTGATCAGTTGATTTATAAGTAAACCTGATGTCTTCTAGGGACTTTTTTTTGTTTTCAAGGAAGTATAGTAGCCCATAGTAGGCCTAATGCCCACTGCCAGCATAAGCCTGATGGACCATTAAAGCAGTTCAACGCGGTATTGGCTGTCTGGCTCCAATCAAGAAACCTTGACTGCTCAACCCCAAACCAAACCATTCGCAGCATCTTGACCTTACGCTCTCAAATTCCATGCAGTAGAGTGAGTGACCCTTGTCTCAATGTCACAGACAAAGTTTAGACTGGCCAAGCAACCAGAAGGTCCTTCCATATACGAGCTATTGCAGTATCTCAGTTACGATACAATAACCCAAAACAAAAGACCGACCCTTTCTCCAGCGGGACCCAGGCCACAATTTCGAATCTGAGATGAAAGGCTTGGATTACCAACGAATGCGGTCCAGCCAGCCCGAGCGGCGCATGGACTGAACTGAGTCGGACAAACAATGTAGGCGAGCCGCTAAACAAATATCAAAGGAGCGTATCGATGGTATCATCCGTCATTAAGCGTCACCGCTGCCTTGAAACGAAACGAAGAATTTTGATCCGACGAGAACGAACTGAACAGACGAAATGAACAAGGACCCCGTGGGAAAGCGCTGTGAGGTTGGACGCCTGCATGTACAAAACCAAAACTCCGCCCATGCAAAAAAAAAAAAAGAGCGAGCAGGTCGGCCTCGCTCTTGGTTCGATCAGTCTATCACAAAATGACGCAGCACCCACTGGTCTCGGCCTTGTCGACGGACAGCAATGCTGCGCGAGTGGCCGCTTCGAACACGTCGTCCACCCCGTCGCCCGTAAGCGAAGAGCACTCGAGGTACTTCCGGGCGCCGATCTCGTCCTTCATGTCGTTACCAGCCTTTGTGGTCGTGAACTTCAGCGACTTCTTCCGCATCTCTTCCTGCGCGAGAGGATCATCGCGGAGATCCTTCTTCAGACCCACAAGGATGATCGGGACGTCCGGGCAACGCTCCCTCGCCTCTTCGGCCCACTTGTGCTTGACGTTGTCCAGAGAGTCTGGTGAGTCCACGGAGTAACCGATAAGAATGACGTGGGCCTTCGAGTATGCTAGAGGACGTAGACGCTCATAGTCCTCCTGGCCGGCGGTATCCCATAGCGCAAGCTGCACGGATTTACCATCGACCCGGCAATCGGTCACGTAGTTCTCAAACACAGTCGGAACCTTGGGCACAGGTCAACATCTCCGAAAACGCGATTCGTCAGCCCGGTGACGCGTGTGACTTACATATCTCTGCGTGATCATCAGTCATTGATCTTACGTCAATCAGAAAAGCCGGGTCTAGAACTTACAGTGGGGAAGTATCCCAAGGTGAAGACGCTGAGTAAACTGGTCTTTCCACATGCACCGTCGCCAATAATAACCAATTTTCTACGCAAGGCAGTCGGCGTCAGCAGGTTACACGGTGCAGCATACTGGGAAATTTGGCGGGTGGAAAGTCGGAGGTAGTGCGATTAGGGCAAGGAGTAAGACGGTTTGGTAATCGCGGCTAAGGGAACCAAAGTGCGACGGCGGATCCCAGGAAGCGTGGTCTATTTTTGGTTGCCTGAGGCTCGGATCGCGAACGCCAATGCACGCGATCTTCCCTCGCCTCGTTTAGGGTTGGGAAAGCTACGAGGCGCAGCTCTCCACACCCGACAATGGGAATGGAGTCGGATAGGGGGCCAGCAAACGTGACGGGAGAGGCAGAACGCCGGTGCGCAGGAATTACGAGGCTCGAAAGCGAGGCAAGCGGAGGCATAGCGCCGCCGATCTCCAGGACTCCGTGCGGCACCTTGATGAAACTGATTGGGAACGAATGCACCGGGCTTGCGTACCTTCTCATGACATGAGCATCCTGAGCGTTTTGCTGGGCCATGTCTGCCGATTGTCCCCTGACGGGCTCCGGGCAGCGATACGGAGAAGTGGTGAGGCGCGGACAGCGACGCCTCGTACGGTGCGAGTGAGGCGAGGTGGCTCTGGCAGGCGCGGTGCTGGATGCGCCTGGGGTCGGACTGCGGAAGCCGTAAACAGTGTACTGATTGGGGTATCTTCGGTGCTCGCGGCGTTGTTGAGGACCTGAGGCCGGCGGCAGCACTCGGGCGAGGCGGACGGTCGCAGCAAGCGGGCGGTCGCGGCAGACGGACGGCGAACGAAGCGCGGCAGCGGGCGATTGGGAGCAAAGGCGGCTCGGGGGGTGGGCCTGGTCGCCGGGGCCGGTGTCTGCGAGCGTTCACGGGGAGCGGGCGGGTGTGGTGAGCGAGGGCGCGGTCGGCGAGGGCGGGCGGCGAGGGAGCTCTGGGGTGCAATGGCGCAGAACGAGGCTGGTATATACGGGGAGGACGGTGGTGCGGCCGGCGGACGGAGCTGCAAGGAGAAGCAGCGCGAAGAAATGTGCTGAGATACGAGGATGGAAGTGAGGCAGGGCACAGCAGCGACGCATGGGCAGCCGCCTCGCTGCTTCTAGGCAGGCCCCGGCAGCCGGATTAACGCCGCCGGCCTTGCGATCCGACCGCAGCACCTTGACCTAGATGATGCACACGCTCTTTGACGCCGCCGCAACACCAACACTGCCGCCTTAGAGCTCCGAGCAACCCGCGATCCCCCGCACCAAGGCCCTTTGCAGCGAAGCTCTCCGCGCCGTCGGAGCTCCAGCTGCCACTTCCGAGCACGCGTACGTGACCTTCTGCATTGGCGGAGGGGCCTTGTTGAGCCCAGCGCCCTTGAACACCACCTTGTCCGCCGTCAGCTCGTCTGACCACGCGCTACGCGCGACGCCGCACCCTGCCAGAACGCCTCTCTAACCCGCCGCCCGCGCGCTAGGTCTGCTCCCGACGCCGCCCCTACACACATGGCCAACCTCAAACCACACCCCGGCGCGCCCGCGCCCAGCAACGGCGTGCTCACTGGCGCAGCGCCGCCCGGCAATCCCAGCGTCAATCGCAAGAAGGCGAAGCGTCGCGCGAAGCTCGCCGCGAAGCAGCAGCAGCAGCAGCAGGACGACCAGCAGCCGCCAAACCCCAGTCTGCGGAATGGCAACGTGCCGCACGCCCAAAGAGCCGTGCACAATGGCCATGTGCCTCAGCCTGACCCACAGCACGCGCTGGGCTACGACGACGACCTCGACGACACGGAGCACTTCGACGCTGGTGATAACGAGGACCTGTACTACACGGACGACGACGTCACCACCTATGCGTACCACTACGACGGAGCGCCAACGGCGAACGGCCACCCTGCGGATGCCGCTTTGTCCAACAAGGCCAAGAAGAAGAAGAAGAAGAAGCGGTCAATGCCTTCCGAAGCGCAGACACAACCCTATGATATACCGAGCGGAAGTTCATCGGGCATGCTTGCCCACGCGGGCGCGCATCCACCTCCGCCCCCACCACCGCCACCGTTGTCCAATCCCGCATTTCGCTCGATGCGCAGTTCGACCTCTAGGGACCGCATATGGAACACTTCGACACAGGAAGAGCGCGAGAGGATCAGGGAGTTTTGGCTCTCGCTCGGAGAGGAAGAGCGCAAGTCGTTGGTTAAGATTGAGAAGGAGGCGGTCCTGCGCAAGATGAAGGAGCAGCAAAAGCACTCATGCAGCTGCACCGTCTGCGGCCGGAAGCGAACGGCAATCGAGGAGGAGCTTGAGGTTCTGTACGATGCGTACTATGAGGAGCTGGAGCTGTACGACGACCAGGACAAAATTCCCGATAATGCCGATTCCGTGCTAACCACAGGGAGGCCCTACAGCCGCAGACAAGACCCTCGCCTCCCGCCGGACCGCATGATCGACCCTAACCAACCCTACGACTCTGGCAATCGCGTCGAGGAGATAGGAGACGAAGAGGACGAGGAAGATGAACTGGAGGAAGAAGAGTACAGTGACGAGGACGAGGAAGACTACAGTGATGAGGAGGAACCCGAGGAGCTACCCGTGAGAGGTACAGCTGCGGATTTCTCCTTCTTTGGTAATAGTCTGACGGTTAAAGGTCGGTTTGCGGAAGCTGCACGGGGATTCCTTGTGGAAAGAATTGATACTAAGGTCTTCTAGCAGGTGGAATTCTTACAGTGGCGGACGATTTGCTGAAGAACGACGGCAAGAAGTTCATCGAAATGATGGAGCAGCTGGCAGAGCGTCGAATGCAACGAGAGGATCAAGTTGTAGAACACGCAGGAAGTTTGGCATATTCATCGTCGATGCAGAACCATCACGCCGGTCATAATCACGGCCCACCTCCCGACGACGAAGAGTACGACGATGAGGACGAGGACTATGATAGTCAAGAAGACGAGTATGAGGAGGAGGAAGACGACTTGGTTAGGATTCACTGTCTAGCTCACGGCGAAGATGTCTAACAATTACCAGGATACCATGACCGAGCAGCAACGAATGCGGGAAGGCCGGAGAATGTTCCAAATTTTTGCAGCGCGAATGTTCGAACAGCGTGTATTGTCAGCATACCGGGAAAAGGTTGCAAACGAACGCCAGCAGAAGCTTATCGAAGAGCTCGATGAGGAAAACCGGCGTACGGCAGAACGCGAAGCGAAGAAGACCAAGGATGCTCTGAAAAAGAAAGAGAAGAAGGCTGCGCAGAAGCAAAGGCAAGCCGAGGAAAAGGCTCGGAAGGAGGCCGAGAAGAAGGCTGAGGAAGAGGCCGCCAGAGCGGCGGAAACAGAAAGACAGGAAGAACTGCGAAAGAAGAGGGAGGAGCAGAAGAAAAAAAGGGACGCCGAACGAAGGGCTCAGGAGGAGGAAAAGAAGCGAAAGGATGCGGAGAAAAAGCGTAGGTTGGAGGACGAACGTCAGAAGCAGCAGGAAGCAGACCGCAAAGCTCAAGAGCAGAAGGCTGCGGAAAAGAAGGCTCGGGACGATGCTAAGCGCAGGGAACGTGAGGAACGAGAAGCCATAGAAAGGGAAGCGAGGGAGCAAAAAGCACATGCAGAGCAGCAGCGGAAAGAGAAAGAAACTAGGATCAAGGTAGAGAAGGAGGCAAATGAGCGGGCGCGTAAGGAAGAAGAAGCGGCAAGAGCTGCTCAAACTAACAAGCGTCCTTCTCAACCAACACCAGCTCTGCCGCCTGGTCTCCTTTCCAAGCAGTCCTCGGCCGGCTTTCCATCTCCACATGTCCAAGTCGCGACTCCAAACATCCCAAAGGCTCCGACACCGTCGAAGCCTCGCCAGAGTTCGCACCAGGGTTCCCATGGTTCATCTCCGAAGACGCCCCAGGTCTTCCCTGGGACCAGCAAGTCGGTCTCGCCCAGCCACCAGCAGCCGAGAACGATTCTGCAGAAGCCCCAACCACAAGTTCAGACGTCGACATTGCAGCATCCCCAACCAAGCTCGCCGATGCCGCCGTTAGGGCCTCCTCCCGGTATGCATTCTGGCTTTGGCGGCCTGCCTATTGGTCTGGGTGCCCCTTCGCCAATGCAGGGGGGAATAATGCACGGCCTGAACCAGCCTCGTGGACCCATGTTTCCCCACGCACCTCCGCCGATCGGCGCGCAGTATCCCGGCTTCCCTGCTCCCAACGGGCTGCCCGCACCACCGCCTGGTATGAACGCACCGGGTATGCCACTTGGTCGAGGCTTCCCGGGGATGTCCATGCCTCCAGGCTTTGGCCAGCCTCTGCCCGGCATGAGTGCGGCGGGTCAGATCCCCGGATTCAGTGCTCCTCGTGACATCATGCCATCACATTCGCGCCAAGCATCTGGTTCAGGATCATTCGATTCGTCGGTTGGCGGGCTTCCGACTCATCCCATTGCCCGACCCACACCCATACAGCGACCATCTAGCGTCAAGCCACAAGAGCTTACTGTGGAGAACAAGAGGTCAGGCAACAGCGACTTGGATGAGCTAAGCAATCATCTTGGGAGCAGTGCTCTTCTTGACGACAGCGATGAGCCAATTCCCACGAGTGCTGGTGAAGTCCGCCGCTCGAGCCTAGCGCCCTCGGCGAGGTCAGGGAGAATGGCCTTCGGCACGTCTCCGCTCTTCACCGACGTAGGAGCTCGTGGCATTGATCCTTTTGGCATGCCGAGCGGAGGTAGCAGCACATGGGGAACTCCAACCGTGCCATTTGGACCTCCTGGTATGGGTGGTAGCACGTGGGGATCTCCTCCTGCCAACGTTGGCTGGCCCAGTGCGGTTGGCAGCTTCAGTGGCGTCGGCGCTCCGCTTGGTGCATCGCATCGACAGAGTATTTCACGCCCTGTATCAGTTCGCCTGATGGTGTGTCAGGCCTGCAAGCAGCTTGCACAAAGCCACCCCAAAGCCGATGGTTTCTACGATATTACCACCGTCATCCGTACCATTGAAGCTGGCGTTCGTGGTGCGACAGATGCACCTGTGCAAGAGCACGAGGTTATCGACATCTGCGAGACTGAGGGCGACTTGCACAATGGAGGCGGCTTCCTTCGCAAGAAGGATAGCCCAGATGGTGCTGTGGAGGTCAAGTTTGAGCCTGACACAGCCACCAGCACCGGCGGCATCCGAATTCCAGGACAAGGCGCACTACACGGTCTGGGAGAAATCGGTAGCCCGGTTCCCAGCCACTCAACACCCTTTGGTATGGGCCCCGGTGCCACCCCAGCAGGCGTAGCTCGTACCTCGCCATTCTCCGCCTCTGTTCTCGGGGGCGGTGTATCATCACCGAGCTTTTAGTGGAGAACAATGAGCCATTCACTGTTGTTGCTTCCTCTATTCTTCTCCGCTTTAACAATACATCGGCTCAATTGATGCATTGCCAACGAAGCTCCTTCCTTTTTCGTTTACTTACTGTCTTGGTCTTCCCCCGGTATTCTCGGCTGTTAAGCAAGTGGGCTCTCGTGTGCGTCTTTAAACCCGCTGCTGGTAGTGTGCTAGTGGTTCTCTCCTGCGACTTACCGGTTTATGGTAGTCTTAGTAACCAACCTTTCTTCTCATGAGTCGATGAAAGACCCAAATCAAAGGCGATTATCCCATCCAGAACATTGCTGTTGATGCATGTGCCTTAAACCCCGGGGACGATGGCTCAAGCGCTTTCTTTGTTCTCTGATGTGATGATGTCCTATGCACCGCCCCGTAACTTCGAGTGCTCCCTGTCGGCGCCCGCCCCTGACATTCAGCAATCGAGCATGTATATACACACCCCACTGTGCTGATTCGATGGGTGAGTTAATCAGTCAATACTTTCCTGTGATGAGTGAATATTATGTGAATTAGTAGTCGGTGTTTTTTCAGCAGCTATGCATTTGCTCCATTATTCCCTCGTTTCTCCGATTATCATTGCAAAGCCGTGTCGTTCTTTACTTTGTTATTTTGCTCTTGCTATGAAGAGTAGATGATCTTAAAAGCTACACTCTCCTACTATTAAACAGCGCACGTTTTGGTTTTTTTTTTTTTTTTGAGACATTGAGATGCATGAGTTAGCGGTGGAGTGTTTCCAACATAATATCTTGTTAAGATTCAAAAAAAAATAACTAATGTGGCCTTGTTTTCATGTTACTCTGTCTAGCATATATTAATGGCATGGGTCTTAGTTGACATTTTCGGTTAGTAGTCGTGAAGAGACATCGTGTTTAATTCTCTATTCTTATATCTAGTGGAATTGTAGAGGTCGTATCCTCATAACCACGGCTTCGAAAAGCTTTATCAGTGGGAATAGTCGGAGTGAAAGGAATAGCCGCATTATATGCGAGGCATTTTGTTGTTTGCAAGCTCATATACATGATGTTTTTTCGGGGAAGATGCAGCCGAGAGTGGTAAAATCTGGACAAAAGAAACAGTATAAAGAACTCTATCACCGCACTGGGACGAATTCAACATTGCTTCGATTCAAGCATCCTCTCATACACAGCAAATGCACATTTATCCAAAGTCCAACTAGACATGACGCACTTCAGCACAACCGCAACTACTCCCCAACACTCCCCGCCGATGCCTCCCCATTAACCACCAAACCGAACCAACTCCAACATCATTTTTCAACATTTCGCTCCTCCGATTCCTCAATCGCAACCTACTCATGCTTTCGCAGCCGCCGCCGCCGCCACCGCCGCCGCCTTCCGGCACGCCTTCCCAAAAACATCAACGAAGCGCCACACATCCGCAAAGCCGTTATACAGCGGCGCCGGCGCAACACGCACGACGTCGGGCCTCCGCTCATCCACAACGACGCCCTCACTCTCCAGCTCATCCATGACGTCCTCGAGCAGACCGGGCTTCAGCAGCAAGCTCAGCTGGGCGCCGCGCTCGTTCGGGTCGCGGGGCGTGATGAGGCTGTAGAGCCTGCCACCGTCGTCTTCGGGCGTCGACGAGAACAATAAATGCTCGAGGTAGGCGGTCAGGCGGAGGGACTTTGCGCGGAGGTCGGCGACGGAGGTGGTGGCGAAGACGGAGAGGGAGGCGAGCAGGGCGGTGGTGTCGAGGGCGGAGGGGTTGGAGAGCTGGAAGCCCGCGGCGCCGGGCATGGGGACGAAGGCGGAGCGCATCTGGAAGCGGGTGGATTTGTCGTGGCCCCACCAGCCGCTCAGGCGCGGGCGGTAGCCGAGCGTGTCGGCGGAGACGTCTGCGGCGGTGCTCGGTTGCGGCGGGCTGTCGGTGGAGGACGAGGGGTTGACGGGTGTGTGGCGCGCGTGCACGAAGAGCCCGCCGATGACGCCGGGACCCCCGTTCATGTACTTGTAGTTGCACCACGCGGCGAAGTCGACGTTCCAGTCGTGGAGTTGGAGGGGGACGTTGCCGACGGCGTGCGCGAGGTCCCAACCTACGATGATGCCGCGGGCTTGGGCGTAGGCGGTGATGGTGGGGATGTCGAGGAATTGGCCGCTGTAATACTGGATGCCAGGGAGGAGGAGCAGGGCGGTGGAGGAGGCGTGGGCTTCGATGACGGAGAGGATGTAGGAGGTGGGCAGGTAGGAAGTGTTGGGGTCTGGGGGGTTAAGCTCGACGAGCGCGGTGGAGGGATGCAGGTTATGGAGGTGGAGTTGGGATTGCACGGCATACTGGACGCTGTGAGTAAGCTTTGATCAAGAAAACGAGCCCGATATGGGTCGAATACGTACGTGATCGCTAGGGAAGGCTTTCCCTTCGATGATGATCTTGTAGCGGTCCTTGGTCGGACGGTAGAAGCTGGCCATCAGCAAGTGAAGGTTGGCCGTCAGTGTCTGCATGACAGCCACCTCGTCCGGCTGGGCGCCCACAATCCTGGCCGACTCGACCTTGGCGTCTTCGTCGATATCAACCCATGGCTTGGAGACGGCATCGTCCAGGGGTTGGAAGTGGCCGTAGACACCCTTGTTGGCCCAGGTATCAAGGTATTTGCGGATGTATTCTTGGGTGCGGCGCGGCTGCAGGCCGAGCGAGTTGCCGCAGAGGTAGGTGGACGGGTAGGTCAGGTCGTTCTCGGGAAGGATGGCGTTTATGGTCTCGCTCACTTCGACACTTCCGGCATCGGTGCCCAGGCGTTTGCGCTTCAGGCCGGCGCGGGTGGGAATGACGAATTCCTCGCGCAGCTTGCGGAGAGGGTCCTGAGCATCGAGCGCTTCTGAATATTCCTTGGTGAAGGAGCTCGGGTCGTCGAGCCGGAGCTCGGGCCAGGAGTGCTGCGCCATGTCAAGACTCAATGGGTGTTTGCGAGAAGTGCGGCGGCGGAGAGGCGGAGGAGGCGAGCAGTTGTGGGCATCGTCATGGCGGGGCGGCGAGTGGCTGGTGCGTGTGGCGCAACCACAGCATCATCGGCTGGTGCGGCCAGCGCCCGCTCCTCCGATGATTTCAAAGCCGCTCCTCTCCGCATCTTCGACCTCACCAACACGACACCATGGCGTCCGCTCCTACAATCTGCTCTTCCTGCCTGCGCTCCATGCAGTCCGCAGCTCGTGCCCGCCCGGCCACCGTGCGACAGGCCATCGGTACCGCCCGCCGCAGCTTCGCCGTCTCCTCCACGTCCGCCACTGCTCCGCCGACACCACTCCGCGACTTCCTCACGCCCTCGACACGTCCTGGATACGCGACATGGTCACGGCAGACCGCGCGACTGCGACCGGTGGATCGGAGTGTTGGTGTTCGCACCTTCGCCTCCCTGGCGTCGCGGCGCGCAGCAGTCCTGAATCCGCGGATAGACGAGGATGGCAACGAGATGGAGGTGGGCATCACGCCGCGCGCAGCTCATGTAAGCGCTTCCGCACACTTCATCCGTCAAGCTCCGGTGGCCCGTAGCTGACCAGCTTTTTGCAGCGCCTCAAGCAAATCATGGCCCAAGACAAGAACCCCAACCTCCTACTACGGGTTACCGTCGAGTCCGGCGGTTGCCACGGCTTCCAATACCTAATGTCCTTGACCGAAATGTCCGAGGTTTCGCAGGAGGAAGACACGGTGTTTGAAGGTGCCGACGGGGCGAAGATTGTGTTGGACGAGCCGAGTCTGGAACTGCTCAAGGGAAGCAAGGTGGACTACACCATGGAGTTGATTGGAAGCCAGTTCAAGATTGTGGACAATCCTGCAGCGAGCAGCAGCTGCGGATGTGGGACGAGTTTCGATGTCAAGATGTAGCGGATGGTCTAATTCAAAGGGTAAATACCTTCATCATGCAGTTAGAGTGCATGTCCTTCTTAATACGTTGTGTAAAAGAAACTTTATTCTAGACCTAGTGCTTTGGTGCCAGTCTGCACAATGCCAGTTCCAATCTTGTCCGCAGTGGGCGGTGTACATATCGCATTTGGGCTCATGATCTGCTTTCAGCTCCACCAGTGTTCTCAGCCATACAACTCACGGCTATTACATATGACGCAGTCATCCGTGAAGCTTTAATGATCAAGCAGACAACAGAATATATTATTTTGCCGCTGCTGCGCGAAGTGTTTGTAGGAGTACTAAGTCCTAATAATATGTTCCCCCAGGCACATTCAACTATGGTCCTTTGACGTTCAGCACATGCCGAGCACAATGGCAGTGGCTCTCATTGCCGCTGTCGCTCGCTCGGGCCAAGCAGAAATTCGCGCGGTCGGTCGGCCAGCCAAAACAGTCCCGCCGCGACCCTCTGTCCAACCAAAGACAAAAGAGTAACCCCCCAGATGCACCAGGGGCAAAAGAAGATGACCACACCAGGGGTCGAACCTGGAATCTCTTGATTCGTAGTCAAGCGCCTTGCCATTGGGCCATGCGGCCAGTACATCATAAGATGTTCTGTTGAACTCAGCTGTTGCTTTGTTCGATGGAAAAGGACACAATAATGCTGTACTATATACCCAAAAAAGATTCATGTGAAAGAGCAGGTTTGAAAGGTGAACCTGACCGTTTTTGGTAGATCAAGGCGTGTTGGTGGGCGGGAGGTGTTGGGGGAAGCTTTGCCGAGGTGGAAGATTGGAGCACAGGGATGTTGAGGTGGAAAACTTTTTCATGTGCTTTACGTACTCGCATGCTCAACACTACTAATTCACGATGCTATGCAATTTTATTTACACGATGAGATACGGCATCCGTATACTACCACAGATGTAAGGCGACAATGCGTAGACTGTCAAGTTTAATATCGCGATACTTTAGAGCTGCTAGAAGATCTTTAATAAACTTTTTTATAAGGTCTTGTTTTCTTTGCGCTTTATCAGTATCGTAGTAGTGAGCAGACCACACTTTTAAAAATAAGAATGAGCGCATTTATTACAACCTAAGAATAGAAACAACTTTTCCCTCTATCGGGGTTTAAGACTATTAAAAGGCCGAAGTTGTCTTAATATACTTTGTCTAATAAAAGCATCTCTGAGCTCTGTTCAAAAAAAAAAAAGATTATATATGTCACCGAGTTCACGTCTTGAAAGAAGGAGGGAAATGTTTCTGCAAACCTATGCCTCGGTAACTTCTCCATCGTTATATGAATTCAAAGAAGTAAAGATAGAGGTAGAGCGCTTCTTTAAAACTGGGCAACATGTTGAACAACCAGAAATAGGTCGCACTTTGCGACCAAACAAATGTATGACGAAAGCGTCTCTGGTCTGAGCAAGCGTCAAGCGTAATCAATTACACGACGAGTATAAGTAAGCCCCAAAATGACAGAATGTAGAAAAACTATGAAGTAGAATGAATACGACTGCTCCAGGTTGGCCAGGCAGAGTAAGGAACGAAAGGGTTGAGGTCAGTCGAATAGGAATGACTACGGAAGACCCAGAACATTTAAAAACCCTACGAGCAACCTTTATCGGTCTATGACCTGCACTCGTACAGTTCCAGCGCTTTGCGCCGCTCATTGGGATTTGATGTTCGCGTAATTCAAGATGCATCAAAAGGAACACCAACTGCACCAATCAATCAATTACAAACAGGAGCGCCACAAAAGAAAAAAAAGAACAAGCAAAATACTCAATGTTCCCCAAGCATCCTCCTCAACCTAAGCACTTCGTGCCTCGTGACATAAACCCCACCGCCACTCTCCTCTTCACCCGTACAACCATTCTGGCATTCCACCCCGTCCAACTGATCAACCAAATCCCTCACCTTCGCCCCCTCCCACCTTCCTTCATCGTTCGTCCAGAACACCCGCTTGATACCGGCATTGTGCATGAAGTTCACGCATCTATAGCACGGCTTCGATGCCACCACGTTGCGTCTGTCGAGTGACGCTTCCCTCTGCGCTTTCTCTGCCGTTGTCGATATCGTTGTAGTCTTGTTCGTCAACTCATCATGCAACGAACCCGTCCGTAGCGGTCGCGCAAGCTCGACCTCATCCTCTTCCTCCTCCTCTACACAAATCAAAGGCTCCTCAGAAAGGCTCCCGAGCTTCATGGACGAAGCGGGAAGCGACGCAGGGTGGTTACCGAGGCGTGCGACGTACAAGTCCGCGCCGACGAGACAACGGTGCTTCATGCGGTCTCGGACCGTGAAGGAAGGGGACGCAGCAATGCCGGTCTGGCTCTTTGAGAGAAGAACGGCATGGCGTTTGAGGCCCGCGGGCTGGTTTAGGGAGGTGGCAGTAGTGCGCTTGTTTGAATGCTAAAGGGGCGGGGGTTAGCAAGTCGGGAAAAAAGGGAGTGTGACTTCCTGTTGAGCTTACCGTTCCACCCAATTTTGTTGCACTCAGCTCCGGCTTATTGTTAGTAGTAGTCTTGCCCGTTATTCCCTTCCCCTTACTCTCAGCGGCATCGCCCTTCCCATGCCCAGGCTCATCAGACGCCACTCGCCCCTGACCCCCCTTCCACCCCCCCCGCCCACCCCCGCCATCCCCACCCTCCCCCACTGCCCCATTGAACTTGAACCCCCCACTCTTCTCCAAACTCCTCCCTGCAGAACATCTCGACGTACCGCTCGACGCCGCGCGAGAGACGCATCCCGCCACTGCTTCGTTTTTTGCCCGCACCAGGACGCGGTGCCTTGGTGCGCGGTACTTTTTCGCCCTCCAGCGCCCTGCGCGTCGGCGCGTCGCGGCACAGTCGTCTCGCTGCGTCCATCACCGCCATCATCTCCGAGTGCATGCTGAACGGTGCGTTTCCGTAACCGCCGCTCACTTCCTCGAATGGCGTGAAACCGTTGTTGCGGGTGGTGAATCGCTGCTGCTTCTGCTGCTGCTGCTGTGGAATGGACGACGGCGGCGACGTCAAGGGATGGTGGTCATGCTTGATGCCGTGCTTGGGCTTTCGCTTGGGGGGATGGCTGGTAGGGCGGTGCTGCTGCTGCTGCCTCTTGGGCAAGGCGCCCGTCTTGAGGGCTGTGCCGCCGTTGTAGCCCGGGCGGTAGTCGTTGTGGCCAGTGCCGATGACCTTGCCGCCGCGGACGATGATGCAACCGTGGCGGTAGCGGAGTGGCGAGAGCGCGGCCTGCGAGAGGCAAAGGGAGAGGTAATGGTCGGACCTGGTCATACTGGTGACTGTTCGGGTTGGCGCGCGGGGAACGAGTGCGGGATTTGGCTCGGGAGTAGGGAGTTGAGGCAATGAAAGGCCCGAAAGTGTGAGGTTGGCGGTCTATTGCTGTAGAGTTGTTCGCTGATTCGGAAGGCGGGGGAGATGCTCAGTGGAGTAGCAGGCGCGGTTATCGACACCGAGTACTGGCAAAGGGCAGGCGCATTCAGGGCCGAGTGAAGAAGGCTGATGCTGTTCGACCAGTCATGCAACCGAGGCTGTCGTTGACTCATCACTGCACAGCCATCACACAGATCGACTGACCTTCGAGAAAAACAGAATAATGGATTTTGCTGTCTCATGCTCCCAGGGTATCTCCGTATGCCTCCTTGCTCGCATAACGCCGTAGTCCGTCATGCAGAGTACCGTTAAACCCAGGGTATCTATGCCTCGTTGCTCACATAACGCCTGATCCAAGAAACGCGTCATGCAGAGTACAAATCCAAAAACAATCGTGATGCCTCGTTGCTCACACAGCCCATCAATCAGGCCGTGCAGAGTCCCATCGTTAGCCTCGTTGCTCACATAACGTCGCGTCGCGTTATGCAGAGTACCGTCGTAAATAAAAATCAAAACACCGGAACGAAAGCATAAAGAGTCCGGTTTACGAAGCGTTGCGCTCGGCGCAGTACTTCGCGACCTCCTTAGCTAGCGTGTCCTGCTGTGAGTTCACCACGTCCATGATGTCGCTGGTGCCGGCGACGTCCTTGCAGAAGTCATAGGCCTCGACCATGTTCGCCATGACTGACTGCAGCTGGTTGGGGAGCCACTGTGTACCAATTAATATCGTATGTGATTGCAAAGGGAAAAGAACAGGACGTACGGTGACGATGGGGCTGCCACCAGTGGCCGTGGGGTGCGAAGTGTTCTTGAGGATGTATTCGCGAGTGAAACACCAATGACGCCAGCGGAAGTCGCGGACCTGGTCCAGAGCGCGCAGGTACAGCGAGGCCGAGTAAGGGTCGGACAAGGCGTATTCCTTGAGATTCGCCATCTCGGAGTAGTCCTTGACAGCCTCGAGGAAGTCACGGTGGTTACCAGGCCGGTACTGGCGGAAGTCCTTCAGAATTTCCGTGAGGGGAGTCTGAGGCATACTGATCTGCAGGAGATTGTCGCAGAGTGGGACCTGGGAGTGTCAGCAGCTGTCGACTCAAGACTCAAGAGTAACTGACCATGCTGTCATTCGCACCCGACTCGCCGCGGAAGGACATGGGCTCCTCGCTCACACCCTCGTAGACGACGCCATTGGGAAACATGCTCTGCGAAGTGATACCGAAAATGAAAGTGCGGAAACTGGTGTAACCGCTGGGTTTGCTCTTGGTCCACATTGCTGTGAGGAGTTAGCATTGTGTCACTGCTTGACTGATGTAGAGCAACTCACTGTTCATGACCGCGTTGATCTTGTCCATGGACTTCACGAGATCCGCCATCCCCACATTGAATGCCTCACGGTCCTTGCCAAGGGCGCCGTTGAGAGCCTCGACAGCACCCGACACGAGAGCGCCCGAGTTCTTCACCATGGCAATGTGCACGAGCACGAAACCTGCCTCAGAAGACTTGGGGTCCAAGCCGAGTTCAAACGCACGAATGAGACGGAGGTTGTCGTACTCCAAACCCAGAGCCGGGTCCTCCAGGCGGTAGTTGAACAGTGCGTACGAGCCTGCATACTCCATGAATGGCATGAAACCAGCGCTGTATCAAAACGTCAGTGCATGGTGGATGATATCAGTCCAGAGCATCACTTACAACTTGGCAACCTTGGTGATTGGAAGGGCGATGTTGCTTGGCAGGCTCTGGCGACCGAGTCCGTACGACTCGCCGCGCATGAAGCGCTCATGGCAAGGCTCGAGGAGGTAGGCCGAGGCCAGGAAGGAGTAGTCGCGGTACAGTGCATTCATCAGGGGCAGGTTGTCCTTGTACTTCTCAACCGCACCGGACAAGTCAGGCAACTCCTTGTGCACGGTAGGGCCAAGCTGGAAGCTGGCCAGCAGGCCCGGAGCGCCCGAGAGTGTCTTGATTGGCATGCGGGAGAGGATGGACTCGAGTGGGTCAAAGTCCGCAGGCAGCCGGACGACAGGGTCCTGACGCGGCAGGAAACCACGCGTGGTGGAGACCATGAATGCCGGTATGGAGTTGTCATTGGGCTTGGAGTCCGTGAGGACATCGAAGCCGAAGCGGGGGGGAGAAGACATTGTGCCAATGGTGTGTTTGGGGTAGGGACGGCGGATGTGAGGAAAATGGTTGTGGGCGTCGGTGCTGCAGTCTAGCGAAGGGCGCGACGGTCGAGCTGCTTATATCTTGAGGCCGGATTGATTCCGGCCTCAAATACGTCCTGATAGGAAACATTCCGGCCTCCCCCTCCACAATAGGAATGACTCGAAATCTAGTACGTAACAGCAAACCAAAGCAGCAAGATATCGGCAAACGGTTCAATGAGCCGCAGCACATTGCAAATTGCTCCACACTCCATCCAGTGCCCCAGATGCACACCGGCGGGGTTGATGATGGCGTCGAAGCCATTCGCGCGACTTGCGAGTGCCAAAGATCAACAACCCAAAGAAGACGGAAGAAAATAACAAACAGCAGAAGCGAATTGCAATCCGAACCGAGCCTCGAAATGGCTGTGGTTGCTTTGTCCAAGGGGTCCACTACCCTGAAGCGGTTATCGTCGGGGCGGGACGGCCGACAAAGAACAGCGTCACCGGTGCCTCATCACGCGCCCCCCTGCCACACCGACGTTCACGGCCATCCAGAGTTGACATTAGATAAAGATCCCGATGCACTGCAGCTGCACGCTCGGGCTGCTGATAAGACCAACATGTGTCGCTGCAGCACCTCTGTCGGTTACACCGTGCTCCTAGACGTCGACATTAAGACGCAACCACCTGCAACTCTTGGATCTCCTGTAGATTCAAAGGGAGTTGTATTGCACCTTTATGATAAGACCCTCGGACAGTTCAAGCTAACCTGGGCGAAGGATGCGTCGCTCTACGCCGCTGTTCTGTGGCTTGCGAGCATCATAGTGTCGGCAAGCTGCATGTACGACCGTTCCTTCGAATGTATTGGCCGAGGCTCCGACCGATTCTTGCCGCCGGTCGCTGTCGCTAGTCGACTGATCCTCGTGGACTTTGCGGAGTGTCGTTGGTAGGGCTGAGCCAGAGATCTCGTGCAATCGCCCAATGAGGATAGAGGCTCCTGGGATCGACGCGTGAGAATCCGGGGTAACACCAAGCTCCCGTTTGCTCCTGAACTTAGACCATGAGTAGGGTGGATACGTATGCCAAATTCAGCAGGATTGGTCCTCGGGTGTTGTCGAGCACACCGGCGCCGCAATGCAGTCGAGTATGAGATAAATGGAAGTGCGGGTCGAAGCCGGGCTCTGGGACGGACGGGAAAGACGAGTCTATCGTCATCTGACACCATGTCAAGTCTCTCCACGTTAGGTGGACTGTAGCTGTCTGGAGCCCGGTCTGCGCCAAGCGAGTGTCCCTGCATCAAATTGCGCAGGGGCTACTTGGTGTTGCCCGCAGCCGGGCCGCGCAGAAGAAAAGAGCAAATCCCTGATAGCGGCTGCATGTTTTGAAACATGGAGGGGATTGAGTTGGGCCTATTGTCTAGCTTATCAGCCTCGTCGCGGGGCGAGCTTCCGACAAGGGCGAGGGCCGGTGGCGAGGCTTTTGCGGCTGCTTGGACACGTTCCGATTGGAAAAGCGCGACACCCTGGGGATTTTGACGCAAGTGTGCAAGCCTCGTCGGGCCATGGCCATCCGAGTCTGGGGTCGAGGCGCGTCCGGGGCACGGGGATAAGGATACGGGCGTCATTGTCATGGCTGGTTCAAGGCGTGGACCGGCGTTTCCCAGTGTGCCAGCAGTAATGACGTAAGCGTTTCACGGTGAAGCCACCGGCGCGTGCGTACCAGCCATCCAGTCGTGGTAAAAAGGCATTCCTCGCGTCGATCAGTGGGGGGGCAGGAGTAGGTAATCGGCCTTCGTGACAGATAAGCTTCTTCTATTGAAAAACAATAAGACTGTACGGATGGTTAGGCGTCGCAGAAATGCAGAATGTCAGCACAGCCTCCACAACACCTGCTGGGGCAAAATGCCGTTGGATCGCCATTTTTGCAACACCAGCGCCAACGGGCGGGCTGCTATGACTCATCCGGCGACGCGCGTGCGGCCGAAGGGGTGTGATCCGCACCCGACCGCACCCTCGCATTCCAAACAGCTGTGTCGCAAAAACTGTTCGGCGAAGCGAACATTATTATCGCATGAAGCAATTTTGCAACCCACAGCCACCATGCGCGCCAAAATAGCGTGCAAACGGCGACAAGGTTTGCGGCTGTTGACGCGACTCCAAGCGGCTAGGACAGCCTTCCTTATCGTGCGCCCAATAAGTCGCGGGTGAGGAAAGGCCAGGAAAAGGGGGCTGCGTCGAGAATGCCCTGCAGCCAATACGACGACGGCAGGCCTCCGTGCCAATCGTGTCCCCGCACTCCTCCGCCGTCGCGCAGCGCGCCCTTTCGCGTCAGCATCGCGCTGGCAAAATCGTATCCACCAGGCCCGCCGCCACCGAACCTTCGAGACGGCGCGCCGCGGCTGGATCGCGGTCGCCAGCACTGGTCGCGCGCGCCCGGCGTCGGTGTTGTGACCGCCGTGGCCGACCGGCCAGACGGGCTGCGAGGTCGGGCGGTCGGGCAGCGCCGGTGGCCTTGTCGGATTAGCCGCTGTGGCCAAAGACGATCGCTCTTCTTGCTGTAAATTGTTTTCAAGGGTTCTTGGTCTCTCACCTGCTGTGCGCCTTCCCTCCCTGGCACTGCTGCCTGCCGGCTGCACCCCAACCCACGCCCGCCTCCGCATGCAACGCAGAGCGCAAGACGGATGCGAAGTCGTAGCTGAAGCGCAGCAGGCTCGAACGCGCCTTGCACGCAGCGCAGGAGCGGACCGGTGCTGCAGGTTTTCTCTTCTGCGATGGCGCTGAGGGACCGGCTGTACTTCGGCACCTGCCGGCCTGCCTGCTATAAAGTCGCGCCTTCCCACTCCATTTCCGAAAGCCTCTTGGTTCTGCCGCCCGCACGCTCAACCACCCACACCAACCACCACCGCATCCAAAGCACAACGCCGGCTTGCGCGCCTCTGCACATCCTCCCGCGGCCATTCCAGTGTCCTCTGCGTGCACTGCGACGCTCTCTACGAGTATTTTCGACCGCTTCAGCCAAGAACGCGCGCCGCATCGGAACTGCGACAGCCGCACCTCTCCACCCCCGCCTCGTCGCACACCCTCCACCTCACCCGACAACATCAGAGGCTAGCTGGCTTCGCTTCTGACCGTGTCGCGTCAATCGTCTTCACACAACATCGTTGCTGTCGACCTTGGGAAGGGCTGCGATCGAGTGGGAATCTTGCATATTACTTGGCATCGACTGTAGGGGAGGCATTCAGTTGTTCATCTCCCACTAACGGTACGACCTCACACTATCTCCCTCGGGATCCGGCAAACCCTTCAGGCCCGTCGTCGACGCCGTATTCAAGTCGCGTCCACGAGCCTTGTCGCTCTCGCCGATCCGCCAACACCAACTCTTCACCTGCCTCCGTTCTAACGCGATACGCACCAGATCGCCAATAGTGCAACATAATCAAAACAATAGAGGAACTGCGTCTGCTGTGAACATGGATTCTCTCACCACCCACCCGTCCAACGCGACTCAGGCCAAGGCCTTCACTGCTCCCGGCAGTCTGTCCTTCCCTGGTGGCGCTGGCGACTTGACCCCGCCGTCGTCCGAGAAGGACGTTCAGCAGAACCAGAACGGTGGCAACGCTGGCAATGGGGTGATGCCCGCTACGCCTGCTGCTACTCCTGGCGCCGCCAACGGTGTCTCGGGTATCGTCCCCACTCTGCAGAACATCGTGTAAGTACCGGTGTGCTGAATCTTGCGTTCAGCCGCTGACAACACACAGTGCCACTGTCAATCTGGACTGTCGCTTGGACCTGAAGACGATCGCGTTGCACGCTCGTAATGCCGAGTACAACCCGAAGGTACTGGCGTCTTGTCAGCTTCTTGGTTCTTGATGAACGGTTTTACTGAACTTTGGCTCTAGCGTTTCGCGGCCGTCATCATGCGTATCCGTGAACCCAAGACGACGGCTCTCATCTTCGCCTCGGGCAAAATGGTTGTGACCGGCGCCAAGTCGGAGGATGACTCGAAGCTTGCGTCGCGCAAGTACGCTCGCATCATCCAGAAGCTCGGCTTCAATGCGAAGTTCACCGACTTCAAGATCCAGAACATTGTCGGTTCTTGCGACATCAAGTTCCCCATTCGCCTCGAGGGTCTGGCCAGCCGCCATCACAACTTCAGCTCCTACGAGCCTGAACTGTTCCCTGGTCTCATCTACCGCATGATGAAGCCCAAGATCGTCCTCTTGATCTTCGTCTCCGGCAAGATCGTCCTTACTGGTGCCAAGGTCCGCGAGGAGATCTACCAGGCTTTCGAGCTGATCTACCCGGTGTTGTCTGGTATGCTACGGCACGCTTTTCATCCAACGAGTGCTCTACTGACCCTGCCTAGACTTCCGCAAGAGCTAAATAGCTGCGCCGAAGTTCGACTACTTCTCACCTCTAGATCACTCGCGCGTGGCACTGTTACAACAGCCAACGGCATCATTCTCGATTGTCCTTTGTATTAATAACCACACTCGCAGCTGATCGATGGCCGGGATCTGGCATCGACTTTGAACGCTTACTCCTAGCTTTTCGGAGCCACGGAGAGGATATATTACCTGCGTCGTGCTTGCGTCTACTGCTTTTTGCGGCATTGCATGGTGTTTTCGGTGGGCTTTGATTGAGCCTCATGCTTTTGCTGAGGCTTTGGGTTCCAAAAACTTATTACCCCTTTTCACTTTCTCATCAAGTTTTAGAGGAAGCAACCCTCAAAGATGCGGAGGGTACTGCCCGAGGGTTCGCTGGGCTAATTTGATACACTGCTTTTTCGTTGGGATGGAAATTGCGACGAGATTCTGGGAAACGATTCAGCAGAAGGAGCGGGTTTGACGACGGATGACCAGTTTTCTTTGAAAGAGCCCTCGCCTGCTCCGACTGCCGATGGACGTCATGGCTCTTCACCCTGGTCATAAACCAGGACAACACCCACGTAAACAAACCAAAAAAAAGAACAGCGTCGTGGACAGATACGTACGTAGTTGATCAATTCATATTCCACGAGCCAAAAAAAAAAAACCCCCTTGCGGGTATAATAAATTGCTTTTGAGACTAGCGTTGTATTCAATGTATGGACGTAGAGAACATGTAAATTTTGTCGTCTATTGTGATGTATCCAGCGCAGTAATGCTGTTACTCAAATGCTCCGCTCCGCTCCGCTCGTTAAACGTATGCATCAAAGCGCCCCGCTCGTATACGTACTTTGTCCCCCGCAAACCGACGGTGAGCCAAAGAGATGTTCCGGACGCGGGACGTCGCTCTTCTAACCACACACATCAAACGCCCGAACGAAGGCTCGCTTCAACTCCCCACACCAGTGACTGTCCGATCTCACAGCCTCGCCCCGCCCTTCGCGTACTCGTCATCCAGCACCATGCCCTTGGGGCCGCCCCTGCTGCCGTCGCCGGCCCAGCCGTCCTCGGGCAGCACGCGCTCCCTGGGCCAGGCCCAGCGGCCGCGGAACGCCTCGGGGCAGTCGCCGCGGCGGATGCAGCCGACGATCTCGTCGCCGATGACGGGCAGGAACTTGAAGCCGTGGCCGGAGCCGCCGGTGGCGACGAAGAGCGAGCGGGCGGCGTAGTCCGGGTGGTAGGAGATGAGGAAGTCGCCCGAGGGCGTGTCGGCGTAGTAGCACAGCCGCGCGGCGGCGAAGGGGCGCGCGGCGATGGGGTGCGGCGAGAAGGACGGGTCGTGCGGCGCGGCGCCCGGGGGGTAGAGGTCGTGCGCGAGCTGTTGCAGGGCGAGGGTGGCTTCGCGCGGGAGGTGGGCGGGGAGGGGAGGGGTGGTGAGGTGGGTGCGCGGGAGGGAGACGGTGATGTTCTCGGCGGCGGCGGGGGGCTGTTCGGGGTGGGGGATGGTGACGGGGTTGGTGTAGCCGTGGCCGTGGCGGGCGAGCTTGAGGAGGTTGCGCGACGGCGGGATGCAGAACATGCCGGTGCTGAGGTTGAGCACCGTGGGCGACGAGCCGAGCGCCGCCTGCTCCGACGGCGCCAGCGGCACGTACGCCAGCGTCTGGCCCGTCGCCTTGACCAGCCCGCGCAGGTCGAGCAGCGCCGACGACCACGCGCCCGCGGCGACGACGGTGAGGTCGGCCGAGAGCGTGCGCCCGCCGTCGGCCAGGTGCGCGCCGCGCACGCGCTTCTGGGGCCCGTTGAAGTCGATGTCGAGCCGCGCCACGGTGCCCCGGACGAAGCGCACCCGCTGCGTCGCCTGCACCTTGGAGTACAGGAACCGCATGCACGCCTCAGCGTCCGCCCAGCCCGAGGTCCAGTTGACGTAGCCTTGCACGCCGTTGATGCCGCCCGTCCCCGCGCACCGCCGCACGTCCTCGGCGCTCCGCAGCTCCTCGATCTTCGCCCGTCCGCGGCCCCGCGACTCGGGCAGCGTGCACCGCTCGCTCGTCGCTGTCGGCTCCAGCCCGACGACGTTCTTGTGCGACTCGTCGACGTAGGGGCATCCGTTCGGCCCTGCCGTCAGCGCCAGCCCGGCTTCTGTGTACCGCCCGTCGGCGCCCCATTCGGTCGTGCGCCACAGGTCTTGCGCGACATAGGCAAGGGCGGAGTAAGGGGCGTCGGCGTAGTCGGGACGGATGATGCGCGAGGTGTCGATCTGTTTGTGTACGAGCCGGGTCTCTCTCTTAGCTTATTGCATGTGTGGGCGCGCTGGGGCAGGCGGCGCAGGCGGTTGTGCTGGTGATTATATGTACGCTGGAACAGTCGCCTGCGGGGAAGCTCAAGCGGTCGACGAGTGTGATTTTGGTGTTTTTGTAGGCCGGGTTCCTTGCTAGAGAGTAGGCGGTCGACAGGCCGAAGACGCCCGAGCCGATGATGAGGATAGAAGAAGGCACCGCGTCCGCCATGGTGGTTGCAGGCAAGATAATAACAAGGGATAGACGGAGATAACGAGAAGCTCAATCGATTGGAGAAGCAGTCAACAAAAGGTATACCGACTACGCCGTCCAGAAAGGAAAGGAAAAGCGGATGGCGTGAGACCTCAGAAACAGCCGCTCATCCGCATTATTATTGTAGAGCCCCACCTGGGGATTTTTGAATCACGTCTGCTCACTAGTGTCGGCGGAGGGTGGAAAAAATCCCATGGGGAATGCCGACGACGGCAATCGACGGTCTTCAGCCTCCGAAGCCGGCCTGGGCGCCCACAAGCTCTCGAAGCTCCAACCACAGCTCACACATTATATCGTGACATGATGAGGGGAGTCGAAGTGCATGTCGGGACGCAATTGGTGAATTTTAATTGTACATTTCTATCCATGCCATCTCTTCGGCTGCTCACTGTTGCAGCGCTTGTCATGTAATTGCTGCACCACGGCACCGCAGTTTGAGCCTTCTGAGCGTCATAAACGGCACTATTATGCATGCAATTTTCACGCGAGGACCAGCATACGATGTACGGATGCACTTGTCCGTGATGAAGTCATACATCTACGTCCGGGCAATGGATTCAACTACACATAAGTAAGGTGCAATATAATATCCTTGTGAGACAGACACCACTGCGACGGGGCAAGCGAACCGACCTTGAGCCGATAGCTTTTTGCCGTGTGACCACGCGCTCCAACCGAACCACCCATCAACTCACGTCAAGGCCAGTGGTACATCGTCAACCATGGGCAGCAAATCCGCGGCCTCGCCGCCGCCGCCGCCGCCCAAGAAGGGGCCCACGAAAGCATCGAAAGCATCGAAAGCACCGAAAACACCGAAAGCCTCCTCCAACACGAAGACGGCCAAACCGCTCGCCTACACACCGCGATCCCACCCACCGCGCCTCAAAGCCGTGCAGGCCACCATCGATGCGCAGAAGCCGCCGCCGCCGCTCGCGCGCAGCCGGCGCATTCCACTCATCGGGGCATGCTTCGTCGGCGCGGGCATCGCCTTTTACTTCGCGTCCGTGGGCTACTCGATGCTGCACCCGTACCAGCCGCAGCACGCGGTGCCCGCGGACGCGTCGGACCGCTTCGACCGCACGGCCGCGACGTACGACGAGGACATTGGCGCGACGGAGAAGACGCTCGGCCTGGACCGGCTGCGGCGCAAGCTGGTGAGCGCGGCGAGCGGCGACGTGCTCGAGGTCAGCGCGGGGACGGGCAGGAACACGCGGTTCTACGATTGGGGCAAGGTGAGGAGCTTGGTGCTGCTGGACCAGAGCGCGCCGATGCTCGAGGTGGCGAGGGAGAAGTGGGAGGAGCTGAAGAGGGAGAAGGAGATGAGGAACAAGAACATGGTCGGCTTGACGGAGAAGATTGGGAGTGTGGACTTCAGGGTGCAGAGCGCATTCGAGCCTATTGCTGGCCCAAAGCTGGAGAAGGCCCCGACAAATGCTGAGGAGGCGGGCAAGTTCGATACCATCGTGCAGACCATGGGGCTGTGCTCCACATCGCAGCCGGAGAAGCTGCTACAGCACATGGATGAAGTGCTAAAGAAGGACGGGAAGATATTACTGTTGGAGCACGGAAAGGCGTCTCACGACTGGCTGAATAGTTTTCTGGACAAGGCTGCCGCAGGACACGCAGACAAACACGGTTGCTGGTGGAATAAGGATATCGGAGCCATTGTCGAAAGCAGCGGGCTGGAGGTGGTTCAAATAAGCAGACCCTGGTATCACTTTGGCACTACATGGTGGGTCGAACTGCGGAAAAACCAGAAGGTGCAGGCGGAGATGGCAATGCGGAATTCACTAGAACGTGAATCACAGCAGCGGGACGGAACAGAGGCAGAGGCCGGAAAAGGCGGCTGGTTCGGTGGCTGGTTCGGCGGATGGAGGTTGTCGTAGCGACATCGCGCCTATCCTGCATCGCAACCTGGAAGCACAGTGGGCGATGAAAGGAATTGACCTACCTACAGGCGCAGTGGAATCGATATCTGGATGCACTTGTACTTGCATCTACATCCAGATATCTGCTTCAGCTACGTATGAAGAGAGGCCGTTCAAACCTACATCTACGTCAGCATACTTGCTTCAACTGCCCACGCAAAGGATCGCCGTAGGTCAGCTTCTTTCGTCACCTACTATGAGAGCGATTGATAAGGGGCCACCAGACGTCATTTCAGCCCAATGACATCAGATGGATCAACAACACGCCCAAAGACTGCTCTAGAGCTGTGTGGAAGGTTGCTGTACTCTTTCGCAATCCCTGGTCAAATTACCCTGATGCAGGAAGAACACACCTTATGGTGAAGGTTTGAGACAATATTCACAGCCATAATTATCGCAGATAACTTTAACCTCAACTAGACACGAGACAGAATAGCGGCGGTTCTGCGGCTGTATCATGAGCATCCTCCATAGATCTTCCAGGAGCCACATCCGCATCCCTTCCACAAGCTCATATCCTATTTAGGGCATAGCACGCTGGGCGGATAACGCGGTTGTTTATGATTCGCAGCTATAATGAAGAAGCACGCGGCGGCCTCGTGTTTGAAGGCATGGCGCATGCGGGAGAGCCGATTCCTCGGCTGGTGATCGATCACAAAGTTTGTTGTCAACGAGTCAAGATGACACCACCAGAAGCGAAAGGAATGCTCCTTTGGACGCACACGCAGATTCAACACCAATTGAACGCATGCAAGCAGCATCCCCAAGCGTCCCGCAGCCAAATTAGTCGTGAGCGGCTGGCTGCTCGAACCTTTTTCTCGTAGTGGCAGCCATTGACGAATGAGCGCCGTGGCAAAAGGCGTGGCGTCATCAACCTGGTCGAGCCACGAGCCACGAGCCGCTTGCGGAAGGCTAAATCCTGCCACTCACGTTGCGCGGCGCAGTGGCGGGGTGCTCTCAGGAGGTGTTGTTTGCGACCAAGGGCGTGGAGGGACGGGAGGAAGGGATGCGAAGCATGATAGCCGAACTATACGGCTGGCCGGACCAAAGTTGAAACCAAGTGAAGGAGGGCGAGCTATCTGCGGCCAAAAAGCAACTTCAGAGCGACAAGTCGCAGGAAGGTCGGTGGTGGCGTAGCAGTTGCGTCTGGCTACCCCTCCACCCCTCCATCCCCGCACTTCAGTCGTGTTGCAATTTGACCATCAAAATCGTTCGAGGATCGTCATTCGGGCCTATTTGCGAGCGTAAATAGACTGATAGGACCAGGACGGAAGCGGCTCGTAGAGACGAGCCGTGAGTGGAGGTGGTGAGGAATATTCTCCGCAGCTGCCAGCGCACACGACAGGCCAGAGTTGCGGTGTTGACGCTGTTGCTATGGTGCCGGGCAGAGGACGAGGATCAGAGAGCGGTCTGCGGTATGCAATGCATGCAGCGTGCATGCGTGCATAATGAGGCAGGCTGATCGACGACAAGCACCGTGAGAGAGCTTCCAGCCATCTTCTTCGAACACCGAAGCAGTTAGTCCGGCCGGGGACATCTGCGCCCGCAGCAGGCGGCGGGATTGCCTCCTGCAGGTGTACTCCGTGCTACGCAAGGCGCGCTGCAGGTGTGGGCAAGCGAGGGATGGCGCTGTGCCGGGCCGAGTCAGGAGCAGCAAATCATTGGTGCTTCGATGAAGCCATCAAACGGCGTGTCGCACCTTTTCCCGCTGGCGCTGGCGCTCCCAGCCGGTCCCTGACGTCCCGCGGACGGCTGGCGAGATGTTCTGATGCGGTATGTATCAGAGGCGGACGGGTCGCACGTTGATGAAAGCTTCACCACGCCCCCTCGCCGGCATGGAGAGGCGCTGGGTGCTGAAACGTGCAGCGGCCGACTTGTCCACGCCGTGCGGCTGCATTGCCGTGCTCTCACCGGTGCTGCCAGCTGCTGCCGGTCACCAACGCCGGCAGAGCGCGCCGAGACGTCACGTCCGTAAGTTATGGCCAGACGACGCAGGTTCGGTGGCGGGGGTCTGGCCAACCCAGCTGGTTACCGGGCTGAACGGCGGCGCTCGCATGTCCTCGCATGCGCGTTGCCGGCGGCCGCGGTCAAGACAGGCGTCGCGCTAGGGCCCGCCGGGCCAATTGGACCATAGACCGACCATAGCGCGCAGCTTGAATCTCTGCAGCCATTGAGCCATTCCCGAATGTGATAGCGCCGGCTCTTTTCATGGATCGTCCTCTTTCCATGTGTCTTGTTAACGAAACGACGTCGGCCTCACTCGTGGGGCGGTGCACGGACGCAGCCGCGCGAGAAAAAAAAGAGAAAAAAATCGGGCGAATTGGCGGCGCTGGGAAATTTCGCGTCCGTCTTTCAGCTGTGCGATCGGCCGAGCCCCGGGAGCAAAAGCCAGCCGTCACCCAGCGCGTGCGATGATGGTTGTGGTTGCTGGGTGCAAGGCACGTCATCTTCCTGCACTGGCGTCGTGTGAGCCGGCCGGGCGCTGGCGTGGGCGCAGCTTCGCAGGTTCGCGGGTTGGCAGGCGGCCTCGGCCACACCAACGGCCAGGCCCGTTTGCGGTGCGGTGGAGTTGACTGCAAAGGGTCTGCGTATCAGGCGGCGCCCAGGTCGGTGCTGCGGAAGACGACACCTCGGCGGGTATCGGCCTAGGAGGCGTCGCTGCTGGGGGCCCCCCTAGCTCGAGTTTTGAGCGTGAAAAGTGACGACAACTCCTGCCGCTGTAGCGTCCCCTAGTGCCAGCGTCGCTGCCTCTTCCACGGCACCACCAGCCCACCCCGTCCAGCACCATCCGCCACCACCCGCCTCAATCGCCGCCGCCGCCGCCGCCGCCGCTGCCTGTACTCTGCCACTGCGTTTTCTTCTGCCGTTGCCCCTCCACGCCTCTGCCCTGTAATACTCGCCGCCCTTGCGCTGTCTTCCCTGGAGCTCCCTGTTGCTGGCAACGCTGCTCGATCCGCCGCATTGACGCCAGGACCGACGCCAGGACCAACGCACGACACACAAACATCTCCGCCCGCATTCGCTGAGCGCTGAGCATAAGCAAAGCATCGTTCACCACCCCCGCTGCAGCCTATCCCGCAGCCTACGCCTAAACCGCCCAGCATTGCGCTTCGCTTGTACCACGTCGCATGCGCATTTGACCATTCAGGCAAGGAGCCGTGTGCCAGCAATCTCACCGTCTTGGTCTGCATTCCCCTGGTCGCCACCCAATAGGACCCCTTCCACCGCCTCTCCAGCGGCCTCCATTTTTTTCCAGGGTAGCCACAACAACCCGCCCGCGTCGCCATTGTTGTCTCGCTCGCGCGACATTTCGCTGCCGCCGCTCTCGCCATTGCAACCTCCCGCCCTGCAAACCCCAGAAATCCATCACCATGGGCTACAACACCAGGAGAAAGTCGCTGTCGCTCCCCATGCTCGGCATCCAGCTGCCAAACAGCTCGCGATCCTCGTCGCACCGCTCACCGCCCTCGACGACGCCCGCATCCGAACAACCGCCGCAGAAGAAGGTCAAGCGATCGCACACCTCGAGCGCATCGCCCGCACCTCTCAGTCCGCCCGCAACCGCGCCCCCCAAGTTTCGCGACGAGCGCTCCAAAGCCTCGACTAGGCCCGTAGAGCACACGCCGCCCCCGTCGCCAGGCGCCGAGGGCGCCTCGAAAATCGACACCGAGGGCATCAACGATGACATCGTCGTTGCTGTAATAAAACAACTCGAGGAGACGGGCAACCGCCCGCACCTGCTCAAGGAGCTTGCCGCCGTGCTTTCCCCCCAGCTGCCCATCGTCGAAAGGTACGTATTGCGATTGCAATTAGCTCACAAAAACAATCCACTGACAATCAGGCCAGCTCCGCGAACCCCTGCGCCATAATTTCGTCGCGCATGGGTGCCTACACTCGCCGTCCCTGGACCGCTCTTTCGCCTTGCCCAGTGGGAAGAGAACTCGTTGGCACCCACCCCAAGCGCATCTACTTCTTCCTCACAACCACCCCTCACCAGCCCATTCCCGAGCCCAACGAGACTTCAGCAAGCGCCAACATCGCGTCGCGCATAATCTCGCCGTCTCTTTCTTCGGCTGCGGATGACTCGGAAGAGGAGGAGCGCGACAGGCGCAGCCGCTGCGCAATGTCGCCCTCGCCCGAGGTTGATCTTTCCTCCCCCGAGCTTGACAGCGAGAGCGACACAACCACGTTTTCCGGACGCAGCTCGCTGATGCGCGAGGTCCCCCCGACCAATATTGCACACAACAGGCGCGCCGCCAGCCCGCCTCTGGAGAAGGACGAGCGGGAGTTCACTGCTACGGCTTCCTCGCTGCAGCAACGTAACCGTAACCAGCAGTCAGAGAAATCGACCGTCTCGGAAGCCCCTGCTCTGTCGAGTAATACCGAAGACGAGAACCTTCGTCTCGCAAATGAGCCCGAAAGCGAGGAGAGCGCGGCACTGCGTAACTCGGAAGCTGCGGCACTCCTTTTTGGCCAAAGCGTCGAGAGCGACTCCTCGGCTGCCACCTCGGCCATGGATTTCGGTGTCAGCAGTCCCGTGCTGAAGCCGGTCGATCACCAGGCAAACACCAAACCCGATGCGATGGAAGACGTTCGCGTCGTTAATGACGACAGCTGGGCCTGGTCGGACTGGCAGAATCCGGAATCCATTGAATTGGACGAGCTGGACGATCTGCTCGGCGACTACTAGGCACTTCACTTTTCTTGGGTTGAGAGAAATCAAAAGAATTTTAGGCGTATGGGGTCAAAACAGAATTCCCTTGTTATTTCGGAGTGTCTCCATGTCTACGGCCTCTCAGCTCGACTTCTTGTATCTCATAGTATTTTCTCTCTTTCTCTCCATGTCATTTCCCTCAGCACATTTCTTACTTTCTTTTCTGGGCGTGGCGTCCAGTTCGGGGTGGCATAGCGCTGATTTACTGTATCGCATGAGTCCTTGGGCATTTTGCACGAGGGATTGGCTGCCGGGCTTGCTTAGTCAAGTCAGCCATGAGGGAGAGGCGCAAAATCAAGATGTCGGATCGGCTGTGTGTCTGGTAGTGTGAGCACGGGGATGATGGGCGAACCGGGGGTGAAAGTTGTAGAATTAGCTCACATGAGACAAAGACGAGGACGGATGATGACGTCTGGCGGCGCTGGCCTCATAGCCCCTTCTTGTTCTGATACGTGTACGGATGACGTGGGAGAGAGACGGGGTTGGGACGCCTGAGTTAGACACAAAAGGATTTTTTATTTGCTACTGCAGAAGCCGCTATGTTCGTATGTACATGTTGTGATGGGGTGCTTCGGGCGGCAGAGAGGCAGGTGGGCAGGTGGGCACACATGCGCAAAGGTCCACTTGTGTTCGCGGCGCAGGCAAACGGCCGATGGGATGTGCTCGGGAGTTCAGGCTGGAGGATCCGGGGGCAGCCCGACGAATCAACCAGCGTGTTGGGTGCACACGGGGTGAGCGACATGGGGGCGGTTGGAACAGGAGCAATCAGAGCGAGCGGATGGGCTTGCTGGGTGACTGGGGGATGCGCGTTCGGGTGGGCATTGACGCGTGTGGATGATCTTCAGGAGAGCGGCAGCGGATCAATCATCAACTGAGTCACTGGCCAAACGCCAGCCTGTGCTGCACGTCTTCTCCGGATCATCAATCAAACCCACCGCCTTTGGTCTTTTTTGTATCGCCGTCTGTTTGCTTCTTGCTTTTCGGGCGCGCCACAGCGCGGCAAGGCGAGCTAGGACCCTCATACCCTGAGACCCTTGATGACGCTCGGCTGCTGTCCTGCCCGGCGCTGCACCCGAGTAGCTGGAGATTGATGCCCAGTGCACAGCCGGCGCCAGCACAACGGGTCGCAACAGAATCTGCCCATCCCGAAACATGTCGGCAGCATGGCCGGATGGTTTCGAAACTGGCATCCCCGGCTGGAGGTTTGTTTCAGCCGCCCACGAAGGACCTAGAGAGACGCATGCAGCCCACTGCGGCCAGCGCCGGCAGGCTGTGACGCGAGCTGCTCGACGGCTAGGCTGGCGACCGGGAGCCACAGGCCGGCCAATTGCTAGATAGGATGTTGCCTAGTCCGCGGGTGAGCCGCACAGCAGCCTAACCTCCAAGCCCAGCCTAACCATCCGGGCGCTAGGATTTAGAGGCCAAGTTGCGGTCGGGAGCAGCCAAGCAAGTAGCCCCGTGTGTGCCCTGGCGATGGCGAGACCACGGGCGAACGCACCTTGAGAACACAGCGCGGGGAGGGAAGGACAGGGCTGAAGGCTCAGAGTGTCTGCGGCGCAGCAAACGTCGTGTCGCCCAACTCGCGAGGCAAAGGGAGTTAGTTTGGTATGCGAGATAGGGCAAACTAAACTCCAGGCTGCAACAGCTGGTGAGCGAGTCCACAGGGATGGAGCGAGGGGCCTTGCCGGGTGAGGGTGGATGTAGCATTCCTTGGGTGCAGTTGGAGGGGTTTCTGGCTCGCCGGCTGCCGTTGGCTCTGTCCTCAGTAGGTTGCTGCAGCTGCCGCACAGGGCTGCTCACCCACCACGGAGGCCATGTGACTACGCAGGGCTCCTGCTAATCCTGTTTTCGCCCGCACGCGAAACCCCAGTGCCCCCGTTCTCGAAACTGCCACAAGGAAGCGCGTTGCCTGCTCCTGCCCATCCCGCGCCCATCATCTCGGCTGCCCGCCCGGCCAGCCCTGCTGCCTTTCCTGCTTTGCTGCCTGATCGCGGACTCACCACCACCATTAGCCAGTCTGGGACTCCCTCTCTGCAGCCAGCCGGGGCCTCTCCCCCTCGCCGCGCCCTTCGCCAGACCTGCGCCCAATGCTGAGTCGCCTTCTCTGCTCGTCGCCCATGTCCGGCATACGTTGCAGCGCGTCGGTCGTTGGGTAGCAAGAGCAAGCCAAGCACGCGACCACCAGCAGAAACAGCGTCAACCGCAGCAGCGACACACAGGGGTTTGCTGTTACGCCATCTCCGCCACCGCCTGCGAGTCCGGTCCGGCCAGCCCTACGGAGCCTTTGCCAGCAGGAAACACCTGACGACACCTGACAGCGCCCACCGGTAGCCTGGTCAGGCCGGGGCCGGTGAACCAAGAAAAGGATCCCGGGAAAACAAACGCCAGTCATCGTTGTTCAACCACACCGGCCCAACCAACCAAATCTGCCGCGCCGCTCCCGACCGGATCCGTCCCGAACCAGAGAAGAGACCAAACCGTCATTCCCAGGGCTAAAAAAAATAAAAAATAAACACCGTACCGCAGGCTGATCTGCGTTACCGTACGCGTAATCACGAATCACCCCACGACTGGGTCCAGGAACGGGGGCGAGTCCAGGAAGAGACAGCAGAAGAAATCAGGCCAAAAATAGAAAGGGGACGAATCAAGCGACACCATGCCTGACCGCGAATCGCGCGAGTACTATCGCGATTACTCGCGACCTCCAGGCGGCCGAGACTCGCACCACCGCTACTATGACGACGAATACGTCGTCATGGATCGCCAACACCACCACCCGCGCGGTAGCAACGAGAACGTCTCTGCTAGGAGAAGCAACACGTCCGCCAGGCCACGGGCGCAGTCCATGTACGACACCCCACCACGGGGTCACCCAAATGAATACGACATCGAGGTCGTGTACGATGATGAGGAAAGCTTCGTCGGACGCGAACGAGAGCGCGGGCGGCGCGATAGCCACAGCCCACCTCCCCAGAGCGCTCGGAGGAGCTTTGTCAGGGATGAGGTCTTTGATGTGCCACCGCCACCGCCGCCGCCCCCGATGCCGCACCCGCCTGCACCTGCGCCGTCGCCGCCCGCGCGGGCAGCGTCGGTGAGAAGTGTGCGAGACAGGGGATGGGAAAGGGAGAGGGACATGGACGTGATCGACGTTGTCGAGGAGCGCCACCACCACCACCGTTCTTCTCCTCTTTCCGATCGCGCGAGGAAAAACGCGAGCACCATGGTCAATCCGCCCGCCAGCGTGCACCCGAGCCACTCGGGCGCGCTCGTGTCGAGAAAAAATTCTCCCGCGAGTGGCGGTCGCGCCTCGGTATACGAGTACGGCGACAGGCCGGGATCATCATCGGCAAGAGAAAGAGACGAGTATGCATATACTCGGGATGATGGGGTCGTGGTGGTGAGGAGCCAGCCGCAGGAAATTGAGATTGTGGAACAGATCGTGCCGGTGCCGATGAGGAGTAAGAGCAGGGCGAGGAGTAAAAGTATGGTCAGGCGGAAGGCGAGTCTGGATATGAGGGGTGCGGATAGCCCACCACCATTCAAGAGATTGATCGTGGCCTGTGATGGTGAGTCAGATTTCCATTGCCATGCTCCCGGAGTCTCATCCGGGATGTTGCTGTAAACCCTACCGGTTTGTCTTCTCGTCCCAGCTTCCGAATGTTTGAAGTATCTCCGTAGCTTTGTTGCGCCCTTCTCCTTTCCTTTCTGCCTGGCAGTACAGTGCATCTGAAGAAACGCGTCCGAAAGCCTTCAAAGGCTCTCGACGCGCGACTGAACCACAAAGGCCATATATGGCAGTGTTGCTCGTTTGTTTGCTGATGAAGAGAACAGGCACATGGATGAATTCAGACAACGGCATGGCGAACGGCGAACTAGCCGTCCCCAGCAACGTGACGCGGATATCTCGAGCGATCAAACCAATGTCGAAAGACAGAATCCCTCAGATTGTCTACTACCATTTCGGGGTCGGATCTCGTGGCAACCTTGTCAACCGAGTGATCAGTGGCTCAACGGGAGGCGGCCTAGAGGAGAACGTGCGCGAGGCATACTCCTTTCTCAGCAACAACTACTCTCCTGGTGATGAAATATACCTGATTGGATTCTCGAGAGGCGCGTTCACTGCACGCAGTATCGCAGGCTTGATAGAGCAAATAGGCGTGTTGACGAAGAAAGGTCTAGGATCTTTTGTGGCCATATTTGACGATGTACAACACCGGCGAGATCGTAGTTACAAGGACAGGAACCCGGATATTCCGTTCTCCAACAAGCCCAATGCCAGTGATCCGGCCTATCGTTACGAGCTGGAAGCGAGAGGGCTGACAACGCTCGGCGTTCGAGTCAAAGCCATTGGCGTATGGGATACTGTCGGCTCCCTGGGCGCACCGCGAGTCGGCTGGCTCACAAAGGTCGGACTGCAACCGATGCAGTCGAAGGAAATGACCTTCTACGACACAAAACTATCGAACTGCGTCGACTACGCCTTCCAAGCGCTAGCACTGGACGAGCGCCGCGCATCCTTCGTACCAGCGCTCTGGGAGAAACCCCGCGACAACACGCGGACGGTGCTCCGGCAGGTGTGGTTCCCGGGCGTGCACAGCAACGTGGGCGGCGGCTACGACGACCAGCAGCTGGCCAACATCACGCTGGCGTGGATGGTGTCGCAGCTGCAGCCCTTCCTCGACTTCAAGGTCAAGTACGTCTTCGACCAGGAAGAGGCCAACGACCGCTTCTACAAGCGGCAGCGCAAGGAGTCGGTGCCGCGCCCCTGGAGCTTCGGCGAGATACCCAACTCGGCCGCCGGCATCTACAGCCTCGCCGGCAGCGCGAAGCGCACGCCGGGCCTGTACACGTCGACGGACCCGCACACGGGCCGCGGCACCGGCCGGCCGCTGCGCGACACGTGCGAGTACGTCCACGCGAGCGTCCGCGCGAGGTGGAGGCTGGGCGGGCCCGGCCCGGAGGACAAGGGCAGGTACGACCCGGAGCCGTTCGACGACTGGCGCCTCGTCGTCGAGTATCCCCCGGATCATCACGACCATCATCGCCATGGCGGCGGCGCCGGCCGTGGTCCTCCCCCGGATGTCTTTTGGCGCCTGCGCAGCGGTATCGACGATCAGCGCGTGCCGGTCAGCACGCGCGTCTTGCCAGAGGCCCCGTTGAGCCGGCTGGAGAGGGAGCTGCTGGCGGAAAGAGACCCGGAGGCGTATGAGTTTGTCATGTGGCCGCCGAAGACGAAGCAAAGGCGTGTGGGTGGCGGTGGCGGTGGCGGTGGTGGCGGCGGCGGTGGTGCGGGCAGGGCGAGGAGTAAGAGCAGGGGGCCGTCTAGGAGGGAGAGGGTGTCGATGGTTGAGCCGACGAGGGAGAGGGAGAGAGATAGAGAGGGGGATAGGGATGTGGTGAGGGAGGATGTCGTCAAGGAGAGGAGGAGGAGGAGCGCCATTTTACCGCCGAGCGACGATTACAGAAGAAGTATGCCGGAGAGATTTGATTAGGGTGGGAGGGGGGTTGGTGGATCAGGGCGAGGTAGGGTTGGGCTGGGACTCGTGGGTGTTGTGGTGGTGGGAACGGTGTTGGTATATCCACTTATTGTTTGTCTTCGTCTCCTGGTATTGGTACTCTTGTGGGGTTGACGAGGTTATCAAGGATTGCGGGGGATGGTATAGGAACGTGGCTGGGGTTGGACTGGAGTTCGGCAGTTCCAGTAAGAGTGAGTGGGCGGGTATGCGTGGTGCACTTTGAGGAAGCTAAGTTAAAGCAATGACATTTTAACTGTAGAGGTCATGCTAAGAAAGAATGGACGAATGGATGAATGTTACCGAAGTTGTTGATTCTGATGGGACTTTGGCCCAAGATGTAAGTATTATTGATCGCATCTTGCTGCGCTTCTCAGGGCTGTTCCAAAGGCGGAGGGAAAGTGTATGTTTGATAGTAGAAGTGAGCAGTGGAAGCATATCCGGACGCTCTGTTCATAGACTCGGATGCCGTGCATTCATATATTCAGTCGGAGGCTTCACCTGGCCGTCGTACGTGGCAAGATTAAGCAAGACGACCCTGAAATCCCGGTAGCATCTTGTGTTATCAGAGAAGTGTCGGTCGGATTTGCAGAGGGCTGGGAAGGGGTGGTGCAGGCTAGTCGGTCCGGGCTGACTTAGCGTTTGACAGAGTTTCCTGCCACTCACTTCATCAACGCCAGCAACCACCAAGCCGTACGCAGCGGAAGACGATGTGTGATGACTTCTCCGCAATGGGGAGATAAGGTAGTGGGTCTCTTGCGCTATTGTTACTACGCAGTGGCTAAAAATAGGTCCAAGCACCGGCCATGGCTGTGTGACGTCGGTAGCTGTGGCGACAATGGCAGTGGCAGCTTTGACCATAAAGCTCGATACCTATGTTTGACCGTCACACCGGTCGTCAGCAGAAGGATTTAGTACTGTGGATCGGCCTCCTGGTCAGGGCATCATCCCCATGTACACTTCGCTAGGGCCCGCCACAGAGCGGTGTAAGGCTTCCCGTTGGTCGAAGCTGGATCTTGGCCCCCAAATTGCTTTGGCGAAGCCTTTTCTTCTTAAAACACATGGTGCTTCTCTTCCCTGCTCCGTCCTGGACGCGCTGGTACCCCGACACACAACCGGGCGGTCATAGGAACGATTCGCAGCCATGAGTTACCAGCCCGTCCACAGCTCGGAAGCCGCGGCGGCGCCCGAGACGCAGTATGATCGGATGAATCCCTCGGGCCCAGAAAGCTTGTCTGCCAGAGACTCGGACTCGACCCAAACCCGGACCAAGGCACCTGCAGACGGCGTCGTCGTCGAGAAAGATGCAGACCCAGACCGCCGCAGCCAAACGGGCTCTTTGACACCTTTGGGCAGATTCGGACGATGGGTCACGGAAATTCTGGCGTACATGGTCTCGCTCGTCGCCTTGGCTGCAATCGTCATCACCCTCGCGACGCATGATGGACGTCCGCTTCCGGACTGGCCGTTTAGGGTGTCGATCAACGCCCTGATATCCGTGTTTGCCGTCATCCTCAAGGCCACCATGCTGATTCCGGTTGCCGAAGGTGCGTGCGAGGCTCGTTGATCGGTCGGCGATTCCAAGTACTAACACGACTTCCAAACCAGCCGTCAGCCAGTTGAAGTGGTCATGGTACAAAGAAGCCCGTCCGCTCCACGACATGGCAAGATTCGACCACGCAAGCCGTGGGGTCTGGGGATCGCTCAAGTTCATCCGTTACCTGCACGTGCGGAACATGGCAACGCTTGGGGCCATCATCACGGTGCTGGCCACAGCCAGCGACCCATTCATCCAGCAGGTGGTCAGGTACCATTCCTGCACGCAGGACGAGTCCAGCGAGGCTGCATCCATCCTGCGGACAAACAACTACACGGAGACCGGGGCCCACGTCGGGGCCGGCATGACCACGCTGGACCTTCCCATGCAGGCGGCGCTCTACCAAGGCGCCTACAACTCGTTCCAGGGCGTGGAGCCGGCGTGCGGGACGGGCAACTGCACGTACCCGGACTACAGGACGCTCGGCATGTGCAGCTCGTGCGAGGACTACTCGGCCGCGATCAACAAGTCATGCATCGAGACGAGCCCGTCGTCGCTGGCATGCAACTGGACGCTGCCGTCGGGGCTGCAGCTCTCGCTGCCGTACCCCATCACCATGGTCATGGGCTCGGGCGACGCCAGCGTCTACGGCTCGACGTGGAACGAGACGGCGCTGGTGACGACGGAGCTGCTGACGCTGCCGGACGCCCCCACGTACTCGTCGACCGGGGGGTCCATCGCCGACTTCGTGACGGCGGCGTACCGGTGCTCGCTCTCGCCGTGCGTGCGCACCTACCGGCTCAACGTCACGCAGGGCGTCGCGCGCGAGACGCTCGTCGACACGACGCCCGTCACGCGCTACACGATGGAGGTGCCGTGGTCGAGCTACTCGGCGACGCCCATGCCCTGCCTCCTCAACGGGACGTACCGCGACGCCACCGACTTCACGCAGCCCAACGCCACCAACACGTTCGAGACGTGGGGGGTGCTCCCGGGCAACGCGTCGGCGGCGTGGCTGCCCAAGGAGTGCGTCTTCTGGTACCCCAACACGCTCGGCGCGCAGGAGTTCCTGCCCGGCTTCCTCAACGGCTCCGTCTGGTACGCGCCCGAGGTCGACGAGTCGGACCCGCCGTGGCTCGGCCAGCTGTACAACAAGGGCAACACCAGCCTCGGCCTCGTCGCGAGCCTGTGGGAGAGCATGGCCGACAGCATGACGGCGAACATGCGCCGCAACGGCGACGCGAGCAACAGCGACCCCGCCCAGGGCATGGCCCAGCGTACCGTTACGTGCGTCAGTGTGCGCTGGCCGTGGCTGGCGTATCCGGCCGCGTTGTTGGTGCTGACGGCCGTCTTCTTGGCCGCGACCATCGTGGAGAGCGTGAGCAGGAGCGGGTTTCAGATATGGAAGGGAAACCCGCTGGCGTTGCTGTTCCACGGCTTGGATGGCGACGAGGTGGCCAAGTATCGCAGGGAGGTGACGCATGAGGGGCAGATGGAGCAGGTGGCCAAGACGGTGCGGGTGAGGATGGGCGATTTGGGGACCGGGATGAAGTTGATGGAGGTGCCGCATCAAGAGTGACGGCGTTTTGCTTGTCGATAGCCACGGTTGATGTAGAGACATGAAGTTAGCGCGCTAGTCCCGATGTGGAAGGAGAGGGCATATAGATGCATTTCCAGCACAGTCGCGACTGCCGCATCCACCACAACGGAAACGAAAACAAGAAAGGCAAAAAGGCATCGGCTGAGACTCGAACTCAGGTTCTTTCCATACATCACATCAGGCGTTACCCTGGAACCCATTGGGCCATGTGGACTTGGAACGTGCTACCACTGCACCAACGATGCTGACAGTGACGGCCGCTTCCACCAATCATATAGCAACACGGCTCTTCTGGCATCCACTCTGCAGCCGCAGCGCAGCGGTCGCTTGAGGCAGCCCGAAGGCAGGCACGGCCGGATATCTGCCTCGACTGCCCCGGTATAAGCATCCGCCATACCATCCACCTAAGCTCTTCCCTCCTCCTCCTCCACCCTCTCAACACGCTCCACACTGCCGCCGCCATGCACGCCAACAGTCTTCTTCCCCGCCACAACATCTCTCTCCATCTGCACCTCGATATGCGAGTTGAGCAACGGACTCGGATCCTCAACCCACAACGCGCACACGGTCGCCACCACGCCAAACGGAATGCTCGCATAAAACACCATCCGAAACGCCTTTGCATACGTCTCCTTGAACGCCACCGCCGTCGCCTCCTTCACCGCCTCACTCACGCCGCCCGGCACCGCCTGCAGCGCCCCCGGCACACCGACGGCGTTCTCAATCACCGCCGGGATCAACGCGCCCACGTTGGCCCCATCGAAGCCCGCCCGGACGGCCGCCCGCGCAATGTTCCCCGCCAACTCCGCGTTCGTCACGGAGCGCAGGATGCTGCTGAAGACGGCGTTCCCAATGGAGCCGCCGGCGCTCCTGAAGGTGCCGATGAGGCCGCTGGCGACGCCCAGCTCGTGCTGGGGCACGAACAAGCCGGCCGTGACGTACGCGATGGTCGTCAGCCAGGTGAAGCAGCCCTGGCCGAAGAACTGCAGCGCCATCCACGCGGCCCGGTTGCGGGGGATGACGGCCGCGTAGCACGCCGTGAAGGCCGTCTGCACCACGAGCGCGACGACAATCTGCGCGCGCACGCGCCGGATGCGGTGCAGCAGCGACGGCAGCAGCCAGCCGCCGACGACGCCGCCGAGCCCGTTGGGGATGGCGACGACGCCGATCTGCGTGGGGTCGCTGGTGTAGGCGTACAGCGTCGCCTGCGGGAGCAGCGCCGCCATGGCGTACCAGATGAAGCCCGACACGAAGACGATGAGGAGGTGGACGGTGAAGCGGCGGAGCAGGGCGAAGAGGGAGCGCGGGAAGAGCGCGTTGCGGCCGGCGACGGTGAAGCCGTAGGCGAAGCAGCCCGCGGTGAGGCAGGCGCCGACGGCGATGGTGGACGCGACGAGGGCTTTGGAGTAGGACGGCTTGCCCAGGTAGGTGAGGCCGACGAGGCAGGTGGTGAGGCCGGCGGTGAAGAGGACGAGGCCGATCCAGTCGAGCTCTTTGAACTCGTCCCACCGCGACTTGTCGTAGTCGCGCCGCGGCCGCGAGGGCGGGAAGTAGAAGACGGCGATGCCGACGGTGCAGAGAGACGAGTAGATGATGGCGATGTAGTAGCACCAGCGCCATGTGGCTTCCTCGGCGAGCTTGTTGGCGATGATGACGCCGAACGCGGCCCAGGGGACGTTGATGCAGAACTCTGTCCACCCGAGTCCGATGCCACTGTCCGTTGCGGGTCAGTGTCCGTTTGGGAGCTCATGGGCGAGAGAGAGTCTTCCAAAACATACCGGTACTTATTGGGAAGAAGCTCGGAGATGCCGGGGTAGGCCACAAACGCGACGCCAGCTCCAAAACCAATGATAGTTGATGCTGCCGCTACCGTAGTGGTTTTCTGCGCCGTCGCTCCAACAATCTGGACACAATGAGTATGGTCAACTATCGGAGACCTTTGATACAGATTGCGGAAGGGGGCCACTTACTGCACCGACTAGAGTGATGATTTGGCCAGACAGCGTGACCCAGCGACGGCCGAAAATATCGCTCCAGCCTCCGGCGATGGAGAAGGACACGGCGGATGCGACGCTCCAGCCGCCTGCAATCCAGACAATGTTCTCCGTGTCGTTCAGATCCTGTCCGATGGGATTGAGAATACTGTTGACAAGCACGTAGCCGCAGGCCACGGGAGCAACGAAGGACATGCCCAAGAACTGTGGTGATCAATCATCTGTCTTCGGCAGCGGAGCGTAGCGTATGACTTACGAAGACTGCGATCACGGCTGAGATGGATACCTTCTCCTCTTCATCGCTCATGCTACCCTGAATCACATTGCTGGGCGTTGTGACGACAGCGTCGAGTGACTTGGCGGGATCGCTCTTCTCGGGCTCATGCCGGACGGCATCTGGGGCCGCCATGCTGTGTTGTTAGGTAGGGAGATGATTGAGGAAGATCTACTTTCGAGAGCGTGGTGCCCGGTCCGTACTTGTATGCGGGCGTGCCCATCGGCGAGTATATCTGCGTAGCGGAGGAGGTTCAGAGTTCAGGGCGGCAAACATGCAACATGACGCGTGCCACGAGCCGACACCTCAAGCGAGACAGGGGAGTAGCCGGGATGACCAAACGCGAATCATTGCCATTGAGAGCAGTTCAACAGCAGGGTTTGTCGTTGTTGATGCCGGTGCGGACGGGACAGCCGCCTCTTCTCCACCTTGAGCGGGTCCTTTAGCCTGTCAGCCGTGCCGAGAGTCTGGGGTTATCCGGCGCACCCCGCAATCCCCCCCATCAACTCCGGCCAAAGTCACTGACTAGATATTGGTCCATCATATTTCTTCCCGGTTCCGGTGTTGTGGTGGTGGCTGGAACGTCATCCGCAGTTGTTTAATCTTCTTGAAACCTATGGGATGGGATGCATGGGAGGGGAACGCTGAAACGGCTGGGCAGCCGATCATGCTCCAGGTCTTCGGCACTTGCAGGTTCCTGTCATGCCGGCAGTTGCAATGTTTACCAAGTCCTGCATTGCGCCCTAGTGAGATGATTCCTCTAACCGATAGTACTCAAACCGCACCCCTCCGATTGGCTTTCCGGTTTGCGGGGAGGGAATGCGGAGGCACATAAAATGAAACCAAAAAAAGAACTCACCAGTAGATCCCCCGGATTGCGAGACCACCGTCACCTGCAAGCCAGCGGCGGTCAAAAATAGACACAAGTGCAAACATTTCGATGGGAGCCTTGCACTGATCGTCAGGGCTCTACACCACTGTGGTCGCAGAAGACCTTGTTCTTCCCAAACCTGTCCTACCAGAAATAAAGCACCCTCCTTTGCATAACCAAGTGATATTCATAAGTCAATGTCCGTATCAACTCTACGGCATTGCAATGCTAAGCAGTGCAGTGACTAGTTGGCCAAAGAGCTCAGTCAACACGCAGTATACCCTAGCCATCGGCATCCAGATCTGCACACCGACCTTCCAAAGGGGACTTTGCCTTGCGCCATCACCAGCATCATGACTACCAGAAGCCAACGCTTGACCATTTTCCACCACACCTGCCGTCTCTCCTGATTCATCGCCCGCTGCTTCTTGCGATGCCTCATCAAGCCACAGCTCCTCAATAAGCTTGTCTGCGCCGGATATGCCAAATGGGATTGAGACCGACTTCCTCCGGAGCTTCCTCCGGAATTTCTTAGGCATCTTCTTTATCATTCCCCTCTGCTGCTGCTGCTGCTGCTGCATCTCCTGCTGCCTCCTCATCCTACTCTTATACTTCCACTCCCTGGACTTCTTGCCCCGATCAGGGAACGCAGCCGGATCGTGCTCGAACGACTCAGAGTCAGGTTCGACGCCGAGCTCTCTGCCGAGGGGCTTCATTGTGGGTGCGTTTTCCTCAGGCACGTTTTGGCCCGTCAAAGGTTGCACGACGCTCGGAAGACTCGAAGGGGGCTGCACAGTGTGATGCACAACAGTCCATTCGTTTGTAGGCGCAGCTTTGTCGTCAGGTGGGTTAGGTGGGTTAGGTGGATGCCGGACGTGGTTGTAGCGGATTGCTTTGGCGTAGTTAGGAGATTCGTCGGCACCACCGCGAAGATGAGGCCGAAGCGTCGAAGGCGGGATCACAGCTTCTCCTTGAATGTGAGTTGTCGGTACTGTGTTGCTGGGTGGGGTATGGTCAAGGTCTACGGGTGGAGAGTAGTCTTGTGGAGGCTCATTTGGCCATACGTGATCGAGCCACCAATGAATCCCAGGATATGTATTATACTGGTGTTGGCCAGGGTAATATGCCATCTGACTACTGGCTTGAAATAAGGGGTAGGTTGGAGCCGTCGTGGTCGCCGCCGCTGAGGAAAGGTCTGGGAGGTCCCGCCAATCCAATGCATAGCCCATGTATGCGCTGGCGGCATTTCCAGCTAGCATGGGCCTGAAAGGGGGACGTCCTGACTCCAAGTGATTTCGAAAAAGCTGCTTGTGTGAAGAGGATGCATTTCCAGCCAGCATGGGCCTGAAAGGGTGACGTCCTGACTCCAAGTAATTGCGAAAAAGCTGCTTGTGTGAAGAGGATGCATTCGAGCCGTTGCGCTCGGAAGACATAGCGATTGCGATATGATGCCCCACTGGAAATACGAGCGTAACCAAACGACCGAAGCTGCTCACGGATGCACCCTATATCTGAAGTCAGTCACTGTCCTGCAAGAGGCTCCAGGCTGAACTACAATTACCCGATGCCAAGGAGATGTCTTTTGTGTTCGACTCCGGAAAGAGTGACGAGGAGCTAAATTGGCGAGAATAAGATGATACTGAGCGATGGGGATAGTATTCCACTTCGGAGAGTGATCGAGTTGAGATGGCGTAGACAGCGAGAGAGGGACATGTCATGCTAGGCTCCTTCCACTCCCGTGGCTGCCTTCCCTTGAACACCCGGCAAGCGCTGGCTGCTGACGCAAAACTCCAAGCATGGAAGTTGACCCCGTGCTCCTTGTGATTTCATCTGATCGTTCTTCCCTCTCAATAAACTTCCCAAGACGACACGCCCGTCACCCTGCCCTTCCGCCAATCCACACCATGTTTATACTCGGCTGCGATTGGCTCTTCGTCAATGCCGCAATGATCCTCACCATCCCTGCCTCTGAACCACCCCAGCGCATACGTTCCCTTCTTCTCCTCCAAATACCGCGTCATGGCCTTGCTATCAAGCCTCTGTGTATCCACAAACTTCACCAGCATGTTGCTCTGATGAATAAACGCAAGCACAGACGCAATGCTACCGGGCTGGCGGGGAAGAAAGTAATGTCTCCGCTTCGCATACACAATGCTCGCAACGACGCATAGGTAAACGAGGATACCGAGGGCCAAAGCAAATGACACCCAGAAGGACTTGAACGTTTCATCTGTGTTGTAGCGACTGTCGTTGTCCTCATCATGCGGGATATTGTCGTGCCCTTCGCCCGAGATGAACTTCTTGCCATCGACCGAAAATGACGACATGCACACGGTCAAAACCTCAGTCATGACTGCGCCAATACCGACGGCGGAGACGAGGTAGTGGCGATTGAAGAAGGCTTGGACGGGGAGGTAGCCAGGCATGGTGCCAGTGTAGTCGAGAGTGAGAGTGCGTGGTGGCGCGTTGCGGCGTGAGAGGATATAGAAAGGTTCGACGATGCGGACATCCATTTCGAGAGTGCCCCAGAGAAGCTTGATGATGGTGCCGATGGCGGTGAGCAAAAAGGGAATCTTCTCGGTGACGATGTTGGCCTCTGGCTGAAACAAGAAGACTGGCAGAAGGACCATGACGACAATGATGCCGCAGATGTAAGGGATGCCACCTTTGAGCGTCAGCATGAGCGGATGTGGGTTTTCGAACTTCTCCGTCACTTCTTCGGTCCGCGTGTTGCGAATGTATTCTCCTTGCCAGAGCGAACTCTTATGGAGAAGGTAGCGGCGGTGCGCAAGTTGCTTGTGGATGACGTGCGTTGGCACGATGTCTAGTCCCTGGAAGTCTTGCAAAATATGGCTTTGTGTTGCCATGGCCGCGATGCCAGCGATGCCCTTGGGGTCACTGAGCAGACCACTCTTTCTCTGGAGCTTGAACATAAGAAGCATGCCGCAAAACGCCACAGCGAACAAAGACGCCGACATTATCCTTGACCAGACGGGCACGATCCGGATGAATTTCTCGTCGACTTCGCTCCTGTCGTCCTTTTCCGGATACATCTTCACGGATGCAGACTGCAGGACCGGAACAAGGCTGCCGGAAATGAGGGTTGCCAGAGACGAAAACAAGACCGCCCATTGTCGGTGCCGTGCTGCCCTCAAAGGAATCAGGTAAGACAGGAAAGTCAGGTAGTCCATGTTCAAGCTGGCGGATGCACTAGCGCCTCCAGGACGAGAGAGCTGATAATAGGGTTCAAGCCGTTTGACTTCAAAGTCAGAGATCTGCCAAAGGATACCGTAGGACAGGAGGATGATTGTCGGTGCGTATTTCCAGGTAAAGTAGGCTGTCAGTGAAATCTCCTGCGGACTATGGAATTTGAGAAGTCCGTCTGTTTGCCCTTTTCGAATTGAAACTTGGCAGAGTAGTTCCTGCACGACTCCAAGACCCATTGCAATAACAATGAGCATTGTGATCCACCACCAGCGCATCGACATTGGCCTCCAGGAAGGCATGTCGGGATCCGGAGGGAAGTAGTAGCTCGTCTCTGACCGGCCCTTTGGTGCAGTGGCAACTCTCTCGATGATGCTGCGACGCTCGTAGTCGGCTCCGTCATAACTGCTGAGGTCAACGGCAGGTGTTTCCACGGCCAGGATCTCGCCGAACTTCTCCGCCGCCCTTTGTGCTTCTTTGCGTTGTTCCTTTGCGGATGTCTTCCCTCTCTTAATCGTTGCTTGGCGGACCGGCTCAGAAGCGTCTAGAACTCCATGCATGCCGCTCCCCAGCTTGGTAGGCTTGCGGTCGATATTTTGCTTCTGACTCGCGCCGCCCAAACCTGTGTAAGCGCCTCTCATCTCTTGGTCCGACTTCCCAGACACTTCCCCCACCGATACTTTTCGAAGCGGAATCGGGCCTTCGAACGCACTGATGTCGAAAGCGATGCCATCGTCATCGCGTTCCTCTTCAACGTCCATTAGCCTGGCTTTGCCCAGATCTATGCTCCCACCTTCATCGTCGTCTTCCAATCTGCCGTACCTCGATCGCCGCGATCCTCTGAAAGCCTTCAGCGAACCAAGCTTACTGAACAAGCTGGGCTGACGTGACGGCACAGGGCTGCTCTGGGTGAAAGAAGCTGGCGCGGAATCATAGGCGGTGGACGCCGGGAATGCGGGCGGTGATGGCACGTCAGACACGGCGAAGGAAGCCTTGTCGGGCGAGGATATGGATGAGGCATAGGAGTATCGCTGACGAGAATCGCGGCGCGTCGATACCAAAGAAGGACGCTGAGGGTACTCGCTAGTTGGCGAGACTAGGTGGGGAGAAGGTGTCTCGCGGTGAATAGAATTGCGGTCCGAGAACGGGTTGTATCCTTCCGTCGCAGGAGAACCCGCGCGCAGCGAGGCGGGAACGTCATCCATTGGCGACGGTTGATGAGCGAGTGGGTGTGACGGTGTGACGGTGTGACGGTGTGAGAGGCTTCAGCAAAGAGCCGTCTTCTTTCGGGGACTGACGATTCGACGGATCTCTCACGAGACAGGCCTCATGGCGAGGTGGGAGGGGCCGTGGAAGGGAGAGAGGTTGCGGGGGTGGGGAGCAAGCAAACAGCGGATCCGACCCGACAGCGACACAGCAGGTCTACTAAGTAAGGCATCCTTCCCGGGGTATGTACATAGTGGGCGGATGCGGCGCAGGTCCCCTCCAATCTGATGCGAGGCCGAGAATCCGCCCCCAACAATGGCTGCCCCAAGCTCTTGTGATCAGCGCTCCAGAGTCGTAGCGAAAGAGAGGCCAAGATGGAGGCCACGAAGGCTGCAATCGGACGCTGCGGCCGACCTGGCACGTTGGCACAGCGAGGGCGCTGAGTCCGGCATGTGCGGGCAGCTGATTGCAACCTGGACGGGCCAGGCAGCATGGCGAGTGCGAGAGACGCGTTTTCCCGAAGCGGTTGCCCCGGCGCAAGCCACCGGCCAAAGATAGCCAGCTGGGCTTCTCAGCCTTGCCCGACGCCTCTGCACGCTGTCATGTCCAGTCTCCAAGCGGCATCGCTCGAGCTACCGGCGCTCGAACCCCGAAGCAGCAGTGGAGACCCGGTGAGGCTGCCACAGCAGCGACGGACGAAGGGATTGAGGTGGTTGGCGATGGTTGGCGATGGTTGCACGACGGAGGCCCCGAGGACCGGGTCACCACTCGCTTGCTGCCTGTTTGCTGCAGTCCCTCCTTAGCCGAAGAAATCTCTTCCCTTCGCACACAAACCCCAGATTCCAACACCATACCTACCCGAGCCCCCATCGCGGTCATCATGATGTGCGCAGGGATGCCCGCCCAAGCCCGCCCAAGCCCGCATGTCGCACTGAAGTCTCCTGCATCCGTGCAGTGAGCACTCCCGCTGCCTGGTTTCAGGGCAATGCTTATACCTAGCTGGCTCCATCTCGCGCCACCGTGTCCAGTCTTCCAACTCCACCTTCATCTTCGCCGGTAAGCCGCCGCTCTCCCCCGTTGTGCGTGCGATACCATGATGATCCTTTTGTTCATTCAAAGTTTCAAGACGGAACGGAGGGAACTTTTCGTACTTCTTCCCCGTGAATGAGCCCTTTGCGCTGACCTCTGCACCCTTCGACGCATTCCGTTATCAAAGACCCTGGTACAGAGGGTGTGCTGACAACTGAGACCAAGAGCAAGCCAAGAGCAAGATGATGGCTTGCGCGACTCGACCGGTTCTCGCAGAGACAACCATGACATGCCGCTCACATTGATACGCGTACAGACTCGATATGTAGTAATACGACACCGTCTCACATTCCATGCATTAAGCTTTCCAATTGCAATGAACCACCCGGCGCCGCGTTTTGACATGCCCAGCTTTTCTGTTTCCAATCGCGAGCTCGTTCGCAGTGGCCATGGGCTCTCGACCGAACACATGGCAGTATATAATCATGCCGGCAACCCGCCTACGACGACTTGTTCCTGCCGCTGCGCCGGGGCTCGCCCGTCTCCGTGGCAGCCTTCTTGGGCTCCTTCTTGGGCTTGGCCTTCGCTGCCGACTTCTTCTCGCCGTTCTCCGCCTTCTTGGGTCTGCCGCGACCCTTCTTACCGTTGGCCTCAGCATCCGTCTTCTGCTGCTTGGCGGCCGGCTCGCCGTCCTGCTTGTCCTCGGCCTTCTCCTCAGACTTCTTCTCGCTCTTCTTCTTTCCCTCACCGTTGGTCTGCCTGGCCTTCCGCTTGTCGCCCGTCTGCGCCTCGTCGCTCTCCTTCTTCTCTGAAGTCTTCTCTTCTTCCTTGTCGTCGGCCTTCTCGGCAGCTTCCTTCTTTTCCTCTTCCTTCGTTTCCTCGTCGGCCTTCTTCTCACCATTGGTGGCTTCCTCCTTGCTGTCCTTGTCCTCGTCCTTCTTGCCCGTCTCGTTCTTGTCATCTTTCTCCTCGTTCTCCTTGTCGTCGTCCTTCTTTCCCGCCTCCTCCTTCTCCTCCTCCTTCTTGTCCTCGGAGCCATTAGCCTTGGACTCGACGTCGAGCTCGGAGGCTCTCTTCACGACATCGTTGCCGGGGCGCTCGATGTGCACGGCGGGGTTTTCGGGGTCGGCGTTCTTCTTGATGGTGTTGCCCTTGTTGGACTCGATGGCGATCTCGCCTTCCTTGGCGACCTCGGCGACGGTACCGCCGGGCGCACCACCGCCCCACTTCCACGACACTGCAAGGGCAAAGAAAAGCACGGGTCAGCGAGGGGATTCGCACAGGCATCGGACAGGGAGGTGGACGGATGGACGACTTGTGTTGTCTGGCTGACATGCGGCGGCGCGCATGCTACGTCATCGCACGGGCCGGGGAAAGGGCTGGAGCCGGGGTAGACGCGTGCAGACGCGAGGGTGGGCGCATCAAGGGTGCGTCGGCGCGCTTCAGGCGGCGGCGGATTGGACGCGATTGGAGGACGTACCTTCGTCGCCCTTCTGGATTTCCTGCTCGGCCATGACGATGACGGGGATTGATGCGCGCTCGGAGCTGAGGGAGCTAAGCTGCTAGCGCTGCGACACGTGAACAGGCGCGGAGGGACGGCAAATGAGAGTGAGGGTGGTCGCAGGGCGGATGCGACGATGGGTGCGGGATGATTGATGCGCGCGCAGGTGTGGCGGATGGGAAAGGAGAGCAGAGAGGAGGGACAATGGGGTGATGTTGGAGCTGGCTGAACGGGACGGAGGTCTGGGGGACTTGAAGAAGCTTGGGCGATCGAAGACGGCCAACCACAGGCTGGCGCAGCGCATGGCCAGAGCCGGAAGGCGTTGGCGTCATGCTCCAAGCAGCCGAGTGCACGTGACGCGGCTGGCCACTGCATCGACGCCGGGGAAAACCAAATCCTCGTCCCAACCCCCCTCCTGTGCCCGCCGCGTCGCCGCCCCGTTTGGTGCGAGCTGGGGCTTGTCGCGGCGCAGCATGCTGCTGCGAGTGGCCGCCGGCAGCGTGCTGCGCTGGGTCAAGTGTTTCAGTGGTGGAGCTAACGAATCATCTCAGAACAGGCTCGAATCATGGACGCCTGTCCACCGCTGACCCGAGCGGCGACGGCTTATGCCCAATGCGGTAGTCTACAGCTGGCTGCGCCGCGTGCTGCGCAGTCTCTTGAGGCTCTGCAGAATCTCAATCTTGCGCAGCTCCATCTGCAAGTCCTCCGCGTCCATGCCGTCCAGATCCAGGTTGCCGTCGCTCACTGCCGAGTCGACGCGCTGCCGGAACTTCGGCGCCTCCAGCCTGCCACTGCCCGGCGGCGGCGGCGGCACCTCGCCCTTGGCCTTGCCCGACACGTCGACCCAGCCTCTGCATTTCTCGACCGCCTTCGTCCAGGCCGCGAACTTCGCATTCCGATCGGCCGCCGAGGTTGACGGCTCGAACACGGTACCGCCGGCCCGATTGACGTCGCGCAGTTCGGCGAAGCTGCGCCAGACGCCTGTCGCCAGGCCAGCTGCAATCGCCGCCCCGAGTGCCGTGGTCTCGCGCATCCTGCGAGGCATGAGCTGTCAATGACGCGCGCCTTCCAATACGGCCATCGGACATACGTACTTTGGCCGGTATACCGGAATGCCGATGGTGTCGGCTTGGGTTTGCATGCAAAGATCCGAGTTTGACATGCCCCCGTCAACAGCCAACTCGGCAAGAGCATGGCCGCTGTCGAGCTGCATGGCGTCAAGGATGGCCTTTGTTTGGTAGCAGGTTGCTTCCAGTGTAGCGCGAGCGATGTGGCCCTTCTTCGTGTTGAGCGTAATGCCAACTGTAGGTTTGTTATTCGTCAGTCAACCTTTTTTTTTCTCTCGTCTTGAATCATGCTCTCCCCGTCTACAGCCGGTGAAACCATTGAAGAGTTGGAAACTTACACATTGTGCCCTTCGCGTCATCGATCCAGTACGGCGCAAAAAGACCGCTGAAGGCCGTGACGAAGACGACCCCTCCATTGTCCTCCACCGAAGTCGCGAGATCATTGATCTCCGGAGCTTCGTTGAAGAGGTTGAGGTTGTTCTGGAGGAACTTGATCCCGGATCCTGCCACTGCGATGCTGCCCTCCAAGGCGTAGACGGGCTTACCGTCGAAGACGTACGCGACCGTGGCCAGAAGTCCATGCTTGGAGATCACAGGCTTGTCGCCCACGTTGTACAATAGGAAGCAGCCTGTTCCATAAGTGTTCTTGGCGAGGCCTGGCGAGAATCCCTTCTGGCCGACCAGTGCAGCCGACTGGTCTCCCAGACAGCCTGCAATGACGAGGCCCTTCAAGGCCCCGGACGCCAAGTGGCCATATGCCTTGGCATCGATGCTGTCGACAATCTTTGGCAGGTGCACCTTGGCCCTGTTCAGCTGGAAGAAGTCCAGCAACGCATCATCATAACGCAGGGTTGAGATGTTCATGAACATGGTCCGCGACGCATTAGTGGCATCGGTCACGAAAACATTACTGGCAGGCCCTCCGTTCAGCTGGTACACCAGCCAGGTATCCACAGTACCGAACGTCAACTTCCCCTCGTCGTATGCAGCCTTGACGTCGGGAACATTGTCCAGCATCCACAACAGCTTTGCCGAACTGGGGTACGTGGACAGTGGCAGTCCACAGATTTGCTGAAGCTTGTCTGACCCAGGCCGTGCCTTGAGCTCACGGGCTAGCGCCTGGGCGCGCGTGTCGGTCCAGACGATAGCATTGTAGAGCGGTTTGCCCGTCTCCCGATCCCACACCACAGTCGTCTCGCGCTGGTTCGTAATGCCGACCGCTCTGATCTGCGAGCGGTTATAGCCTTGGGACTCGAAGGCCTTGACGGCTTCTTCAATGCAGAATTCGACGCTGGAGACAATCTCCAGAGGGTCGTGCTCGTGCCAGCTGGGGGCAATCAGTGTTCGCTTCAAGAGAAGGATCCGGGGCGCTGGCATACCCAGAGTTCGGGAAGTACTGTGTGAACTCCACCTGGTGCGAAGCAACCAGCTCCCCGGAAGGATTGAATATCAGGAAGCGGGAGCTAGTTGTCCCCTGGTCGATGGCACCAACAAACGTCTCTTCGTGGTTGCTGTTCATTTTCAGGTCGGCAGAGAAGGGACTGAAAGAGCAGTGGTACAGCAGAGAGCATCTTGGGCCAGCAGCAGGGCGAAGAGTATTAGAGGCGCGTTGCAAGCCACAGCAGGGCACAGAGGACTCTGCAGTCAGCCAGCTGCGTCGGACGAACATGCCCGAATCGCGCGTGTTCGCCCAGGATTGATTGGTCAAGGATCAGGCAGGATCAACGGTTCCCCGCAAAGCTTGGCGCCACACCCTATCCGAATCAGCTTCCTCTCCCAGAGGCATGCCTTTCGTCACACGGCTCAGCGCGGCATTAATCCACGGCTGGGAATAAACCCGGACGTACCTCAAGTACTGTAAGCTCGAACATGATCTTCTCCGCACCCATCCGCCCGGAAGAACGCCATTGTACGACCACCGCGTGGCTTCTGACTGTTCTGGGATGCATCGCCGTTGCCATCAGCTCCACCTCCGGCCTTCCACGTTTCCTCGAACGCGCTCGCTGTGTCCATTACCTCGGCATGACGGTCGAGCTTCCTTGCACTACGCGGCGGCTGAACCCCAACCCTCCCACAACAAAGAAGACGTTCCAGGCCATCGCTTCACACAGCCCCACTACCCAGTCTGGGGTACAGATTCTGCGGCTGCTCAAAAATCGCCCTCATGCTATTCGCCGCAGAGAGCTGGAAAGAGGGATTGCGCAGTCCAACTTCTCAAATCGAACACCTGCAGGTCTGGGTCCTGTCAGCCTAGTCTACGGAACGAAAGGGCGCCTTTTGAGTGGTGAGCGCAAGTGATACGGATCAAAGGGTTGGAGAAGCACAGCCGAAGGGCTGCCACACCTGCACACCCAACTCTCCGGGGAAACCATCTCCATCACGCCACTCAGCGATGCCGTTGGCGTGTGTCGTATTCATCCACCTTCCCCAGGAAGCTAACGCCGTGCAATGGGAGGCGGCGTGGGAGGGGAGTAAGTAGCACAATCCAATCACTTCGCCTTGATGCCGCGAACGCATTCATCTCACGCCCTCATCTTACCCCTCACCGCATATTGTCCTCCCCATGGCACAGGTTACATCAACCGCCACCCAAGCTTCACGGCATCCGTTCCCGGATGTTGGCATCGTCACTATTGGCGCCGCGATGTCCAGGAGGCCACTTTGGCAAATGACCGTGTCTTTTGAGAACAAACTACCGGTTCGTTGGCGGTTGGTCTTGGTGTCACCACCAGTGCCGGTCTCTGGCATCACCGAAGTGCAAGGGCAGGACTGGTGTAGTATTACTGATGGTGCGGGGGAGAGGAGTTTGCACGAATCTCTTTGGTAGACCGCGGACGCTGTGTGATGGCTTTATAAAGCCCAGACGCTGTCCGCTGTAGATGGACGGTGGTTATTGAATCCAAAGACGTCTCTTGTCCAGGTCATTTCTCGTCCGCTTTTGTATCTTTGACTCCCCCCCCTTGTCTTATTGGATCGCGATGGCGCGGCACCATGCTGGGACCCCTCTCCATGTTAGGGAGGACTCTGGTTTTGGTGCGATTCATATTGAGGATATAGCCGCGCCGGCTACCAGGACTCAAAAATACCAACCTTCCAGGGGACAGGAGCCGCCGCCAAGGACCGATAGCGAATATGGCGTTGACCACAAGATCGCTATTGAGACCGGGAGTGACTCGGACGTTATCGTGGAACAGGATGCCCGGCCCACGCTCCTCTGGAGCCGGATCAGGCGCATCCACAAGGAAGCCTTCTCAGAGTTCCTCGGCACCTTTGTTCTGATTCTCTTCGGCGACGGCGTTGTAGCCCAGGTGGTCCTCTCTGAGGCCGAGAAGGGGGACTACCAGTCCATCTCTTGGGGCTGGGGGTGAGTGACCGTCTCTCATGCTCCGGTCGCGCCGAAGTGACGTCTCTGACCCGTCGTCCAGACTCGGCGTGATGCTCGGCGTATATTGCTCAGGCTACTCGGGCGGGCACATCAACCCGGCCGTGACCTTCGCCAACTGCGTCTTCCGCAAGTTCCCGTGGCGCAAGTTCCCCGTCTACACGGCGGCGCAGGTGCTCGGGGCCATGTGCGCGTCGGCCGTGGTGTACGGCAACTACAACTCGGCCATCGACAACTTCGAGGGCTACGGGGTGCGCACGGTGCCGGGCTACTCCAACACGTCCAGCGCCGGCATCTTCTGCACCTACCCGGCCGAGTTCATGACCCGCACCGGCATGTTCTTCTCCGAGTTCGTCGCGTCCACCGTCCTGATGCTGGTCATCTTCGCGCTCAAGGACGACGACAACATCGGCGCCGGCCCGCTGACGCCCCTGGCCCTGTTCTTCTTGATATTCGGCATCGGTGCTTGCTTGTAAGCCGCTTACCTACCACATGCGCATACGCCTGCGAGTTGCTGACCGTGAGGTGCGTGGTCGTTAGTGGTTGGGAAACCGGCTACGCCATCAACCTCGCTCGTGACTTCGGTCCGCGCCTGATGTCGTACATGCTCGGCTACGGGCCCAACGTGTGGAGAGCAGGGAACTATTATTTCTGGGTACGTCACAGATCGCTTCCTTCCATCACGTGTTTGAGCGGTGCCTGCTGACAAGTGGGTGCGGCGCATGCAGATCCCGATGGTCGCTCCCTTCTTTGGCACCACCTTCGGCGGCTTCCTTTACGACCTCCTCCTTAACGATGGCGACAGCCCCGTCAATACGCCTTGGATCGGCTTGAAGCGCCTCGTGCCTGGAACGGCTGCGCGGAGTCGCCGGGGTAGCGAGAACCCGGTGTAAACAGCCAGCAGGCAGAGGAACAATACATTGGAGATGTTTGTCTGGGGTTACAGTTGCTTCTGCGGACCATCTCAGGTGTGAGATGTGCGCTACTTGGAATGCTGCCCCGCAGAGCCGATCTCATTTTTGATGAGGTCGTGCAAGTGTGCGAGAAGTGTATCCACGTCCTTTGGCCGCCATGTGCGGATGCCAGTGTAGTCTTGTAGGTTGAATGTTGACTTGAGTCCTCAAGAGGAGAATGGCATGGATGAAGCAGGATTTGGCTGAGCCAGATCAGGTCTAGAGCCCAGACTTGGCGAGTTGTGTGCATGATCGTTGGATTGGCACGACGCTGATGCTGACGAAGCGAAACAATTTGACCAGTCAAAGCTTTCTACTGTCAGTCTGGTATCTTTTGAGCCCCAATGCGGAGAAGCTGCCTCCCCCACCCTGGTGATCCCAGGGCTGAAGTCTTGTGCGACCGAGATAGGGGATACAACCCCGTCCGTGATTGCGCAAAAGGTTCAATGCGCATTGAGGCCTCCAGCAGACGAATCAATGCGGCAACAGCTCCACCTTCGCGATGCTGATACCGCTTGGCATGGAGTCTCCAGACCCGACGATGGCGCGTCTTTTGCGTTGTTCAGCAGCAACGCCCATGAATTTCAAGTGCTGGAGCTACTTCTTCTGGTCAGCCTCGGCAACGGTGAAGGTCTTATGACAGACGCTGACTCGCACGGCGACCCCTGCCCGCGATCAGCAGCCAGATTTGTGTGGGCCTGTTGCCGCGACGGGAAGCCAGCATGCAGGTCCCGAGCCCGGGCGCGCGAACCACGTTGCGCGGAAGCGCCGGAGGCGACAGGCGCTTGGCGTCGACGAGAACCGGGCGAAGGAACGCCTCGCGGTGGCATTCGAAGAAGAGACGGAGCTTCCCTGACGGACCCCTGCAGACGACGCACCACGTCCACGCCGCTTTTCCCCCGCCCCCTCCCCCCTCACCAACCCTTTCTTTCATTTCCTGCGCTCCGGCTGTCGTCCAAAAGTTAGTTTGGTAACGCACGGGAGCATCCGCTGCCACGTTCCCTAGCCCCCGACCAACTTAATTTTCCGCCATGTCCTCCCCTCCCCGCCCCACTTCCGCCGACACGGAGTTTGCTCCGTCCAACGAGCCAGTCGTCAACATTCCAGTCGTATGCAACCCCCTCATTCTCTTCCTAGCTGCCCGTGACACTCCCGGTGCTCATGTCCGCCCCGCAGGACGAGAACGAGGACGACTCGGCCTATGGCGAGGACGAACTCAGCGACACCACCTCCATCGCCTCCACCATCTGGCGACACCGCTTTGAAAATGGCCGCCGCTACCAGAAGTGGAAAGAGGGGGCATACTGGTACGCAGACAGCCTGCGCGCCCGTCAATTGTTTTCAATGCTCACGCCACTGCCATTCAGGGGACCCAACGACGACACCCAGAACGACCAGTTGGACATCGGGTAAGCTGATGCGCTGTTGTTCTTCGTATCAAAACATGTCCCTGAGTCCATCGCAGCCATCACATGCTGAGGATAGTCCTCGGCGACAAGCTCATGCTCGCGCCCATTGGCGATAACCCTCAGGCAAGAACACTTCTCCGTCTTGGACGTCACAAACCTAATCAGTGATCCAGAGAGTCCTCGACGTCGGCACCGGCACCGGAATATGGGCAATGTGAGTGTGCCGCGGCCTGATTCTGTTCCCCCAGCGTCTTGTGCTGATACTCGTCGCCAACCCCCCAGAGACTTCGCGGATGAATATCCGAGCGCCGAGGTCATCGGAACGGACCTGTCTCCCATTCAGCCTTCCCTGCTGTAAGACTCCAGGCGAGAGACTGGCTACCTTGATGAGAATGCGGGACTGAGTGCGACATCAAAGGCCTCCCAACTGCAAGTTCGAGCTCGACGACGCCACCGAGACGTGGACTTTCCCGGCGAACCACTTCGACTTTGTCCACACGCGCTGCCTGTACGGCAGCATCGACGACTGGGACAAGTACTACCGGCAGGTGCTCCGGACGCTCAAGCCGGGCGGGTGGTTCCAGCAGCTGGAAATGTCCATCCTCACGCGGTGCGACGACGACACGCTGGACAAGTACGAAGACGACGTCCTGAAGGAATGGGGACCCCTCTTCATCGACGCGGCCAACTCGCCCAAGTTCGGGCGGACGCTCGACATCTGGAAGGACATGAAACAGCGCATGATTGACGCCGGATTTGAGGACGTCCAGCAGGTGGACTACAAGGTGCCAATCGGACCGTGGAGCAGCGATCCTAGGCTGAAGGAGATCGGCAAGTGGCACCTGCTGTATTGCTTCCAGGGTGCCGAGGGGTGGGCGATGTACCTCTGCACACATGTGCTTGGCGTATGCTCCCGCGTTCCCCGCTCTTATCTTGTTCCAGAACTGACTTGCAGCCCAGTGGAAATACGAGGAGGTGCAGGTGCTGGTGGCGAGGTTCCGAGCCGCAATCAGGAGTCGCAAAGTACACGCTTACTACACATAGTAAGTCCTCGGGCCGATTACTGAATCAGCTCTTGCTGACCAGCTCGCAGCTCTGTTGTCTATGGACGCAAGCCGGAGAACTGATGACACTGCATGTACATACATGCAAAGGCCGAGTCTCATCAGGTCGTGTGCTCTGGGTAATGTATGCTTAGTAATGCAGTGACTCATAGGTATTTGCCAAGGCCACCTGCGCTGCATGAGGCCAGCCTCGAACGAGAACCATTCACGGGCTGGCGCGGAGCTGGTTTCTTGGTGTCGGACGCGAAGATTCATCATCATCAGGAGGAGGAGTCCTGAAGGCCTGAGTTTCGTCATAAGCGAGTAATACAGGCAGCTCAGGGAGAGGCGGGCGGCGCTAGGTCCAAGTCGGCAGACATTCACATGTAATACCATCCGGATGGTCCAATGAGCGGTATGTGTAGCGACAAAGCCTTGTTCGGTCCTTTTCGATGGTGCGGATTGCTTCTCCATTTCCGGCAACTCGGTGGGGATGTTGCAGCGAGCACTTCTTGCCATAACCTCGACATCTCACGTCTTCTCCTTGTCGACGCCGGAAAATATATAAGCGCCCGAGATGCTGCATGCCTCGATGATCATTCATTCCTTTCTTTGCTTGCCACTGTTGAGCCCTGAAAACCATGGGAGACGGCCAGACTGCGACCATCAGGTCCTCGGAAGTGGTGGTTGACGTTGACAACGACACGGAGACGCAGCAGGCAGCGCGGCAGACGATGCAGCCGGCAGAGGACGCGCACATGGCGCTGCAGGAGGACGTGCCGCCGAACGGAGGCTATGCCTGGGTCTGCACCGTCAGCGTCTTCCTCATCAACGCCCACACCTGGGGCATCAACGGCGTAAGTGGCCCCTGCCAACCAACCCTTTTCGGAAGCCAGCGAGAGCGCTCGAGTCTGACCGTGACACGGGCACCGGCAGGCGTGGGGGGTGATCCTCAACCACTTCCTGCAGAACTCGACGTACCCCGGGGCGGGCCACCTGGAATACGCCCTCATCGGCGGGCTGTCCATCTCGCAGGCGCTCATGGTGTCGCCGCTCGCGGTGACCAGCCGCGAGAAGCTGGGGACGCCGACGACGCTGCTGATGGGCACGGCGGTCGTGTTCGCGGCGCTGTTCGCGTCGGCGTACGCGACGACCATCTGGCACCTCTTCCTCAGCCAGGGCGTGGCGTACGGGTGGGGCATGGGGTTCCTGTACATCACGGCGACGGCGGTGCTGCCGCCGTGGTTCTCGACGCGGCGCAGCCTGGCGCTGGGGCTGGCGTCGTCCGGGGCGGGGCTCGGCGGGCTGGCGTACAGCCTGGGGACGGACCACGCCATCGCCAGGCTGGGCGTGGGCTGGACGTACCGGGTGCTGGCGCTGTGCAGCGCCGTCGTCAACACGGCGTCGTCGCTGCTGCTGCGCGACCGGGTGCCGCAGGCGGTGCTGGCGCGGCCCAAGGCCATGACGGCGCGGCAGCGGCGCGCGGGCAAGAAGCAGCTCACCGGCATGCTGCGCAACTTCGACCTGCGCGACTTCGGCCGCGTCGAGGTGCTGCTCATCGTGCTGTGGGGCGTCGTCACCGAGCTGGGCTACATCACCATCTACTACTCGCTGCCCAACTTCGCCTCGACCATCGGCCTGTCCGACTCGCAGGGCGCCGTCGCCAACGCGCTGCTCAACCTCGGCCTGGGCATCGGCAGGCCCGTCGTCGGCTTCTACAGCGACCGCCTCGGCCGCATCAACATGGCCATGCTGACCACCGCCCTGTGCGCCGTGCTGTGCCTCGCCCTGTGGATCCCCGCCCACAGCTACCCGCTGCTGTGCGTCTTCGCCGTGCTCGCCGGCACCGTGTGCGGCACCTTCTGGGCCACCATCAGCCCCGTCCTGGCCGAGGTCGTCGGCATCGCCGACATGGCCGGCGTCTTCGGCGTCGTGTGCTTCGCCCTCGTGCTGCCCACCACCTTTGCCGAGCCCATCGCCATGCAGCTGGTCAACGGCATCGGCCTGGGCGAGGGCACCCGCAAGTACCTCGTCGCCCAGGTCTTTGTCGGCGCCATGTTCATCCTGGGCGCCGCCTGCCTGTGGATGCTGCGGTCGTGGAAGATCTTTGAGATTGAGAGAAAGGCCGCCGTCGAGAGGTCCGACGAGGACCTGGCCCACCCGGATGCCCGGTCCACCGTGTCGAGGACCATGGAGAACTTCTGGCTCACCCCGAGGCGGTTGCTTTTGCCCGGCTGGGTGTAGTAGCTGGAGATTCCGTGGCTGGGGCAGTGTCGACGAGGCCGACTTTCGTGCGCCGTTGCGGTTCCTTTGTTTGTGTCTTTTCGATTGGCATGCTCTTGAACGTCGACACGTTCGAACAGCTGGACGGCCATCCGCGCCGTGCTTTTTCAATTTTTAATTACTTAGCTGAGATGTATCGTTGCAACTTGAATGACAACACTGATTGGCCAAAGCCCTGGTCGTGCGGCAAACATGACTATTGTGACAAACAGCAAAGCGATTCACGTGCTGTTGTCTTTACCGAACCGACACTGTTGCTGTATTTACGGTTAATTCACCAGGCGAGAAGACCGGTATGGGAAGGAGTGAAGCTAACTAAGATCCACCGATTTTGAAGCCTCCCGAGGAGCACAACAAATCATTTCCGACAACCCTCATTCTCCTCGACATCTCTCCGTGACGCCACACGCAACCGTGAGGAGTCTTTGGTGCCTCGCGCGCCTGGCTAATAGCTCACACATCCATGTCGTGCCGGGCGCCTGTCGAGATGCTGAGATGAAGTATGTTTACGTGACTGTTGGGCTAGGTGCGTATCTCATCCTGCTATAGGGTCAGAGTAATGGCCAACGACCAGATCATCGATACCTCTGAGACCAAGAGAAGTGCATTGTCCAATCAGCAAGATACAACCAATGGACTGTATTGCCTCGACAAAACTCAATACATTCTTCACGAGCTTGGCTGACCGCGGCAGACACGGTTCTGGGCTCGGAAGGTCAGTTCACCGCCATCAAGAACAGCTGTTCCATGAGTGTGCGCATGCAGGAGCCTGGGCCAGCCCATCTTATAAGCACTCTGTTCTGGATTGTTTTCGGATTCCGATGCTTACGAGGGGCGGACGGGGCGGGTGGCTCTCGGCTTCCGAGCGTCCGACCCGCGTCACGGGCACGGCTGACTGTATAGGATTCGAACAGTGACGACGAACACATAAAACGTCAAGCCTGCCATGCTGAGTGACATATCATCCGAAAAAGAAGATCTACAACCCAATCCCCTCCTACGTACATACCTTGACGAGGCCCAACCATTGACCAACCAACCAACCAACCAACCAACCAACCAACCATGAGCGCCGCCACCCCCACCCAAGACGGACGACGACAGCCCGTCACCTCCCTCCTCACCATCGGTCTCGACCTCGACTGGGCCGCCGCACACCTCGGGCACAAGCTCGACATGCCCACCGTCCGCGCCGCCGTCGCCAAAGGGCTGCAAGAATTCGACGCCGTGCCCGACCTCTTCCACGAAACCTACTTCTTCGTCCCGGACGACGACGACGAGGTCGACAACAACAACCAGGAAAACGACGACGACCGAATCAGAGACGAAGGCCGAGGTGTCTGGGCCGAGAGCGAGAGGAAGATCCGCGGCGGCGGCCACCAAGGCAGGCCGTGGGACGGCGTCTGCATCGGCTGGGGCCTGCGCGGGCAGCCGGACATGACGGTCGTGTTCGAGCGCATGGTCAATCTGGTGAGGGAGGCGTCGCCCGGCTCGCGGCTGGTGTTTGCGGGGCCGGCGGCGGATCATTTCGGGACGGCGAAGAGGAATTGGCCGAATTTGAGGAAGGTGGATCAGTGAGTTTCTTGGGATGAAATAGGGCGGGCGGTTTACGGGTTATGAGCGCTATGGATGATGATGGTGACGGTCAGCGTTGTTTTGGGATGGATCAAGGTGCTTTTTCTGGTTGAGCGGAGAGTTGCTGGAGCTTCTGGTCTTGTCATTTAGTAGAAGAACGTTGAAGGGGGTGGTTTACGCCGGGGCTGGACTCACGCTGCCACTATCACTATTGCTATTGTTGGAGATATCACCGCTCTGGAGTTTTCTTTGCACGCTCTTTTTTCGGTCCTGTAATGCTCCAATCGTAGTCTCATGCTTCGAATCCCAATGATTGTTAGGACATAGAACTATGCACCGTGATTAATTACATGTTAGCTTTTCTTTTCACCGAAATCAACGGCCGTCGCTATGAGTAAGTTCTGCTGCTGTCGTCACCCAACGCATACCACCGGCACCTTGGAAGAAAAAAGGAAGAAGCGCAAGTCACAAACCTCACGACATCCTAAGGCTTGCAGCAGCTAACTCCCAACATCTAATCTCTTCCCTTATCCCCCTTCTCGTATCGTGCTTAGACATGTCTCGTACGAAGTACCTACTAGTACTTCACTCGGGCCGGGGCGGGCCCCACCCCACTCGACTCGCTCTTGGATCTCACATGCGTCCGTACACCACGGACTAGAGTTTGTGTGTGGGGCGACCTACTCTCGCGAACATCATCACGGCGCACATGACAGCTGCAGCTGCGATGCCGGAACGTGCAGTGAGTGGTGGATTACGTGCATCGATTATGAAAGTCGATAGCTGCACCTGGCGATCGGCTGTGGAGGCGAGCAGGCGAGCGATGAGCGGGCCAATATGCATGCACTCCACAGGCCATCACCACGTGGGTGCTGGAAATAAGGAAAAGGAGTAATCAGAGTGGATGATCAAGGCTGGGGTGAGGGGTGAGGGGTGAGAAGATGCGCAGACGGCCGGATGGTTGGTGGTAGCGACTTGGAGTTTCATTTGCGGTCGTTGTGTTGCGACAGACATTTTCTTTGCGCGTACCTGCCGTGTGCTTTCTGTTTTGTACCGTCATTGACGATGGGGCTTTCAATAGCTTCTTTTCTTCCCGCAGCCATGAAGATCCACCGGAACGCCCACCGGATGGGCCGACGCGGCAGTCAGCCGCCACAGACGGTAGGGAAAGGGCTTATTGTGAAAGGGGAAGTAGAGCCGACAGGTGTCATCGTCTGAGTCTAGTATGCCGGGCTAGGTCTAGTGAGGGATTTCTTTGTTCGGCTCCCTCGACGGGTCGTGAAGTTTGAGCAGTGGCTAGGTCATATCGTGTTAGATCCCGACTGATGTAGCACTCTTTCCTTGCATATATACAAGCGCCGAGCCGTTAGATTGTAGCGTCAATTAGCGTAAGGGGGAGAGTATACTCGCTGTGAATGAGGCATAGTTTTAAGGGGGGTGTTGAAGACCCAGGAATCTCCTCATCCACTGTGAATAATGTGGCCGGTGACGCTCCGTCGGTAAGCCCTGAAAGGCCTTTGGAGGGGCAATCCTTGCTCAGGTTATACCAAGGATCACTTTGAATATGTATATAGTAGGTCGGCGCGGTGTCTCGTTCGAAATCAGAACAGGGCCTGCTAGGAATCGATTCCGATTGATGGGATTGCAGTCGCTTTGCCCAAGACGGCTAAATGCGGCTCATCTGCACAGTAGTACTGTGTATGCACGCCTCCAGTCTCACAGTACGTAAAAAAATCCAACGGCAGATTTGTTCGTAACCAATAGTCGAAGAGGAAGTCAACAGGCAGTCGACTTCCTGGTAATTGAATTCTCCGCGGTAAGGTGGAGCTAGCCCCGGCGATTGGGGTTGGTGGCGAAACTACAGGTATCACGGCGCCTCCGAAGGCATCAACAGCAGAGAGCGGGGGAACATCTGAAAGGCGACGGATAGACAGGAAAGGATTGAAAGCAATGAGCTGAACACGACGCGGCGCCGGCGAACCCGATCCAGTCAACGTCGCAATATAGGCTGGGTGGAGCAATGCCCCTGGCGGCGGGCAGGGAGGCGCAAGACTTGGAGTTGAGGGGCTGGACGAGAGGCTCGGACACGGGTCCCAATGGCATGACGAATTTTACGCTTCGGTCGGGGCGTATGCACACAGGGAGCTAGAGGCGCGAGAGAAGAATGGGGACGTGGCGGCTGCTTAAGGGGCAGTCGTGGAGCTGCCGAGTTCAGCCTAGAGCGCTGAGTGGGTGGATGACAATTTTTCAGCTCGCGGGAGACCCTTTGCTGCAATCGGAAGCAGTGGCCCGAGAATCTTCGATCGAGGCGAGACGATCGCGGCGCAGTCGCTTGAAACGCTGACATGCATCGTCTGCTCTGGCGCAATGAGCAGCGCCTGGCTCGCGGCGTCAGCTTGCAACAGCGCAGGTGGTGGGAGAGCGAGGCCTGTGGCATCGAAGGCCGAAAAGCGGAACGGCCATCTCTCGGCCAAGTCGAGGCACGGCGTTGGCTACCGCGCGTGCGAAAGGCGGTCCTGTGACGGCACAGGATCGGCTGGCATAATCTCCTCGGCATAGCAAGGCACCAGAGCTGTCGACCCGGCTAGGGCTGCGGTAGCTGCTGAGTGGCCGCTGGCGCGGTCGGATCGAGGCTTTTGTGGGGGGGTGCGCGATCGCCAGGTCCGGTGGTCGCGAGCGTTGCGAAGTCGCCAGAGCCTAGCGGCGCAGCGGCGCCGGCAATGGGCTGACGGCTGCAACGGCGAGATACTACTATCATCGACGCCTGGGGCTCGATTTCTGCTGCCAATCGCCGCGCACAGGCGACCACAACGTCATACCAAACCGCGAGACCGCCCGCATGGCCCGGGGGGTGAGGCGAGCTGATCTGCGCAGACGAGCGAGATGCAGGTGGGCCGTCCGGCTGCGGCCAGAGTGCGCATGCGGAGGCGTGCGGGCGTGCAGGGCGACGGGGACGCTGCAGTGTGTCGAGGCGTGTGGTTAACGTTGGCCGATGTTGAGCGGCACAGCGGGCAGAGTCATGGGCCTGTCAGCAAGCAAATCTCCGGGTAGAGCTTGAACTCCACCTCTCCCAACTGACGCAGCGCCTGCCGATCCGGCTCGCCCATCGGCTGCCGCACGCCTGGAATTCGTGGCCAGCCTCGCCACGACCTCACTCCTCACTGCCCAGCTCCCGACACTCACACATGCCAGCAACCACCGCCAGCGCGCGCACGCAGTGACCTGGTGCTGTCTCTCCCGCCTCCAGCCCTGGCCACGCTTCATATCGCCATCTGCCATCTGCCATCCGCCAGCCGCCGGACGCCGGCCGCCTGCCAGCTGTCCCGGACGACCAAAGCCGCATCATCCCTGCCGAAGCCGTCTTATTTCTGGTTGTTTGGCGGCCGGGCTCCGCCAGTCTCCTTTCCTGTGCAGTGCAGCTAGCTCGCGCGATGGCGACAGAGCTCGTGCGAGACCCAGCCCGTCGGGCGAACGACATGCGATGCTCGCCCAAAGAGCACCTCACCAACGAAATAAAGAAGGATCCCGGCCGTTTTAAGGCCCAAGACAGCAGTCGTCGTCCCATGCGGTGCGATCAGCCTGTGACTATCGACGCCGATCTGCGTGGGTCTGGGACTGTGTTATAATGCCGAGCACAATCTGTCAGCAGTCTGTGGCCGCCATCGTGGGGATCAAGGGTCCGTGTCTTAACGCGAAACAGCCAGCCACCGAGTCGCGAGCCTGCGTCCACATGCTTGGGCCGCGCTGCTGACCAGGGGGCCCAGCCTGCCGGCGCAGGAACCCGGGGTCGCTTACCTACCCACCTACCCTGGGCTCCTCCGCCATTAGTGGTCACCCCCGCTCGCCTCTGATCATTGGCAGGATCTCCGTGTGCTCCGCTCACGCCCGAAGCATTTCCGCTGTGCCTCCCTTGGCATCGACAGAAGACTGGAGCCCCTGCGAGCATCCTTTGCGCTTAAGCTTCGCCATGTCGTCCGCCAGACTGTTGATAATACCCGCCCTCGCCCTCCTCTTACCCGCCTCTAGTCCCCTCTGGCCTTCCCAACCTCACTCGACTCCCAACCCATAGCCCGTCATGGCTACTTCCGCCAACGGCACCGGCTTCGCCGCCACCGTCGTCACCATGACAGTGCTGGCCTTCATCATCCTCTGCTCCCGTATCGCCATTCGAACTCGTGTCGTGAAAAGCTTTGGGCCCGATGATTGGTTCGTCATCGCTGCAATGGTACCGTGACCGTCGGATCTCCCAACCAGCGCCGTAGACTGACCTGTCATCAGAGTTTTACCATTGTCATGTCAGTCATGATGATATTGCGTTCGTCTACCCCTTCTCCACCCCATTCGCTTCTATTGCTAACCCCTGGCAGAGGTTCACCATGGTCTCGGCAAGCACGTCTGGCAAGTGTCACTGGCCAACCAGACAGAGGTGTCCAAGGTGTGTGAAGCCGGCTCTTTGTCCCCTAATCTTCTGCTGACCTGTGCTTAGTACTTTTACGTGAGCGTCATCTTCTACAACGGCGCCGTCGGTCTGGTGAAGATCTCCATTCTACTGCAGTATCTGCGCATCTTTGCCGTCAAGAAGATGCAGGTGGCTTGCCGCATAGTATTGGTCCTCAACACCATGTTCACCATCGAGACGGTCATCATCAGTGTCTTCGACTGCTCTCCCATTCCCTTCTTCTGGGATAAATCGATCAGAGGGGGCCACTGTGTCAACTTTGGCGCCATGTGGTTCTCGCATGCATCCACCAACATTGTATTCGACATTGTCCTTGTCGTTCTGCCGATGCCTGTAATCAAGAGTCTCAACCTTCCCCTGAAGCAGAAGATAGCACTCATGGGCATCTTCGCACTCGGAACTTTGTACGTCGCTCATGTGTGGTTCAGTAGACATGGGCTAACAATGGATTCAGTGCTACCGTTACTTCGATTCTACGGCTTTCATCCATCTACAGCATCTCGTACTCGCACGACGTCACGTACGACAACGTCGGGGCTGCTCTGTGGTCGACAGTTGAGATCGACACGGCCATCATCTGCGCCTCGCTACCCACTTTCAAAGCCTTCGTCAACCGCATCTTCCCGCGTCTTCTCGGATCGACGCGATCGCAGAGCTCAGCAGCACGGCACCGCAGCCGCACATGGAACTCCCGGCTTGGACTTGGGGCAACAAAGAACCACCACACGCTTGACAGCATGAGCGAGCAGGAGCGCGGAGAGTGTGACACGGTGCACCTGGAGCTGGCTCGGCGGGACGGGCAGCTCAATGCGGTGAGGACGAATTGTGAGAAGAGCGCCGTGATGACGGCGGAACCCAGCGACTCAATCAGGGGAAGCAACGATGGCATCAAGGTGGTGACGGTGGTCACGCAACAACGGACGCGGCCAGGGAGCGATGAGCCGGCGACGCCAAGGCTGCCACCGCCGGAGCCTACAAGAACACCCAGCCTCACGCAGAGCGAGAGGGGCTTTTTCATGGACGTTGGCCAACATGAGCGGGCATAATGACAGCGGACGGCGTTTTGACAATCATTCAACAAGCATTTTTACTTTGTTATGGCCCAAGGATGGCACCAATTATACCCCTGTATATATATTCCACCACACTTCTGGCTTGCACGGCGACGGGCGGAGACGGTTAGCCATAATTGTCCACAAGAAGGATTTTCGCCTTGTCCCGATTCAAATCTCCATGACTCTTCACCCATGCGGCTGTGAGACAGCTGCGCGAATGGTCTGATATTCGCCGGTAGGATTACGACGGCAAAACCTTAACCGACATGCCTGTACAAGACCATTTCCCGGCTTCGACGACGCTGCAACGCTTGCTGCTACAAAGAGGGTGGTCTTTGGATGCACAACCCTTGGTCATTGACCTTTCTTTTGCATTCTCGCGCCATGGCGGGAACTCAGGAGACGTCCCCCCGTTAGGGCTGAGTTTGACTGACGTCGGTCGCATGTGTTCCGAGTCAAGTCAAGGTTTGGCGGCAGGAAAAGATTAACAGCGGGCCGCGGGATGGGAAGGGGGGAATCTCTTCCGGGCGTCGCTCCCCCGGTTACAGATTGATTAAGCGTACTCTAGATCAGCGGCCTTGAGTCGTCGTCGTCGACAGCCCGGCCGGTCCGTCCGCAGCCCCTTCCGGCCGCGCCCAAAACTCAATCATGGCGCCCGCCGGCCAGCCAGCCACCTGCACCACTACCGGCCGCTAATCAACGACTGCCGTGGTCGCATCGTCCGTCTCTCGTATACGCGGAGGAAAGGCAGGTGGGCGGATTGCGTCGTGCGCCGGTTGTTTCGCGTAGGCATGATTCCCAGATGGTTTTTTCTTTCTTATCGCGATGAGGTAAACTGCGTCTTTTTGCTTGTTTTCAATTTTTATGATGTTATGCGCCCTGATCTGCGAAAGGACGATTGTCGTGGCTATGCGCGTGACAAATGTGCAGCCAGGACCTTGTTGGCCAGGTTCACCGATGCCGTACAGCCACGGAAGCGCAACGGTTTCCCACGGGATATGAGCTCAGCCGCTACCTAATTTATCTACTACTATTTTCTCTCTTTTTTCTCTCTCCTTCTCTCATTTCTTTTCTCATCGTTCCTTTCTTTTTCCTCCTGTGCGTTCCTTCCTCTTTCTCCCTCGTTCCTTTTCCCCAAACGGGTTGCGATCCGAAGCAGGGATGCTGACGACATTCTGGCCGTCCGGCCCCGGGGCGCCTCGCCCGCCGTCCGCGCCCGCGCCTGCGCGTCGACCATCAACGACCGGTCTGTACCTTAGGCGCTCTCGCCCCCGGGAACGAGTCAAGCACGTAGCCTCGGGGCGAGCGGGTGTGGTTTCAGAAAGGGATGCATGAGTGCCCGCTCCATCAGCCAGCCACCTGCACTCACACACACACGCATACACGCACGCACTCGGGCCCCTCGTGCGGCCCGTCAGCCCGTCCTTCGCGTGCGCGCGGTACATACATATGCTTGTGTCCGGACGAGCACGCCGGGTGCAAGTGCCGAGGTTGATCGAAGACGGACGCGGCTTTATCATGCCGGGCTAGCCAAGCCATCGACGAGTCGTTGGCTGTGGCCCCGGCGCTGCCCAAGGAAGAAGGATTTGCTTTTGTCTTTCTTGGTGCCGCTGCTCTGTCTATTGCTAACCCGCTTTTCCTTCCTTGGCTACCTACATGTGGTCCTGTTCTCTTTCGGCACTGCGACGATGCAAGTGTCGGGCCAAAGCCATTCGTGCGAGGCGAGCTGTCAGGTTTCCAAAGCACATGACCGATGCCAGCCTGGTCGGATTGCTCGGATGTGCATGGTCGTCTGTCGCCGCCCCCCGAGTCAAACGGGTGACCCGTGTGATGTATAGTCCCCTCGCTATACCGCTCGTCGCAAGTACATGATTCACTCTTCATCTTGCTTGAAGGATAGCCGTTGCCTGCTACTTGCTTTATTCCACTTTTCTGCATCTCGCAATTCAACCATCGAATACTGCATCCTGCACGGTCTGGCCGATGATACACACAAGTATGAGATTACTCCTATTTCCTTTGCTTCTACCGCCTGTGGCTAATGCGGTACCATTAAGTGGTGTTATCGTTCACATGTTGTAGATCGGAGCTGCACTCCACCAGGGATTCAATACAGACTCAGAAAGTCAAGAGAGAAGGGTGTGGGATAAAAGTCTTGATCACTGCTATTAACTTCACGCTATGGAAATTCAAAGGCCTCCTGCAACGCTTTTCTCTCAAATCCATGTCGCCGCCGAGCCCCAGGCTTGGAATGCAAAGTTTCATGTGGCCATCGATCTCCTATCCACATCCTCAGAAAGCCACCGCAAAAAGAGAGAGATATTCCTTTTCCATTTCCTTCCAGACTGTATCCGTTCTTTTTCTGAGCCACCCTTTCGATATGATCTCGTGCATGTAGAAGATGGCTACTCAATCAAGATCTTCCACGTAGCCAAGGATTCCGCATCCATGGCATCTGTCCTGTGAACCGAGAAGCCCCCCTGTGTGAGCGAAGCAAGGGTCGTCGCTGGCATGAGTCGTCCGGAGGAAAGACTGGTAGAGAGTTGTGAGGGTTTTCGGGTCGCCACAGTCGGGTGATACTTCCGGGTTGGGTTCGCCGTAGCCAAAGAGAGGTGTTTCAAGCTTCTTCTTGTACGCCGTATGACTTCGTTTTTGGCCCTCAGGGCCGGATCCTCGGTGGTCGGAGACGAGGTGGCCACTCTGCTGATACTTGTTCCAACTCAGCGTCTTCAGCGGTGCCCGTTCGTCGTCCTCATCCGCACGGAACTGGAAGTAGTCGATCCTTCCTCCCCAGTGCCTTCGCAGTGTCTTCAAGTGAAGACGAGCACCTGGCTTTGTGTCCAGAGTGTGGCGTAGCTCCTCAATCATCTGCTCGCTCAGGTCCGACTCGAGATAGTTCAGCGTCGTCTGAACAAGAGGGCAAGCAAGGTAATCTCCGAGAATCTCCTCTGCGCGCTTCTCGGACCATTCGCCACACCGTCCCGGCAGCGGAGCTGTGTCCAGCTCCTGTGTTGTCTGGCTGACTGCGCCTTCAGCCTCTTCTTCCACGCGACTTTCGTCGCTTTCCGTTGGATTCTCTGACTTGAGATGCTTGGGGGGAGGGCATTCATCGTCGTCTCCTTCATCATCGTTATAGCTGGCGAGCATGTCATGCTTGCGCTTGTTCGCCAACTGTTCCGACTTCGAGGTTTTCGGCCCTGACGGCCGACGTGTGGAAGGCGGAGACGATGTAAGCTGGCCATTGGCTCGGCGTCTGGCCTCCAACCGTGCCGAGGTTCTCAGCCCAGAAGGCTGACCTGTAGAAGGCTGACCTGTAGAAGGCTGACCTGTAGAAGGCTGACCTGTAGAAGGCTGACCTGTAGAAGGCGGAGACGATGTGGGTTGACCACTGGCTTGAGCATCTGTGCTGATGGCATTCCAAGCCTCTTGGAACTGCTTCTCCGTCTCTTCAAGGTCCTTCCTCTTTGCTGCGACCTCTTTCTCCAGTTGGATAAACCTGTTCAATGCGCTGAGTTCCTCAGCGTTCTCCCCCAGCACATTTTCCAGCTCTTTCTTTCTTTTCTCTGCTTCTTCGACTCTTTGCCGAGTCTCCCCGATTGTTTTCGGAAAGGACTTCCCCCGAGACCCAGTGTGCGGTTCAGGGGTGCTGTGGTCCGGCTCAGAGGCTTGGCCTTGGCGTCGGCGCTGTGTGCTCCTCGATTGAACCATCTTGGGTGGGTCGCTGTCTGAGAGGCTGAGGTTGTATCGGTTTGACGCGGACGGTGGTCGAGCACAGGTGGTGGCGTGGTAAGGGAAGGCGGTGGTGGTTGTGGTCGCGCCAGCGCGATCGAGTGGAAATCAGGTGTTGGAGAGAAGACGATGTCAGTGTCGAAAAGAAGAGGTCGGCGTAGAAGAGAAGACGGTGCTAGCGTTGGAGGGGCGAGCGAGCCAGTAATTAAGAGAAGAGGATGATATTGTTCAATTGATCAATTGAACAATAGGCACGTCCGTGCGTATTGTATGTAACTACTAGCGCCGATCTGAAACTGGACCCTGACTGCACACCTGCCGAATGAGGTAATCGTCGGTGGTGGAAGGCACCAACCAACCCGCAAGACAATAACCAGACGAGCGCGTCGCATCGGTACTCGAGGCTCATTCTTTGCCATTGACAGAAGTGCTTTTTCGCATGAATTGTATGCACCTGTGTCTCAGCAGCGAGGATGCTGGTGCAAGTCGGCTATAAGCCCTGCCTTTCCCCGGCCGCTCGGCAACATGATCCCTGTCTCGGCGGGGATCGCGGGGACCTATGACATAGCCAGGTTCCGGCCTTCAAAAATAAGAGAAGCCCAATTTCCACCTCTTGCCTCTAATAGCACCACCCACGGCATCAATGGCGACGAGAATATCCCAATCGGCAGCAACCCGCCTCTCCATGGCGCTCCTCCGCACGAGGAGCGCCCGACGACCGCAGCTGCCACCGTCCCACCATCACCACCGCAACCAGCTCCCACATTTCCCCTCCTCCTTCTCCACCACCGCGCCCCGCCACACACCCGCCAGCCTCATGGACACCGCCATCCTCACCGACACCCAACACGCCGTCCGCGCCGGCGTCGCCGCCCTCTGCGCCGACCGATTCCCCAACGCCTACTGGCAGCAGCGCGACGCCACCGGCACCGACCCCGCCGACTTCCACGCCGCGCTGGCCGCCGGCGGCTGGCTGGGCGTCGCGCTGCCCGAGGCCCTCGGCGGCAGCGGCCTGGGCATCTCCGAGGCGACCGTCATGATGCAGACGATTGCCGAGTCGGGCGCCGGCATGGCCGGCGCCCAGGCCGTCCACGCCAACGTCTACGCCACCCAGCCGCTGGCCCGCTTCGGCACCGACGCGCAGCGCGCCCGCGTGATTCCCAAGGTGGTGAGCGGCGAGTGGCGCGTGTGCTTCGGCGTGACGGAGCCGGATGCGGGGCTGGATACGCTGCGGCTGCGGACGGTGGCGAGGAGGGAGACGGAGGGAGAGGGTGGTGGTGGTGGCTACAAGGTGACGGGGCAGAAGATTTGGATTACGTGTGCGCAGGTGGCGCGGAAGATGATGCTGTTGGCGCGCACCACGCCGGTGGAGGAGGTGCGGAAGCCGAGTGAGGGGCTGTCGTTGTTCTGCATCGATTTGGACAGAGCAAAGCCGGGGCTGGACATGCGGAAGATCAGCAAGATGGGCGGCCGCGCGGTCGATGCGAACGAGGTCTTCTTCGACAACTACGAGATAGCGGCGGATACGTTGATCGGCGAGGAGAACAAGGGGTTCAAGGTCATTCTGCACGGCATGAACGCCGAGAGGTGCCTGTTGGCCGGCGAGGCGCTGGGCCTTGGGTACGCGGCGTTGAACAAGGCGGCCGAGTATGCGAGAGAGAGGACCGTTTTCCAGCGCCCGATCGGTAAGAACCAGGCCATCGCGCATCCGCTGGCGGACGCGTACATGAAGCTTGAGGGAGCGAAGCTGGCGACGTATCATGCTGCACGGCTGTTTGACGCAAGCAAGACGGATGACTCCATCACGCCGCACTCACTCGGCGTGGCGTGCAACAGCGCCAAGTACATGGCGGCTGAGGCAGCCTTCACGGCGTGCGAGAGGGCGGTGCTTACCCATGGCGGCATGGGATATGCTGCCGAATATGATGTCGAGCGGTGGTTCAGGGAGTGCTTGGTGCCGCGGATTGCTCCAGTCAGTCGAGAGATGATTCTGAACTACATCAGCGAGAAGGTGCTGGAGCTACCGCGTAGCTATTAGATGGCTTCAACCTTGACCTAGAGAAACACCAGCAGAGGAGGGAGCTGGAGGTAAGTGTAGGCGACTCGCGCCGAGCAAAGACATCGGCTCGGCCGTCTCCGGGTGGCGTCACGGTGGAAGAACCCAGACAATAGTACGTACAGACCGAGAACTCAATTTTCACCATCTATCTGCCTCAACATGCTAACTAGCCGCCTGGAGAACGTCGAGAGCGTGCCTTTGAGCATTGTGCTCGATGCAACGGGCTATCAGCGACTTTACCTCCGCTGTTGTAGCCTGTTAGACGAGTACAGGAGCTAATTAAGGATAGGATCATTAAGGTACTCACTGAGCTCACGCTTTTTGTCGTCTTGGCCTCTGCCGCGAGTGGCCTCCTGCACCCAGTCTGCTCGCTCCTTTCTGCTCTTCTCGTACAGCTGCAGGCGGCGGGGGATGTCTTCCACTGCAGTGCTGGACGGCAGCGTCGTGGCCAATGCGACGGCGTCTTCAATCGCCTGCGCCGCTCCTTGGCCCATGTCTGCATCAACCGTCAGCCATTGCTCCGGGATCGTTCTCAAAGGTGGTCGTACAGGGGAGGAACGGATGCGCCGCATCACCAAGCAGCGCCACGCGCCCATTGACCCACGTGGGGAGCACCTCCATATCCAACAGGCCCCACACCGCCACCGAGCCCTCCGGCGCCTTCCCCAGCATCTTCCTGACCGAAGGCGCGAACCCAGAGAAGGATTCGAGCAGTTTTTCCTTGTTGCCCGATTGGTTCCAGCCTAAAACAGTCAGCACGTCCCGGAAATCCATACTGAACCACGCACACCTGGCTGCATCTCGCCCACCTCCTCCACTGGCACAAATGCCGCGAAATTCATCAACCTCCCGCCCGAGCAGGGATAAAACACGATCCTCCGATCCCCGCCCAACACCTCCGTCAACACGCCCGGTTCCTCTGCAAACATCCTCAACTCCTCGTCGTCCACAAGCGCCTCATACGGCATCAGCCATCGATAGCAACACTTCCCCGACGACCTCGTCGCCACGCGCCTCCCCACCACCGCCTCCCTCACCACCGAATGCACTCCATCCGCCGCGACCACCACATCCGCCCGCATCGTCGCCGCCGCATCGTCGTCGCCGCCCGCCACCCACAGCACCTCCGCCTCGGCGCAGTCCACGCCCTCGACGCGACACCCCGCGCGCCGCCTGAGCGCGGCGTGCAGGTCGGCGCGGTGGACGAGCCAGTAGCCGGCCTGCCACGAGCGCGCCCTCTCGGCCTCGTCGTCGACGGCGACGCGCAGTACCGTCAGCGCCGCGGCGTCGTCGGGCGCCCCGCCGTTGCGCACTGCCACGCCGCCGTACGCGGTGCCGCCGAACCGCTCGGGGTGGATGCCGAGCGAGTTCAGCGGCGCCGTGGCGTTGGGCGCGAGGTGCACCGCGGCGCCGACTTCGCGCGCGAGATGGGACCGTTCGAGGACCTATGCAGGGGGTGGGTGGGTGGGTTAGCTGTCTGGGTTTTGCCGTTTTATAGTGGGCGGATGGGGGGGAGTGAAATGGCGCTGAGGTGTGGGGGAGAGCTGTTTCCTTTTTTTTCGTTTTTCTTTTTTCCCTTCTTGGAAGAGCATACGTACCTCGACCTCGTGGCCTTGCTGGCGCAGCGCGATGGCGGCTGTCAAACCGCCTATGCCGGCGCCGATGACGAGGATCTTTAGGCTTGGGGTTGACATTTTCGGAATTTGTTCGTTTGTTTGTTTGGATAAATGAAGAGCATATATGTGTCGAGAGAGCTAGAAGCTGAAGGTGTTTTGCAGGACTATTTGACCGGTTTTATATCAAAGGATCAGTTCTCCGGGATAGGTTCGGGAGGAAAGGTAGGCCGAAGCCGAGGCCGAAGTCATAGGGGGAGAAAGGACGTTGAATGATGAGTTAAGGTATGATCAGCGGGGCTGACTGGCAAGATAACGTGTGGACCAGTAGGAGACTATTTCGCGGTTTGTTAGAACGGCCATGTATAAACCTGGGACTATCTTCTTGAGCCATACACCTATTATATGTTTTTACCGTTAGGTATTTCCTGCTATGCCAGCCGTACAGCAGCGTGTTGTTTTTCTTCGACCCCATATGAGTCCGCCTCATACTGTTCGAGACGTTTTCAAGCTCGCAGCATGGCCGTCTCGGCATCGTTGGCAAAACTTGTTTTCGGAGCCGCAAAAGCAAACACTGATACACGTTTCACCCTTTTTCACACTCTTGTAAGTAAGGCTGGTCGGCCTTACTTCCAACCCGACCCCCCATACTGCACACCCTTTTCCCATCGTCGGCGACGAACAACGCCGACTTCTCGGTGAATTCGGCCCTCGACTAGCCCGCTTCGGCCGAGGATTCTCGATGCATCAAAGATGACGGTTTAGTCTACGTGATGCTAGAAGTGCTACGCTTTGTAGACAAAACCCCTAATATCAGCCATTTCCCGTCACTGCTTCTTGAGGATTCAATACATCATCTTTATGTTACAGAGGCCTATTTAGATCCCTAAAGAGAAAAAAAAAGTAATCATTGGCCGTTCGCCAGTGGTATCATTCCGAAAAGCAAAGAAACCATGACACCATAAAGCCCATACCGGGTATCGTCCCATCCTTTTTTTTTCTTGTCCATCCAACCAAACTCACGCCTCATCTCGTCTTTATCGTACGCTGTTGTAAGCCCAAGTCTCCGAATGGTCTCTATAGCAGCCCCTCTTTCTACGGCCTGTGCGGTTGACATGCCATCTGGTTTGAACATCGTCTCACACCTCGACCAGCTCACTTCCACTCCGTCTTCAACGTCCACCTACCCCTTCCGTCGCCCCCACTTGGCTTCTCTAGCTTCGCTAGAATCTTCAACATCGCTCTGAACTCTTCCGCCTTTTCCCTTCCCTCGCCAACCTGCCACTGGAATTGCTGCTTGATCATCTCCGTGTACACGACGCCATCGTGGGTGCGCATGAAGTCCCTGATAGCCTTGAACAGCTCCGTGCCCTCCAAGTCCTTTTTGCGATCCGCCGCGGGCCGCGGAGTGTCTCCGCGAGACGAAGACGCCGAGTCGCTGCGAGATGCGCCGTTGTTGAGTGGAGTGGAGGAACGGCCACGCGCAGAAGTAGCAGGCGCGGCACGGCGGGCTGCACTGTTGGCGGTGGGGGCATTGCGACCCTGGCGGACCGAGAGGTGGGAGAGTACGGAGCCAGATGACGGACCTCCACGGCCGCCGCGGCCGCCGCGGAGGGCTCCTCGCATCGTGGCGAAGCGATCTCTTCGAGGCGGAGGGGTGGGTGGACGGCCGGCGGTACCGGCCTCTCCGGTCCAGGTCACTGTGCCGGCTGGCGTGTTTCGAGCAATCTCCGCCGAGCGTGCAAGTTCACGCGCAACTTTTTCGGCATTCTCGCGAGCCATCCTGGAAATTGCTGCTGGATCGGGACCGACAATGTTCCTTTTGCTGTTGGATCCCATGATCGAATCATGCTCGACCGAACTTTGAACGCCGCTGCGGGCGAAAATGGTGGTCATCAGGCGTTCGTCCTTGTTTGAGCCTGCAGGCTGAGCACCAGCTTGTTGCTCTCCATTGCCGGAAGACTTGGCACCAGTCTCCGTTGTCCGGTAATCTTCTCCGCGTTCGATTCCATAGATCTTCGACATCTCTTCATCCGGCTTCGGGCTCTTCTCACGAGCCCCTGTTGGCGAACCAGAGATTCGGGTTTCTGTACCCTGAAAGAGATTTCCGGTCTCCGTTTCATCGTCAGCATTACCGAGCGTAAAGAGGTCGTGCAGATCCTTAAGATGAAACGTCTGGCGCTGCTTTGGGTCCCTCAGAATCTTGTTCGTCAAGAACTGCTTGAAGATCTGGCGATGATAGATTTTCTCTTCGATGCTACCGGCCGTCATGAGGCGATAAATCTCAACCTCGCGCTTCTGTCCGAGACGCCACGCTCGCTCTCGAGCCTGCACGTCCGTGGAAGGGTTCCAGTCTGGATCATATATGATGACCCGATCAGCGCCTGTCAGGTTGACACCAAGACCTCCAACTTTGGTTGTCAGCAGAAAAACATCCAGGCCAGGATCGTTGTTGAACTTGTCAACAAGGTCTTGGCGGGCTTTGATGCTGGTAGATCCGTCCATACGCAAATAGTTGATGTTGCCAAGCTTGTTCATGAACCTCTCGAGGATGTCGAGCATTATCTTGTGTTGGGCGAACAGAAGAGTCTTGTGGCCCTCTCTCTTCCACATTTGAACCAACTCCTTCACTACTTGCATCTTTCCAGACTTGGACCCACTACCGTATCTCGGGTCGGATTTGAACTTCTCCGATTTATGATGGATCAAGTCAGGGTGGTTGCAGACCTTGCGCAGTATGTCGATTCCAAAAAGAGCCTGTCTTTTGCCATCAAGAATTGAATTCATCTCTGACGACCCAAGAAATTCTTCATAAGCCTTCCTCTGGGGTACCGTCAACCGGCAAAACAGGACGCGTTCTGTCTTCTTCGGTAAATCTGCAGCAACATCGACCTTGAAGCGTTGCAGGAGGTAAGGGCTGATGGTTTCCTTCAACACCTCTGCACACCTCATAGCTGTTTCAACTTGGAAGTTTGATGCGTTGGCATATCCACCAAGCTTGATAGGGACCTCAAATGAGGTGCGGAATTCTGGTAGAGTGCCGAGGCGCATTGGATACACAAAATCAAACAATGACCAGAGCTCGTCGAGGTTGTTTTGCATCGGGGTACCGGAGAGAATGAGGCGGTTTGCCGTGCGTAATTCCTTGCAGTAGACGGTGACACGCGAGTCCGGGTTACGAATCTTGTGCCCTTCGTCCAGAACGGCGTACTCCCATTCAGTAGGAATGAGAAACTGGCCATAAGTCGCAAGACCGGAGTAAGTCGTCACCAGAACATGCCCATCAGCCTTGACCTTGTCGACGATTCTCTTTGCAGACTTTTCAGACTTGGTCAGCGGCTTTTTCTTCGATAAGGACCGTGACTCCATATTCTGTTCCATCTGGCTTTCCCTCTTCATATCCATCATGCCACTGCCAGAGCTGTGCAGGATCGACACCCGAAGGGCGGGCCACCAGGTGTGGAATTCCGTCACCCACTGCTTCATCACAGTGGCAGGACACACAACAATCGCTGGCTTGTTGAGTTTGCCAGAATAATGGAGTCCGGCGATGAAGGAGATTGCTTGAACAGTTTTGCCTAGCCCCATCTCATCGCCGATGATTCCACCAACTTGTTGGCTGTACAACTCCCAAAGCCAATGAACTCCAGTCTTCTGGTAGTCGAAAAGGTTGGGATAGATATCACCGGGAACTTTGAAGCCACCATCGAAGTTTGTGTCGGGAATGTGTGGAAGAGCTTGTTGCCATTCTGGCTTTTCGTCATCTTCATCCAGCGGGGGATAGGCGTCAACGGAGCTACGTCTATGCCGAGCCCTGTGACGGGCAGCACTACGCTCCTTCACCCATTTGTTGAGTCGGGATTGGTAATGAGCCTCATTTCCATCGTCGAGATCCGCAAGGTCCTCTTCCCCGTCAGCACCCTCGCCGTCCAGTTTTGCTTTCTCCCTGGGCTTTGCTTGCTTCGGCTTTGTCTTGCGCTTTTGTCCTGGGGTAGTCATGTCGTAGTCGTCATCTTCAACGCCATCGAGTTCTTCGTCAGTTGAGTCAAGAACGGCTAGTTGGCGATCGCTCATTCCAGGATCGTATGCGTCATCTGACTGTGGACTTTCGACACTCGATGCTTCCGGGAGTCCATCATCCTCGTCTGTGGTCTTGACTTTGCGGCGTTTCGCAGATCGTGCGTCCTCCTCGGAGATGGTGGAACCAGTCTCGCTCATCTCTTCGGCAAAACCAGGTCTCTTCAAATTGCGATGAGACACGGAACCCTCGGGGGCGAACGAAGCGTCGAAATCCTCTTCTTCTTGTTCATCTTCATCTTCACCCAGCTCAGCATCAAGAAGCACGTCGCTCACATTTTCAGCAGTTTTCTTCGGAGGGCGAGCCATTCTCGAGAACGGAGTGATCTTGCCGGTGCGTATCAGAAAGTCTCGACGACTCTCGTTCGGTTGTTGACGATTACCACCAACCTCTAATAGGTCGTCGGCGTTGCCATGATGGTGCCTCTCGGCGATGCGGTTTTCGATTTGCTGGACATCGGAAGTCAATGTCTCGATGCGACTCTCCATGTCGGCAACATCCTTCCTGATCTTATTTTTGATGGTGGATCCGCCAGGACCGGCAAGGCGCTCTTCCAGCTTCCTCAGTTGGGTGGTGCAGCGCTGCTTCTCGGTCAAAGCTTTCTGCAGACGCTTGTTGTCGCGCTCGTCAGCTTGCTCCGTGAGCATTTTATCGGCTTGACGGCCGATATCGCGTTCAATGTCATCCTGGTCGCGAACAGTGGTGAGAAACCTCAGCCTGCTCTCCTCATCGCCATCGCCATCGCCATCTGTGTCCAGTTCCTCGGCACCCGATGTCTCCTCCATTTTTCCCTTTCCTTTGCCGATACACGGCACTTGGTCGTCGACTTCGGCGGGGTTTTCGATATCGGATTTGGGTGAGGACAGCGCGCTAGAGAGGCTGCCTCCGTCACTAGGTGACGGGTCCAACATTGCGTTGTGCGGTGCCACGGCTCAGGACAAGGGAAATGGCGCGACCACGAGAGCGGGAACCGGCAGTGGGGATTTCAATGTAGCGGTAACGGTAGAAATGGCGCGTTGTTGAGGTGGTTGGTGAAGTGAGGCACAGCGGGAGTGGATAGCGGAGCCAGCGGCGGTGTCTCGAATGCGCGCGGTGATGGCGACGAGCTGCCGATGACCACGGTATGCGGCGGTGGTCGGGATTCAGAATATGGAAAGGAGCAAGAAAGATGTGCGCAGCAGCAGACGGAGGGAAATGGCAGCACGGGGCATGCCGCGGCGGCAACAATGGAAGCCAAAGTGAGGGCTGCTGCGGTGGCCGATAATGGAAGCGGCGCGGTGATGACCTCATCAGCGGGCCAGGCTCCAGCGCATTCTGCCGCGTCTCACCGCCGTCGAACGCGTGGGCGCGTGCTGCGGCCTCGCTTGTCGCCTCGGACACTTCCCTCCGCTGCCTCCGCTGCCTCCGCTTCTCCGCATTTCCTTGAGGACGTGCTGTCGTAGCCCTGCCACGCTGCTGCGCGTCAGTCTTCTCTCGCGGCACCACCCGTCCATATGAACTGACACCTTTCGACCGGTCGTTTGCCATTCCGGGACATGGCGGCCGACTGATGCGCCGCTCGTCGCTACCGACAATACGCGAAGTCTTGGGTCTCGCGATGCTTCAGTGCGGCTCTCCAGCTTTGCCCCGGGTCACGCGCGTGGCCCGACTCATGCTACAGCTGCAGTCTCCTGATTGATGGAATCTCGCCCGGGTAACATCAGAACAGCCGGTGGATGTGCCACACACGCCACCTTCACACCGGCACGCAGGTACCCCACCACCCCAAGCACCGCCTGATCTTGGCCGCCTGTCCTTCCGCTACGAAACAAGGAACCGCCAGCGAGGCGTATGCCAGCGCCCACACTCATATTCCGTCTCTCGCGAACCGACTGCTGTCTCAGTATCAGTCCATGCCGCGCTCCGATGGGCGTTGGCCCATCCCTTCAAGCTTTGTTCCTGTGGTGCTACCCCGGTCCGTCCACGCGTACGTCAGTGCTACTGTAGGGGTTTACCATGACGGAATGCATTGTGTACGCACGGCTTTGTTACTCTACGGGAAAGACTCTGTACGGAATGGCGCGGGTCGACAAGGTTTCGCGGACCAATGCGCCGAGCCTGTTTCCCCAGTCCTCTCCACGCGGGCGGTGTCCGCCCACCGGGGCCCCTCACTAGCTTTCTTGAACTCGCGTAGATCATTTCCCAGGCCCGAGCTGGTTGTGCTTCTATTTTCGCTGCACGAGTATAAAACCGGGGGGTTGACTGCAGCAATGTGCTCTGCAAGCAATCGCCCCTCCTCAAGATGCGCTTCTCGCTCGCCCTCGCCGCTGCGGCTCTGTCGCACCTTGCGCAGGCCCTCGACCACGTCACCATCTTCACTCCGCCCTCGGACTACATTGTTCCCAGGACACTGTACGCGAGGACCTTGTACCTAGAGCAAGAGGATGCCCTTCTTGCCACCTGGGAAAACTACTCGCCCGAGCCTCCGCTCGTGTGGTATCCTGTCTACCGCTCCGATGACAAAGGCGAGAGCTGGTACGAGCTTTCCAAGGTCAACGACACTGTGAACAACTGGGGAAACCGCTACCAGCCGTTCTTGTACGAGCTTAAGGCTGCTTATGGCGACTACGAAGCGGGCACCATTCTTTTGGCAGGCAACGCGCTTCCCACCGACCTCAACTACACAAAGATTGACATCTATGCCAGCAAGGATAGAGGGTAAGTCGAGTATGCCGCTGGCTTGAACATTGTTGGTCGCTAACTGGTGCAAAGTGTCACTTGGGAGTTTGTCTCGTCAGTCGCCAATGGAGGCCGTGGTCTACCCAACAACGGCGAGACCCCTGTCTGGGAGCCTTTCCTCATGGAATACAACAACCAGATCATCACCTACTACTCGGACCAGCGTGACCCCGATCACGGCCAGAAGCTGGTCCATCAGGTCTCCACCGACCTTGTCAGCTGGGGCGATGTCGTTGACGACGTTGCCTACGAGACCTACGACTGGCGCCCTGGCATGACGACCATTGCTCTTCTACCCAACGGCCAGTACATCCTCACGTACGAGTTCTACGGCGCTGAGGAGGCCAGCTTCGCTGTCTACTACCGCCTGTCGGAAGACCCGCTCCTGTTTGACTCGGCCCCAGGCCAGGTCATCCGCAGTCAAAACGGCACTGTACCCGTGGGTTCTCCGTACGTTGTCTGGACTCCTGCTGGCGGCGAGAACGGTACCATTGTCGTCAGCTGCGGCTCCGACTCGCAAGTCTTCATCAACAGGGCTCTGGGTGATGCCAGCGCTTGGTATGATGTCGACACGGTTGAGACGACTTCGTACTCGCGCAGCCTGACGACGTGGGGTACCGAGGGAGAGATTCTCATTGCAGGCGGCGGTGTCTTGAATGGCGCGAGCAATAGCGTGACGGCCAGTACCGTCAACGTTGCTGTTTGAGCAGGGGTCTATTGGAGAGAAGCCACACACGAGCTGACGTCGTAAATGCAGATAATCAAATAATAATGAAGAGCAAACATTATGCATAGCACTGCCCCACAGGCACCCGCTTACTGTGTACTCCGCACATCCCTTGCAAAGTCTAGACGTTTTGTGACAACTTCGCGTTCGGCGATTGGTAAGGCCCGAAGCAGCTGCGTGCGGGGCAACAAGCAGCTGGCTTAGTAATTGCGGGGCATTGCGTGCTCCCTGACAGATGACGGGACATTTGTATCATCACCAGCTCATATCGCGCGACTTCCGGCTCCACAGTCCTCGGTCGTGACTTTAAAAGAGCCTTTGGGCTCCAATTCCAATCCGCGCACTTGAATTTGGCCAACAAAGTCACTACCTCTCAAGCTCGTATCCAACTTCTTGTCTCACATACTATCCCGCGCAACATGTCCTACCTCTACAGCGACGACACGCCTGCGGACGTGAAGAACGCCAAGGGCCTGCACCTTGTCACTCAGAGCACGCCCAACGGCCAGAAGGTCCAAATCTTCCTGGAGGAACTCGCCCAGGTCTACGGCATTGAATGGACCACAACGCTTATCAACATCGCAACGAATGAGCAAAAGAAGGACTGGTTCCTGCGGCTGGACCCCAACGGCCGCATTCCAATCATTATTGACAACACACAAAACCCACCTTTCCCGGTGCACGAGACATCAGCAGAGCTCCTGTACCTGCTCAAGAAGTACGACAAGGACGATGCCTTTGGCTTCAAGGACGACCTCGAGCGCAGTCAGGCGCTGCAGTGGCTCTTCTTCTGGCACGGTAACTCCCCCTTCTTCCTCACATTCTTCACATGTGCGCACATGGATGCTAATGACGTAAACGAACAGGCAGCGGAGCGCCATACCAGGGCCAGCTGAACCACTTCGGCAAATTTGCCAAAGAGAAGATCCCTTATGCCATCGAGCGCTTCCGCAATGAGACGCTGCGTGTCTACGGCGTACTTGAGATCCACCTGTCGGGCAAGTACAGCGGCGAGCCCCGCGAGTACCTGGCCGGCAAGGGCAAGGGCAAGTACAGCGTCGCGGACATCGGCACCTGGCCGTGGATTGCGAAGTGGGAGTTCAGTGGGCTCACCAAGGAGGACCTGAAGCAGTTCCCACACCTGCTCCAGTGGATCGACAGGATCGCGCAGAGGCCGGCGGTCAAGGCGGGTACGGGCGAGAAGTACCAGCAGAAGTAAGCGCAACAGGGGAACCAACCGCGGAAGAGGAAAGCCGTGTTCTACCATGCGTGCTCTGAACTAGTCAGGCAGGCGGAGGATGCCAAAGTCCTAGCAATGAATCAACGTCATGTTAACAAACACGCACCCCCTCAGCAGAATGACTTTCAGAGCTGGCGATTGATCTTCTGGCGAACAAGAAACCGGCGGATCCCCTTGCATTTGCTTCGCCAAAGCTTACCCAATGCTACCCCTGGGTCCAAGCGTCGGACTCGGTTCGGAGGTCTGAGCAAAGCAAAGCTACTGGTGGAAGAAATGAAGATCCTTGCCTTCCCCACGTCCGGTTAAACCCCACACTTTCCCCAGAAACCCATTTCCTAGGCGCATATGCCATCTATCGTGTTTGCGTATCACGCTATGGCTTGCATATCCCGTCTGCGAGCAGGGTTATCGACTCGTCTCACACCTCAAGATTCTCCCGGCCCACATGTACGAATCCCGGCTTCTGGTAATTCCGCGCATTTGCTGAAATATTGATAAACACGGACGCCCAGGTACTTGGATGAGATTGACATGTCTGTGTTCCTGCTCTCCAACAGAATCGGGCATCCTGAGCTTTCGCTGCCATGGCCGTCTTCGCTTCACTTAAATTGTGCACTCTACTTCTGCTGTCCGCACTCCCAGGCTCTTATGCCTACAGCCGCGCAGACTGTCAGGCGCCCACGGCCAACCCCCTGGATGGTTGCAGCCCCGGAACGCTCCTTGTGAGCGCCAACGGTACCACGACCACCAGCAACACGACTTTCAGTTCGATCCAGTCCGCCATCCTCTCCCTCGGCAACACGACCACACCGGCCACCATCCTCGTGCTGCCGGGCACCTACACCGAGCAAGTCAACATCACGCGTCCCGGGCCCGTCACCCTCCTCGGCCAGACGGCATCGCCCAACAACGCCACCAGCAACGGCGTCACCGTCCTCTGGCGGCAGGCGACGGGCAACGCGGTCAACAGCTTCGACAACGCCTACACGTCTGTGCTGACGGTGGCGCCGACGCTCGAGAGCAGTCTGACCGGCAGCGGGCCGACGGGGCACGCGGTGCCAGCAGACACGCCGTTCGGCAACGCCGATTTCCGCGCGTACAACGTCGACTTCGTGAACGACTATGCGCCGTACTCGGCCGGGCCGAGCCTGGCAATCAGCGTCAGCTACGCGAACGCCGGGTTTTACTACTGCGGGTTCTACAGCTACCAGGACACGGTGGGTAGCCCGGTTAATCCCTCCCCCCACGACGATGGTGAATTGCTGACCTCGACGCCCTCCAGATCTACATCGGCAAGCTCGGCAACGCGTACGTGTACGGCTCGACGATCGCGGGGCAGACGGATTTCCTGTACGGGTTCGGCACGGCGTGGATGCAGTCGTCGCTGCTCTCGCTGCGGTCCTGCGGCGGCGGCATCACGGCGTGGAAGGGCACCAACACGACGTTCGCCAACAAGTACGGCGTCTACGTGCACGGCTCGGAGGTGCGCAAGGCCAACGCGTCGCTCACAGACATTGCCGGCCAGTGCGCGCTCGGGCGGCCGTGGAACGCGCAGCACCGGAGCATCTTCGCCGACACGTACCTGGACGACTCGATCAAGGCCGGCGGGTACATTCCGTGGGGGGCGACGGATCCGAGGACGAACAACTACACCTTCATGGCCGAGTTTGGCGATTTTGGGCCGGGCTGGAACGAGACGGGCAGGAGGGCGGCGAACGTGACGAGGCTGTTGACAGCGGACGAGTATGAGCCGTACGACGCTGTGGAGAAGGTGTTTCAGTGGCCGTTTAGCGGCGAGTTTGGGAATACCGCGTGGATTGACGCGAGCCCGGACGCGTAGGGACGGGAGTGGGTGTTGTTCCACCCCGGCATAATTAGCGGACTATTCATGCGTGAATAGCCAGCTAACACCGCATAATTAGCGGGCTATTCACGCGTAATTAGCCGGCTAATTAGGAGTAGTGGCCTACGGGGTGGAACAGTATGCATCCAGCAATCCTTCCAAAGAAAAAAAAGAAAAAAAGATTCATTTAGCAACGACGACTGCTCCACCATCTTGGCTGACATGAATAAGATGCAAAAAAGGATGATGATGAGGACGAGACTCGAACTCGCGCGGGTTGCCCCACCAGGAAACTCGTTAAGCTATAACCTTAACCTGGCGCCATAACCAACTCGGCCACCTCACCAATGCTTGGCAATCTTGAAGTGGATTGCACCATCCACTGCGCGATAAAGAACCAACTGATTTTGTGCTTTATGTACTCTAAATTAAACGTGCTGGGCGGATCATGCAACAACAAATAACTCGCCAGAACCCCTCACGACAAAGGTTCAGAATGCACATGACGGCTGTATAGTATCATCGCAGGCCCATGGAAGCGGACTATCTACCCAGGACGCGAAGGTCCAGGGCATGCCCGAGTGCTCAGCACGGCTTCCGATTTTCCGGGCGGGAGGAAGCCGGCGGCGACAACGACAACATCAGACCATCCAACTTCATCCGGCCTCCATCGTCGCACATCGTCGCAGCAATTGCTATGGCCAGCTCCCTGATTATGCGGCCCGCACTGGGTCGTCGGTACACTATCTTATCCCTTGCGGTGCTGCTTCGCTGTACGCTGACGACTCGTAAAGCATTGCATCTGTTGCCATCCGCAGACCTCGCGCTTCGCTCTTCCAGTGCCCTCAGCCAGTATTTTTTTTCCCCACCTTTTCTTCCTCGTCGTCTCAGCTAACTCAACCGCGCCCAGGCGCGATTTGTCGCCACACACGCGAGGGGCTCGCAAAACCCCTTGGGAAACGTGAAGGCGGCCTATGATCCGGCCCCAAAGCCGTATGCCGTGACTGTTCTACACGACGCCATCCAGGTGCGGAGTTCCACAACAACCCAGGGAACGCCCATGTAAGACGCGTGCAAATACTAAGTCGAAACACAGTTTGCTAATCCAAGACAGCCCGGCGATTTGGTTAAGGTCCGCACCGCCACACCTCCGTTGCACACGAGAATTGACCGACGGCGTAGAGACTATTGCCGATGCTCTGAATGTGTCCATCCCGAGACGAAACAGCGTCTAGTCGACACCTGGGCGGTACCTCTTACTGCCCTGCACACAGCCAAGCGCCCGCTGACGACAGTCCAGATCCCAGCCGACATCAGCGTTACCGAATGCTCTGAAGTTGGCGACGAAGTTCACGTACTCTGTAAGGATGGAGCACTGCTTCGGCGAATGCATGGGACTGACGAGAGCAGTCAGCGATGGCCACCGCGGTCGCTTCACCAAGCATTTCCTTGTCCAACAAGCGTCTCATAAAGACGCACCCACTCGGATCTGGGGCGCATTCAGGTGCGTCAACCATCATGGCTGCCGCACGCTTCCAAGCTGACCAGCCCCAGGCCGACGCTGTGGGGAAGCTCGATCAAGTCCAGTCCTCCCGAGATAGACTACGAGACGGTCATGCACTCGGACGAGGGCGTCGGCAAGTGGTTGGCACTGATTGTACGCGGCCCTGCTGGTCGAGGCCATGATGATTGCTGACGCACCCCTAGCGGGAATATGGCTTTGCCTATGTCGACGGCTGCCCGCCCACGCCCGAAGCGACCCAGAAGTTGCTGGAGAGGATCTCCTTCATCCGCCACACGCACTATGGTGAGCAGCCGTCATGACTTGCAGGGCGCGGCTGACTGGTCAGGTGGCTTCTGGGACTTTACCTCGGATCTTGCGTCCAAAGACACGGCCTACACTTCGATGGCGCTGGAGGCGCACACGGACAACACGTATTTCAGCGATCCTGCAGGGCTGCAGATGTTCCATTTGCTCTCTCACACCGACGGCGATGGCGGCGCTTCGCTGCTCGTCGACGGATTCAAGGTTGCTATGGAGCTCAAGGAAAAAGAGCCAGAGGCATACCTGCATTTATCCAAAATCTCCTTCTGTGGCCACGCCAGTGGCAACGACGGCATCGTCGTCACCCCTCATCGCTTCTTCCCGGTTTTGCACCACATAGCGGCCGGGAGGAGGCTGATCCAGATCCGGTGGAACGACTCGGACAGAGGGTCATTCCAAGGACGCTTGTCCCTGACCCAACAGTGGTACGATGCGGCTAGGGAGTGGAATAAACTGCTGAAATCGGCTGAGAACGAGTACTGGGAGCAGCTGAAGCCGGGCCGGCCGTTGAGTAAGGCACCTCCCTGCCGTGCTGGCGGCTTCTTTGCTAAATGCACACCACAGTCTTCGACAACTGGCGCGTCCTCCACGGCCGATCAGCATTTACAGGCAAGCGCAGGCTCTGCGGTGGCTACAGTGAGCGCCCCCGCCCATCTTCCTTTGCCCCTGGCTGACACGAAGCAGTCAACAACGACGACTACATGTCCCGGTACAGGACTCTGAACCTGCCGGACGGAGGGAATGTGATCTAGGGATTTGAGGAGGTAGCTAGCTGCGTAGTAGACAGACCAAAAAACATGATGACATAATCGGCGCCAAGCCCGGGCGGGACGGGAGCTCCACGGCTCCACGGCCAAGCACTAAGCGTCAGCGGCCGCAGCTCTGCCTCCAACACCACATCCACCCAGCTTCACCCAACCAACCACTTCGCCCACCCTCCGCGCTCCGTCTCCACCTCCTCTGCTCCACCCGTGCGCCACCGCTTCGCTCACCCCCGCCCCGCCGCCACCATGTCGACGCTGGAGGATCTCGATGACATTGAGCGCTCCGCCAAGGACGACAGGAAGGACGACGGCCAGGATGGCAAGAAGCCCAATCAGCCCGGCGACTCCGAGATGAAGGACGCCGACGACAAGGACGACGACGTGCTGGACGCCGACATCCTCAACTCGAGCACCCGCGACATCGTCGCCCGCCGCCGCCTGCTGGAGAACGACATGCGCATCATGAAGAGCGAGTTCCAGCGGTTAACACACGAGAAGGCCACCATGCACGAGAAGATCAAGGACAACATGGACAAGATCGAGAACAACAGGTACCCCGCCCCTGCTCCCGCTCCCGCCCCAGCACCACGCCTGACCTCAAGCCCCCAGACAATTACCCTACCTCGTCGGCAACGTCGTCGAAATCCTCGATCTCGACGTGACGGCCGAGGCCGCCGAAGAGGGCGCCAACATCGATCTCGACGCCACCCGCGTCGGCAAGTCCGCCGTCATCAAGACCTCGACACGCCAGACCATCTTCCTGCCGCTCATCGGCCTTGTCGACCACGAGAAGCTGAAGCCCGGCGACCTGATCGGCGTCAACAAGGACTCCTACCTGGTCTTGGATACCCTGCCTGCCGAGTACGACAGCAGAGTGAAGGCCATGGAGGTCGATGAGAAGCCGACGGAGAAGTACACGGACGTCGGAGGCCTGGACAAGCAGATCGAGGAGCTGGTCGAGGCCGTCGTTTGGCCCATGAAGGAGGCTGAGCGCTTCAAGAAGATTGGCATCAAGGCACCCAAGGGTAACGTCCTCGCAGCCCCAACATGCCCGTCTCTGCTAACATTGCCTGCCCAGGTGCGCTGATGTACGGTCCCCCCGGTACGGGCAAGACGCTGCTTGCCCGTGCGTGTGCCGCGCAAACCGATGCGACCTTCCTCAAACTCGCCGGCCCACAACTCGTGCAGATGTTCATCGGTGACGGTGCGAAGCTGGTGCGCGACTGCTTCGCCCTGGCCAAGGAGAAGGCCCCCTCCATCATCTTCATCGACGAGCTCGACGCCGTCGGCACCAAGCGGTTCGACTCGGAGAAGTCCGGTGACAGGGAGGTGCAGCGGACCATGCTGGAGCTGCTCAACCAACTCGACGGCTTCGCCTCGGACGACCGCGTCAAGGTCCTCGCCGCCACCAACCGCGTCGACGTGCTCGATCCCGCCCTGCTGCGTTCCGGCCGTCTGGACCGCAAGATCGAATTCCCTCTGCCCAACGAGGAGGCGCGCGCGCAGATCCTCCGCATCCACAGCCGGAAGATGACGGTCGACGACAAGGTCAACTGGCCCGAGCTCGCGCGAAGCACCGACGAGTTCGGCGGCGCCCAGCTCAAGGCCGTCTGCGTCGAGGCGGGCATGATTGCGTTGCGCTCGGGCCAGAACAAGATCAGCCACGAGCACTACGTCGACGCCATCCTCGAGGTGCAGGCCAAGAAGAAGGAGACGATCAACATGTTCGCCTAGACGAGGCTCTTACCCCTTTGGCGGAAGATGATGACGATGGGAGTTTGGTTTGAGCAGGGGAAGATGCCGCATTTTTTCTGGCAGACTATAATAGATGAACGACCTGGCCCCTGTGGCTATTGAATGCAAGACGTACTTTGTCATGAGTAACAAACGTGCCCCAGCCAGAAACTTGTCCGCTAATCTTCCATGGTGCTTACATTTCTCGCGACGAAAGTTGGAGGGAGAGGATGGGCACGTGGCTTTGAAAAAACTACTCTCAACGAAGCAGTTGCACTCCGTTTTGATATGTTGTGAATCTCATATGACGGACTCAATCGGTAGTTACCACCCACGCAAAGTCACCAGTTGCCCCTCACTTCGCCGTCCTCAGCATTCAACAAGTTTTGCACATGCACATGTTCATTATACGCACACTACATACATATATCCTGAGCTAAACAGACCAAATCCACACCAATGCCACCAACGCGAATCGCAACGCACCAAAACCAAAAAAAAAAAAATCCTCAAATATCCAACCTCTCCATGGGCCTCCCCAACCCATCAACATCACCCCCACCACCCTTCCGAGCCCCAGACTCCTCCTCCTCCTCCCTCAGCATACTCGTCCCCACCACCCCCCTGCTGCTGCCGCCGCTGCCGCTACTCCCACAATCCGCCACAACATCCGCCACCTTGACGCACACCCACGCACTCGCATACATGTTGACCCGGTCGACGCACCCGCCGCGTGCCCGCCCGCCGCCGTCACGCGCCCCCACGCGCCGCGCCGCGAAGCCCTCGCGCTCAAAGACGTCGACGTACCACGGCCGCAGCGCCGCGGAGCGCAGGAGCACGCGCCCCCGCGCGCAGAGGGCGCGGTTGAGCGCGCGGATCTGGGTCGTTGCTGGGGATGATGGGGATGGCGATGGCGGTGGAGGGGGCGTGGCGGGGTTTGTTTTTGTTTTTGTCGTTTTTTCTGTTGTGGTGGTGGGGTCCGGGTCGAACCAGTCCATGCTGTCCATGATGACGGCGATGGTGAGGGTCGCGGGGGCCATGCGGGAGAGGACTTCGTTGAGTTCGTCTGTGTGGATGCGGAGGCCGGAGAAGGCGGCGCCGGCGGTGGTGGTGTGAGCAGGAGAAGGGGATGACGGTGCGAATAAGGGGGAGTTGTGGTGGTGATCGGGACGGGGCGAGCTTGCTGGGGAGGTGAAGGGGGAAGAGAGTGGGGACGGGGACGGTGGCGTGGAAGACGACGACGACGAAGACGACTTCTTGGAGAGCTTCATGTGGGCCTTGGGCGTGAGGTAATCAGGGTGCGAGCGGCGGGTGTAGTGGCCCTTGAGGCAGACCATATAGTAGTGGTTGTCGTTGCTGAGCAGGGTGTTGTTGACGACCGGATCGAGCGTGTCCACCGCGTACTGCCAGATGGCATGGCCGGACATGAGGCCACTGGCAAGGGAGCCACCGGTATGGCTTCCTTGCTGCCGCTGCTGGGAAGAAGGCTGCTCCTCGCGGTTCAGCTTGGCATAGTCCTCCTCGATCATGTTCCGCTGGTTGGGCGGCACACCCAGCGCCTTCCACAACCACTTCTCGTTGGCGACGACCGTCCACGCGAGGAGTTTGCTGAGCAACACCTTCCGGATACTACGCTGCCAGATCTCCCGCTGCTCGTTCAGCGTCTCTGCGGCGCACAGCTTTTCGACTTCTTGCTCGAGACCCATGAAGCGCAGCAAATGTCCAACCCATGCAAGCGCGAAACCCGAGCCTCCGGTTGAGTACAGGCCTTTTCCAGAAGGCGAGAATGTCTGCTCCCCGTGCTGCAGCCAGAACTGGAAGGCAAGGCTGGAAAGGTGCGGTGAGAGCTTGCTGATGAGCAGCTCGCGGAAAGACTCATGCTTGCCCTCACCGAACAGCTTCCATACGTCTTCATAGCCTAGAGCAGTGAAAGCGGCCACCTTCAGCTCAAGAAGGTGGTTTTGGTTGGGGCTGTTCAAGACAGTGGTCAGCGTGGGTTCAACAAGGGCGTCTATGGAACCTACTTCAGATCGACAGCGTGGATGCGTTTCGGCTTCTCCAGGGCAAATGACAGGATGTTGTCGCCAGCACTGGTGATGGCCAGTATAACATCGTTTGAGTTGACCTGCAGGAGACGAGCATCGACACGGCTGTCTTCCCATGTGAAGGCATAGATATATTCATTTTTGAACTGGCGGTGCTTTTGCAGCTGGTCGTCGTAGAAGATGCGCCAGTGGTGGTTCTGGTACCAGCTGGATGGGAGGGGCAGGCTGGCGGCGAGGTTGATGACGGCTGATTCGTAGGCCTTACTGCGGAGCTCCACACCGCTATCGCGGCGACCAGAGGTCCTGCTCTGGAGATCAATAGCAGACAGGAAGGGGGACTCGGTGGCGGCGGCGTCGACCTCGGCAAGTTTGGTGTGAGAGGAGCCACTCTCCTTGGAGCAGCCCACCCAGACGTAGTAGGGGATGCGCACGCCGAGGAAGTGGTTGCGGGCGTTGACGTTAAGGACGGTACCGAACTTGTACTCGAGGTAGTCCTGTGCCAGTCAGCTTTAGCCTTCACCCAATCCTGTTTGGTACACACACCCTTCTTGCTGGCTCAAGGTTGACTCTATCGGTCTCGAACCACGTTCTCCAGAACACACGAGAGAGCCACATGCAGTGCCTGTCTATGACGCCTCCGACGTAGTTCCTGCTCTGGAAATCCACTTTGTTCTGAACATAGAAATCAACGACGCCAATTATACCGTTGGAAGATAGCAGAGAGGAGAGAGAGTCGATGACGGGGTAGAACTCGGGGATCATGGACAGGGCGTAGCTCATGGTCACGAGCTCCGCACCCATCGTGTTCGACCTGGGCCCTGGGATGTATTCATGCTGGCTCAAGGGAACGAGAGCTGCCTCATGGGCCGGCTCGTGGTCGGCAAGGCGGAAGGTGCGGGCATCTTGGCAGATGACCTTGACGTTGGTCCAGCCAAGGTGCGCGAAGCGTGCTCGAGCGATGTCGCAGAGGGACGGAGAGAAGTCGACTAGGTATACGGAGCGGAAGAAGTCAGGCACATCAACGAATCTTGCCATCTGCTCAATGTTCCAGCCCGTGCCACCACCGACCTACGCCATGGTCAGCCACGCTCCATCTTATGAATTTCCCTCGTGGTCTGTGCAGGTGCACTCTCAACAGACGAACAAGGAGTCCACCTACATCAACCCAGATGGGCTTGCGTGGGTAGAGCCCAGCATTAACCTTGTGCTGCAACTGGGCAGCGACTAGACCCAGCATGTCTGTGCGGCCGTGGAGGAGCTTGACGCGGGTGGCGTCGTAGACGGAGGCCTGTTGCTTGTAGAAGCTTTCCAGAGCATCTTGCTGGCTGCCGTTGCCGTCACCGGTGTGCGGCTTGAAGAAACAACCCCAGATGAAACGGAGGTAGGCTTCGATGGCGTTTGGTGGACGGGTGGGCTTCTTCCTACCGGGCTTGTCCCAGCGGAAGCCAAGGTATAGAACAAGGGCAAGGAAGGCGACGTAACCAACGAGAAAAAGAGCAACTTGAACATCAGCATTGAACGGAAGGCTAATGCCCGGGAGGACCCCGAGTTCTGCGAGCGTCATGTTGGATGGCGAGGGAGATTGCAGAGAGGATTGTCAAGGCGGGGGTACAGCCAAGGATATATCACGGAAAAAAACACATATAGTCGCGAGGTTGGCGCACATGATGGAACGAAGGCAGAAGACAGAAGGCGTAGGCCACCAATGAGGGCGGGTGGTGGGAAGCACATGTTGAGGCTCTTCTGCGCCGGCACGTCAGGGTCCTAGAGCGACGCAGATCGTGCAGATGGTAGCCGCAAGCAGCGCCCAGGGACGGACCTCTTACAGGCCCTCGTGGCGCCATGTGCACAGGCGCGTGGTGTTGAGGGGCAGCCATGCGCGGCATCGTAGTCTCGATGGTCACGGCTCGGCCAATCAGCAGCTGCGTCGTCAGCACGCCAGCCCGGCGCCGAAGATGCAGCGCCAGAGCCCTTCCGTTTTGTCCCAGTAGTGGCATTATTGCAGTCGGTCGTTTGCCATCTTCTTTGGCCGATCCCTCTTTCGTCCTGGCGGATTGCGCGCGGCTTGTGGTAGTCTACTTGCAGTGGATCATGCTTCCTATCCAGACAGCTGAAGCAAACATCTCGACGTACCTGTGTCAAACCTCCACTGGCCCCAATGAAGAGGACGTGATGCCTGTGACTTGTGGGGGCGGATGCAGATTTTCGAAAAATGGCTGTCGGTTGATTTGATCCAAGCCGGTCTTGTTCATAACTCCGTGTCCATACATACACATACACGCGGCCGCGAACGGCCATGGCGACATTATACCCTCCCGACTCCAAATTATGCTGAGGCTAAGCCAATGGTCGTGTGAGTACAGCGTTCCCTCCGCCACAAAACGCTCGCCCGCTTTCGCTCCGCCTCTCGTTCTCCTCCGTGTGCCGGCTCTCCTACCGCTCATTTGGCGCGAAACTGCTTCTTGCCCACGGTGAAGGGCACGTAGCGGTACTTGATCATATGCTGGATTTGCCTCCGCACTGCGCACTTTGTTAGATGCACCCTCGCTCGCTCGCCTCTGCAAGGGGAGACTTACTCGTCAGGCAGAACAGAATCAACCAGTAGACAACCAGGACGGGCCAGAAGACGGGCAGGTCGAACATGACGAACCAGCTGCAGAAGAAGCCGATGGCGATGGCCTTGGTGGCCGAGTACCAGAACTTGAATTCGGGCAGCCTCCTCACAAACGGCTTGAACTCGTCCTCCTCCTTGGTGGGCAGGCCGCCCGCCGTGCCGTCCTCCATGCCCTCATCCTGCTCCAGCGCCGGGTCGAACTTGGGCGAGATGAAGGCCAGGAACAGGTTCAGGAGGTAGATTCCCAGCGAGTAGGCAACTGCGCCCCGCGTCGTTAGCCTTTGCTTGCAACCGTCATCTGCAGATCCAGCGCTCCCATACCAATATACCAGCCCTGCGCAAACACGATGCGCAGGCCGAAGATGAGGAAGAGCACGCCGGTGCCTACCCAGCGCTGGGTGACGAAGGGCGTCGACTTGTCGAGATAGGCTTGGTAGATCTGGCGGTGCGTCAGCGAGCGCGCCAATGTCAGAGCTTGGGCGATCCGCGACTGGGCTTACCTGGCCGTACTTGGTGGTTTGCGCGCTCACGGCGGCAAAGGGGGTCTCGGGCTCAGGCGCGTCCATGATAGCGCAGGCTGTGGAGAGGCGGCGAGGACTGTCGAGGCGGATGCGCAAATGGCGGGAGCCTAAATGGAAGAGGAAGAAGAGGCGGCGGTATGCCGAGAGTTAAGGCAGGGAGTGGGTGTGGCTGAGCAAGACACGCAACCTTTTTTTTTTCCTCGGAGATGGAAGGATGGCTCAACGGGCGCTGGCGCGACTGCGAACTGCGCGGCTGGTGTTGCGCCTCCCCCAACTTTGGGACAAGTCGCCTGAAAACGATCCGTGCCCCTTGTTGCCTGAGGCTCTGCCTTGCTTTCTGCCTTGCTGCTCAGGCACCAACACGGCTTACTACGTATGACGCAGGGCCACGGCTTCCCTCGGCAATAGCACATGCCTGCAGCTGCGCAGCTGCGCAGCTCCGCCAGAGCTCTCCACCGCTATGCGGCCCCTCTTCTCTCTTTTCTTCTCGCCCCTCTGACAGCCTCCTCCAACATTGACAATGGCTTCCTTCCTCGCGTCCCGGAGACTCGCCTCCCAATTCGTTCGCTCGCCAGCTTTCCCCCGCGTTGTGCGGTGCTACTCGACCGCGCTGCCTTCATATGAGCACATCCAGGTCTCCTCCCCCAAGCCTGGTGTGGGCCTGGGTATGCGCCAGTCTCGCAGCAATGCTTTGACGCCAGTGGTCTAACAATTGCTTTCTCTTCCTCCGCCTTTTAGTGACGCTGAACCGGCCCAAAGCCCTCAACGCCCTCTTCTCGCCGCTCATCGCCGAGCTCAACGACGCGCTGCGCAAGCTCGACGCCGACGCGGACACGGGCGCCATCGTCATCACGGGCTCGGCCAAGGCCTTCGCCGCCGGCGCCGACATCAAGGAGATGAAGGACAAGTCGTTCGCCGACGCCTACGGCCGCGACTTCATCGAGAACTGGTCCGACATGACGGCGCAGATCAAGAAGCCCGTCATCTCGGCCGTCAACGGCTACGCCCTCGGCGGCGGCTGCGAGCTCGCCATGATGGCCGACATCCTGTACTGCTCCCAGGGCGCCACCTTCGGCCAGCCCGAGATCAAGCTCGGCGTCATCCCCGGCGCCGGCGGCTCCCAGCGTCTGACCCGCGCCATCGGCAAGGCCAAGGCCATGGATCTGGTCCTCACCGGCGACAACTTCACGGGCAAGCAGGCGTACGAGTGGGGTCTCGCCGCCAAGGTTTTTGACTCTGCGGACGAGTGCGTCAATGGCGCCATTGACACGGCCGCCAAGATTGCTGGCTACAGCAGGATAGCCGTCAAGGCCGGCAAGGAGGTTGTGAATAAGAGTCAGGACCAGGGTATCAGAGAGGGTGTCGAATTCGAGCGGAGAGTCTTCCACAGCTTGTTTGGCAGCAAGGATCAGAAGATTGGTATGTATTCTCCAAAATGTTTCGTAGACCAGCCAACTGATGAAACTGCAGGAATGGCCGCATTTGCCGAGAAGAGGAAGCCCGAATGGTCGAACGAGTGATTGGGTTAGAATAGTAAACAATCGTAGTGACAATATAGTGTTCATGCAATCATGCAGCAGGGATATCTGGTCTAGATGTGACGTTGTTCCATTGCCGACAATCACAGTCGTGACACAAGGCGATCAAGAAGAAATACTTGTGATTATTACATTGGCGAGAAGCAAGGTCAAATCCTCAGTATGCAGTGATCATTACGTCGTAAGCATCCACCCGCATTCCATCCTTTACTTGGTGTCGCTGGGCTTGCTAGACACAGTGTCTCCAACTTTATCGGTGCCAGCGTTGACGGTGTTTCCAACGCCTTTGACATTGTCAGCCTGAGCTTTCCCTTGGCGCTATCGCAGTTCTACTCACCCTTGGTCGTGTCACCGAGACCCTTCGTCACACCGGTAAGGGTATCGCCGAGACCCTTGCCAACAGTACCGACGGTCTCGCCCAGCGTGTTGGTGACGCCCGAGACGCCCTTTCCAACAGTGCCGGCAGCGCTACCAGCGACGTTGCCTAAGGATCCGAAGATGCCTAATTAGCGTTTAGCAGGTGCTACTAAAGAAAAAAAAAAAGCACCTGCGGGAGAAACGGGGGGTGGTGGCGATGATGGTTGTGTGGTGATGAAGGCGTGCGCACCTGGCTTGTTCTGGTTCTGGTTCTGGTCGGAAGACATTATGTGTTGAGAAGTCGAATGTAAGTTTTGTGTCGTAGTATGGGTTCCGCTGGTTTGGATCCGCTTCGAGAGCAGTACCTGGTTGATTCTGAGGGTGGGATTGGAGATAAGGTACGAAACGGCGGCAGCCAGCGGCTGTTTAATAGGCATCAACGGCGGTGGTCCCCGCGCTCGACGGTTCGCAAGGGGCCCTATGACGTCTGCATGTCTACTACGTAGCCCACAACAACGGTTGCAGACGGACGATCCACCCGCCCCGCGATGCTGATTCGGCGAAGCCACTGCGCCACCGGGGTCTGACGAAACCGCACATCAGCTGCAGCGGCTGGCCATCTACGATCACCAGGCGTGTTCCCTGCAGGGTCCACCGGCTATGTGCTCGACGCCGCTGGGGATATTGCGTCAGATGAGGTAAAGACTCTGTTGTGTCTCACCCGCTATCTGGATTATTATGAGGATCTGGTACTTTCACCAACTCCCTTCCTCTTCCCAGCACCCGTCATCCAACCATGTCTCCGCGCGGACCCCTGATATTCTCCTAGCGCACCCGTAGCTTTCTGCTTGGCTTCCCCCCTCACCCCGCATGACGAAAAGGTCGCGAAGTACGGATAAGAGTCGAGGGCCGTGCGGTGGGAAAAGGACCATGCACAGAGCAAAGCGAGAGACCCGGTACCTTGGGCGCGGGCGGGATGCGTGATGCCGCACTGTCAAAAAAAAGAAACGGGGGGATGCCGTGTTTGGCACTATATCGCAGGAGGATCATCATTAAGAAAAGGGCATCAAAAGAAATGACATCGATAATAAGGTGATGGCCCGGACACATATGATCGCCCAAGCCTAGCGCCCGCTGATAGGACTGCTATAACACCCCGCTAGCCTAGACTTCGCACACTCGACTCGTCTTTGATGCCCTTTGAGTAACGAGGATAACGCCACGACAAAACCATGTCGCAGGTCAGACAGGGCTCGACAACCTTCACACCAGTCATGTGCACTGCGGCCTTGAGATTTTTAGAAGCTCGTATGATTATCTGCGCTCTCCTGTGTACAGCGACAAAGAGGACAATAGGAGGAAAGGAAGATAGGAATCGCAGTGCACCTGCAGAAGTAGCAGCGGTAGTCGTAGGAGAAAGAGAAAACCGTCCGGCCAGCTCTATCAGTCGTCCGTTCATACGTCGCGATCATCAAACCCATTCTGCCTCGTTTTGGTGTGCTTGATCATCCCGACGTTCCGCTGCCTTCCTCCACGAGCCCGCACGAAGGAAAGGAAAGCTCGTAGCAGATCTGGCTGCGAGCGCCCGGTCCGCACATACCTAACAATATCGACAGCCAAACCAAAGGAGCGGGCGGAGCCACGGTGCCGTGTTCCAGCGTGTACGAGTAAAATGCCGCATCGAGCATGTGTGTTTGACCGGCTTGCAACGAAAAGGGCCCTCCAAACCGCTCTTTCCGATCGTGATACTCGCGCAAAAGTCGAATCATTATGAAAAAAAGGAAAATGCCGTCAACGCCGTGGGGTAATGTCCCCGCCATACATGAACGTTCATTGCGCAAACGAAGGAAAAGCAAAAAAGCATTGGGAATTGGAGAAAACACGGAAGCCCTTTCTTTTTGCCCAAACCCTGCCCGAAACCCGAAGAAATGGAGAACTTTTGTCTTAAGACAGCCCACGAAGAGACCCACGCGAAAATGCAGCCCGTTCAGATGCGCAAGCAAACCGAAATCTATGCAACTGATGTAGAAAACGGTCGAACCGAGAAAGTCCGAAGAGGAAGAGCCGCGGTCGGAGAAATCGGATGCCGTTGAATGCAAAAGGAATCTATGCCCCAGCACCTTCCTTCTTCTCGCCGCCTGCCGTGGCTGGCTGGACCTTGCTCGGCTCTGGAGACGCGGCTTCATGGTTGTCATCTCCGGCTTCAAGAGCTGCTAGCGCACTACAACACCGTCAGTTTCTGTACTTTTACGTTCAAGGACCACTTCGGCATTCTTACCTGAACGAGTTCGTGTGCGTAGGCTGGGCATCCTTCTCCTTGACAGGTGGGGTTCCGGTGCGGGAAGAGTTGCCCGAGTCGTCGCCAGTCCTGTTCAAACCGCCACCAGGGCCGAGGTTCCTACGGCCGCTGCTGCTGCGACCGGCAAATAGGGCGGAAGGTCCGAAAGTGCCAGTACCAGAGCTCGAGGTGCGACCAGACGCGTTCTTGGATAGTTTTCTGAGGTCGTCCATGCCCAGAGTGTTGTGCTTGTAGTCCGGCGGGGGCATCATGCCGCCACCAGAGAAGGAGCGAACGTCGCCTCGGCCCATGGCCGGCCGGCCGCCGCCGCCGCCACGGGGCGGGTTGCGTGACCTCTCGAGCTCGGCTTGCTGCTGGGCCTTGAGGGCCTCTTCGTGGATCTCCTGGAGAGTCTTGGGACCCTTGGCATCGTCCTTCGACTTCCAGCCCTTCCTCCTCAATTCCACCAAATCGAGCAGCATGAAGTGCATACGGCTGGGGAGGGCAGGCAGGTCCTTGACCTTCTCGATCCGCTCAAAGTAGGCGCGGATCATCTGGGCACCAGCCTCGCTGGTCTCCATGGTGGCACCAACGGTCCTCAGCAGCTTGACCAACGACTCAATGTTAGACTCGTCAGGGACTCCCTCAAAGTTCAGCAGCCTCATGACACACTCGTGCATGATGCGGACCGTAAGCATGCCGAGCTTGTAGAGCTCGCCAATAAACTGAATGAGACCGAGACCCTTTCTCTTTGCAGCGGCGGCAATGTAGTACTCCTCGCTGAGCATGGCAGCCTCTTCGCTTTCGCCTTCTTTTCTCATGGGAAGATTGGCTTCCCAACCCCGCTCGAAGTCTTCTTGGCAGCGGTTGAGCAGGTACTTGCGGAACAGGTTACCACCAAGGACGGGGTTGCCGTTCTTGTCGCGCACATCCTCATCCTTGATGGCCGGGGACATGGTCTCAAGCATGCGCTTGCAGAACTTGGCGTACATGGAAGCCCAGTGAGCCTCGTCACAAGCTTTCTCAAAGGTGAGCTGGATGACCTGGCGCAGGGTTCTGCCATCGGTCTCGTTCTCGGATTGCTTGGCAATCTCGAGGATCTGATCGGCGATTCTGTCGAATTTCTCGGGAGTCATCTTGTTGAGAGCTGCCTTGACCTTTCTTTGCACAACATCCGGGGTAAGGTTGCCCGCGGCAAGGTTGACTTGAGCAGGCTGCGTAAGACTAGTCGGAACCCAGCCGGTATTCGACCTCTCCAAAGGCGCGATCTCTGCGTTAGCGGTAAGAGGCATGGTCTTCTCCTCATCCCTCCTTGAAGGGTTGCCACGACGGCTCTGCTGCTTGCGACCACTGCCAGAGCGAGGCGAGTTGTTGACTGCAGGAGCATAAGACGAGGCAGAACGACCAGCAAGGGATCCGCCGGGGAAACTGCCAGTGCGAGCACCGCCAAAGTTTGCCATAGGGTTGGCGGAAGAGCTGCGAGAACCCATGCCATTGGAGAGTGCGAACCGATCCTTGGAAGTGGTACCAGGAGGCAGAGTACGGTTGCCGCCGGTCATTGCGAAATTGCCAATAGATCCTCCCGGAAGAGGCATTGTGTTGCGAGAGCCGCGACTGCCCATGCCAGAAGGAGTGCGAGCGGATCCAGGGCGGGCAGAGTCGCCGCCCTCGCCAACCGTTTCCCTGACCTTGTTGTCCCAGTCGACCGAAGGCTTCTCCTTGAAGACTTCCTGGAATTGAAGCAGGAAGTCCTTGTCGTACTTGAAGCCCTTGCCACCACGGCCCTGGTTAAGCGCAGGGTTTGGCGACTTGACACCCTCGGGATATTTGAGATCATCGGCCTGCACTCTCAGGAAGCGGGCAGACTTAAGGGCCTGCATACCGGGAGTAGGTGCCGGAGGCTCGACAGGCTTACGAGTCTCAAGCTTGAGAGCAGCAGGTTTGGGCTTGGCGGCGGCGGCAGCAGCCTTCGAAGCAGGCTGAGCAGGCGGGGGCATGGCCTCCGAAGCAGCTTCAGTGGCGGCAGGTCCAAAGGTCGGCTTCTTGAGGGAAGCGAACAGCTTAGCAGCCTCGGCCTTATCCTCCTCTGTCTGCTCCTTCGACTCGCCACGCTCCTTCGCGAGCTCGCGCTCCTCTGCTTCACGCTCAAGACGCTTCATCTCATCATCGGCCTTCTTGGCAGCCTCTGCGGCCTTGGCCTCAGCCTCTTCTTTCTGCTTCTGCTTCTTCTCTTGGAAAGCCTTCTCGCGCTCTTCTTCCTCACGCTCAGCGGCCTCCATCTCGGCAATTTCGCGCTCGAGGCGCTCGTCTTCTTCCTTACGAAGGCGCTCTTCCTCAGCCTTCTTGGTGGCTTCATCGGCCTGCTTAGCAGCTTCCTCTTCAGCCTCCTTCGCCTTCTTCTCCTCAGCCTCCTTGGCGGCCTGTTCTGCCTCCTTGGCTTTCTGCTCAGCCTCTTCCTTAGCCTTCTTCTCGGCCTCTTCCTTCGCAGCAGCCTCAGCAGCTTCGCGCTCCTTCGCGGCCTTCTCGTCGGCTTCGGCCTTGTCCTTGGCTGCCTGTGCTTCCGCTGCCTCCTTCTCTTCCTTCTCCTTCTTCTCCTTGGTTAACCTCTCCTCTTCATCCTTCCTGCGCCTTTCCTCAGCGAGCTGCTTCTGGAACTGTTCTTGGAATTCCGCCTTCTTCTCCTCGGCAGTCTTCTGTGAAATGCTGTCCGTCCGACCATGCTGAGAATTGGCGCTGGGAGCGCGTGGGGGAGGGGTAGGAGTGGAGGAAACAACGATAGGAGATTTGGAGGGCCCTGGAGCCGGGGAAGAAGACTTCTTCTCAAACGTCACGACCTCACCTTCAGGGTTCTTGATGACAATTCCCTTGCTCTTAGTCCTCGCGGGTATCGTAAAGTTCGAAGAAGGTGCGGGACTGCTAGAGCTCTGAGTAGGTGTGTGTGAGACGTGGCTAGCGGCAGCCATCGACGGCGTTTGAGGGTTTGCCATGGTCGAGGGTGGGCGTTCGGAAACCTGCGAGTTTGTGCGCGACATGCTCTGTGCATGAGGCGCAGCATACTGACCTGGTATGAACGGCTGTGCAGCATGGGGTGCGTGGTTCATGGGGCGAGGACTGGGGGGAGCACCAGTCTGATAAGGCATGCCGGGGTGCATGTATGGAGCGGGTTGGTAGTAGTGGTTGAACTGAGTCGGATCAAGATGCTGAGGCTGCATCCCATAGAAGCCCTGGGCCTTGAGTTCTGTTAGAAAGTCTTCGAAATTGCCGTTTTTCGGATCAATATTTGGAAAAGAAGAAAGTTGGGTCTTGAAGGTGTGCTGAAGTTCAGTCCGAGAGACTGCTAAAAGTGGTGCAGAAGCTGGGGTTGGAATGAAGAGCGAAGGTTCCTGGCTAGTCGTTGGAGTGTCGACTGGCCCGGAAGTGCTGACAAGGGTGGGATTTTTGTTGTTTACATTTGGCTGAAACTGGTGTGGGTACCCAGGGTACCCCGCGTGGGGCATTTGCGGTTGGTTGGCAAACTGCGCCTGTTGCTGCATGGTAGCCGGGGTCAAGGCGGGACTGCGATTCTGGCGGTAGGGTGATCCCATGGGACCGCCCTGACCCTGGAATTGACCAGGCATAGGGCCGCGCATCTGGTTGAGGGGTTGGCGGAACTGCGGGCCCGGAGAGGGCGCGCTGTATCCTCCATTGTAACCCCGACCGCGACCGGCCTGGGGCACGAAGTTGCGGTTCATAGCTGGGTTGCTCATATCGCTGTGTGCAGATTGTGAGGACTCGCGGCGCAAGTGTTGAGCTTGCGGCATTGGCGGTGGGCCCTGTGGGGGCATGGAAACGGGTCGGCCCTATTAAGCATCGAAAATCGTCAGCCTGTGAATCACGGCACAGGGCCACAGCCTTTTGTGGGATAAAGCAGGAACGCAGGTGAGGTGAGTGCAAGTGACGAGAAGGAATAAACAGGCTTTGACAAAGTAACACGAGGCGAGGTGAACATACCGATTGGCCACCATTTTCGCCGCCCATGGATCCAAAGCTCAAGCCGTTGCCCTGGCCCTGCAGACTGGCCGGAGGACGTCCGCCGCTCGCAGGCGGCTGCGGAATGGGTGAAGGAGAGGTGGCAGGCGAGGTGATGCGCGGGTTGGGCGTGCTGTTGGGCAACGCCTGAGGAACGCTGTTGGCAATGGCAGGCGAGCCGCCTGCGTTCATAGAACCGAAGCTGATGTTTGGGCGAGCGTTGGAGCCGTTGGCCATGGGGCCAGAGGTGCCAGCGGCGCTAATGGTCATGGAAGAGGGCTTGCGTCCGTGGGCAGGAGCTCCATTGGCGATCGGCGCAGCGCCGACGGCCGGAACGGCAGGCTGGATTTGACTTTTGCCGTTCACAGAGCCCGTCTTTCCATGCTGTGCAGAGCCCACCGCCACTTGGGGAGTGCTAGAAGCGATCGCGGGAGGCGAACCGGACTTCTTTGTCGCAGCACTGGCGTACGACTTGGCGGCGGGCTGAGCGGCGCCAGCGACAGAGGGCGACGTCGTTCCGGTGGATTGGTTGGAAGCGGCGTTGGCGGTCTGCGCGGCGTTCGTCGTGGGGTTCGTCGCGGGGCTGGAGCTGCTCATTTATCCGTTTGCTGGAGGTTTGAGGCGGACGAGCGGACGGGTGCGATTAAGCGGAGGCGACGGGAGGAGGACTCGGACGATGGCGCGCGAATGTCAAACTCGACGGCCGGGTATTACGGGAGGTCGCTCGGAGCGGAGAGCGGAGAGCGGGGGAGGAAAGGAAACGCTCGACAAAAACCAGCACAGGCGAAGTGAAGGGCGAGGTGTCGTCGGTGCACACCTGCGGCTCGGAAGACACGACGACCGGTGAAAGTGTCGTGGGCGGGTGCTCGCGTCGGATGACGGGGCAGACAAGTTCCAGAGGGGACTCTGCGAAACTGTCAAATGCGGCCGTATACTGCTTGCGCAGAGGGGCCGGCTTTTCTCGGGTGGGAGGTGATGGTTGATGAGAAGATGATGAAAGGGTTTGTGCTGAGCGAGGCACTGGGAAGTTTTTTGAGCGGGCTTGGCATATCTAGGGGCGGCCCGCCCAACACCACGCGCCAGCGCGGCAGCCCGCGAATTGGCACCTCACACCAGCCGTGGTGCGCTGCGCTGAATCAGACGCCGCGGCCTGCACCGCCCAGCCGCGTCCCTCTGCGCAGCGCCCGGTGGGCGTCACGGGTGCAGCCTTCCAATCAATGCGCCCCGGGCGTGCTACATCATCGCGCGCACCGCGCTCGCCCCAAGCATACGGCCCAGAGTCACAGCACGCATGACTGGCGCGGCCGCGCTCATCAGCCTTGCCGGCACGCACCCAATCCTCTGCGCGGCGGGCCAGCCGCACCGTAGCCCGCGCCAGAAGCCCAGCTCGCTGCTCCAGCGCGTCCAGCCGCTGCGCGCGCGTGGTGTGGGCTCACGGCTTTTCGAGCGCGGTCCAGTCGTCAGTGCGCCCGCCAGCGGCCCTCTCTCGCCTGGCGGCGACCGGCCGGGCGAAACAAAGCTGCACCCGCCCACCGAGCAGGACCCGCTGCTGGTGCTGATGCTGTTGAGCGTCGCCGCCCGCGGCCATGCCACATGCTCCAGTCGAGCATCCCCCGGCAAATCCGCCGCTCAACGTCGCAATTGAGCTGTCCTCTCCGCACCGAGCCCAAAGCGTTCCGTCACGTCCTTGGTCCGGTTCGCTCTGTGGTCCCCAAGCCATTGCCACCGTTGGCCACGCTAACTCAAACGGACCACTCAGAGGGAGCTTGGACTTCGCGCGACCTTTCGTGCGCTATCTCCGTCATCCGTCGGACCTCGAGCCTGTGAGCCTGTGAGCCTGTGAGCCTGCTGCTGCTGCCTTGCCCCATCTTCTTCCCTCGTCGCTTGCACGGGATCGCAAACAACTGCTGCCCAGCCCGTCGCGCAACGCCGCCAGCCACGATGCCCACGGCGCTCGTGAGTCACTGTTGGGCGATGCGCAAGCGACTGCGCCCCAGGCCAGCGAAGCAGTCATCGTGTTCATGACACCAAGCTGCAACGGTGTCGTTTGGCACAACAAGAGAAAAATCCCATGTACTGAACAAACTTGGTCTAAGGCAGCCACAGTGGTTGCGGCGATGGATGCTTCTGTGACTCACGTACAGACAGAGGGACGAGCTTATGCCCACCCACGTGTGCCGCCGCCACGTCCAGTCCGTTGCTGCTTTTTCTTGGGAGGATGGCGGAATTTGACATAGGTCGTCGCCCGCACAGTCGCCCGCACAGTCGCCCACTCACTGGTTGCGCGGGATGCCCGCCGTCACGGCGAGGACTTCACCGTCCCCCCCGCAGCCGCTGGATGGCCTGTCCTCAAACGGCAGCTCGGGCCTAGTCGGCGGCCATCGGCTGGGCAGCCATCCCCCCCCTCCCTCTTCCTGACGGCCCACGACAAGGTTCCCACGGAGGTGCTACGTTTTGCGAAGCTGGCGGCAGAAGCGCTCCGCGACTGCCCTCCGGCTTCTTCCCGACGTCCCGACGGATAATGTCGCTGCGTGTGGGCATCGCGAAATGTGGCCAACAAGGCAAGGCCTCCTTGCCCGTGAGACACGTGAAAGTGTCGGGAGGCGAGATGCAAGTAATCGTCCTATAGGCCAAGCGCCCTGTCCATAACACGAGCCGCCACCGCGCGTTTTGGTGCCTGATTGACGAGGCACTTGTACCACCGCACCTCATCCGCTGCGAGGTTGCAAGGTATGCACTGGTCGCGTACTTGGATCCTCTCCGCAAAGCCGCCGCCCAACGTGACGCATGCGGCTGACGACTGGCTGCGAGACAACGGCGCTGCCGCCGCCATCTTCGCCGACGTGAGTTCAAGATTAATGAAGACGCCGTCACCCAGGTCCGGGGTAGCACATCTCACGCCTAGCGTCGTGGCCCCCGGCCTTCAGCCGCAGCCTTCCACACGCCTTCTCGAACGTCCATGTCCCTCGAATTGCTCTCTGAACCGAGTAGACGGCCGTTGACATGATCCTTCAAGCGGATCAATTAATACCAGCCCTACTAATATGCTAAGATCTACGGCACCCGCCGGCCTCGTCACTTCGCCGCCCGTGCCTGAATATAGCTGACGCAGCGCCACACGCTTATTCACCGACAAGAGTCAGCACCCTCAGATAGATAGGCACTCCTGGCCGGGGGTCGTCGTATGTCTGAGCTTGCGAACCATCTTGGCCCACGCCTGATCCCGGCCCTCGACGATCATTGCGTGAAGCTAGGGTTGACGCAGAGTTTAGGGCGCCCTTTCCGAAAACTTGTTCTACTGGCACGTCGCCACCCCTGAACTCAACGCTCTGGACCTTACCGGCTAGGTTTCTTCCCGTTGCCCTCTGTGCTTTGCTGATGGTGAAATCACTCCTGGGGAGGCTTTCAACGTAGAGCCTATGTCCTGCCTCCAACCCTGGTTGTGTTTCATGAATTCGAATCTTCCTCGTTCGCTCTTCACTTCTTCTTGTGTTGCGAAGCACAGGGGCACCAAGGCTAGGACTACTGGGCACAGATCTCCGGCCTGTCTCATCCAAGATTCCTGGATCAGGTACAACTGAGCCGTTCATCGAGTTCTGGCAGCCCCTGTCTTTAGGGGTACAATTTAATCACGTCAACAGGCAGCAATTGATCACTTGGGGCCAAATGAAAAGCTTTGTCGATGTGCATTTCGAAAACAGTGTTCACGTTAAGACACTATTGAGTTATACAGCTTGTAGCCTACAAGGAAAGTCGAGATCAAAATTTGGAAATCCAGTCCAGCCTCCCTACAAAACACCAGTAAATCAAACGCAGTTCGAAAAACGTGGAAAAAACCAATCCGAAATAGTAGTTTCGAAAGCCAGCGGCCTTGTGTGGCGCACCGCGCCATTACAATGGGATAGTGTTGCCACACGAGAAAGAAAATGCATAAAAAATGATCACTTGAAACGAAAAAAAGAACAAAACAAGCAAGAATGACAGAGTGTGAAATGGTGAATGTTGTTACATGGCGCAGGAAAGGGGCTTGAAAAGAAAGATACAAAAAGCCAAAGCTGCAGCCTGAGTGAGCTCAAGAGCTTGAGTGTCGGAAATAAAAGAATAACAGGGGACGCATGCAAGCGCACGCTATGCCCATGGGTAGGCGGATCCACTCTCTGGTGCCTGGATGAAAGTAATGGTGTCTTGTAGGGGAAGAGTAAGGTTGGTCATAACCAAACAAGCCTTCTACCTCGTGGGATCTCCGCGGGTAAGAAGTCCTCCAAAAAATTGCTTTTGTCGAAACATCGAAACTATACGAGATTCAACAGCGTATAGTCTCGATGATAGAGGGCCAAGGAAATTCGTTCCTCGAATCCATACATGTTGAAGACGACCTCTTCTTGATCTTTGACCAGCTCTAGTGCTGGGTGTGATCAACAGGTTCGCCAAAGAAATTCATACGTCGGATCCATGCTGTTCCAGGTCGTGTTTATGACCTGTGCTTGTAACATGCGTATTTGCTGCGTGGCTATGCTGAATAATGGCCACGTCAAGGGAAAGAGCTTGAAGTGCTTTTTTAGTATTGGTGCGGAAGTCCACTGCTTTCGGTCTGCTGACTCGAGCCCTCAACTTCACTGAAGACAGGCGCCGATTGATACTGATCGCTCTGTCCGCTTTGAGGGGCCTGGCCGTATGGAGCATTGTAACCTGGCGAGTTGCTGAACGTAGAGACAGTGTGCGGCGCACTCATCAGAGGAGACTGATTGTACGCGCCAGTCGTGGAAAGTGGGGAGCCTTGATAGTTTGGGAAGGTGGCGGATTGCGGGTTTGACGGGGCAGGGGTTCGGCTGGTCTGATAGTGAGCGCTGTGCTGGGACAGTTCGATGCGGCGAGGCACGGTGCTGGAGAAAGACCGCATGCGCTGTTGCGCACCCGACTGGAAACCAGGAATGTGCGAGTCTAAATAGTGGTCAGCGTTTGCTAGCCGCCTGCCGACTTTCTTTTACTCACAGGAATATCCCAGGCCATACGGAACGTTTGATCCTGGCAAACTGGTGCTGGGAAGGCCGGTAGGAGGCATGCGGTGCTCGCCCATGCTGGTGTTCTCGGCATTCTGGCCTTGTTGAATGTTGGACTGGCTCAGAGTGCCATCGTTGCTGTATGACATGCTCGTCCTCAGGGGAGAGCAAAGAGACTCGGCCCTGGTACGGGCCATACGATCATGCAGCTGCAATCGCGGAACCTGCGGGTATTGCGGATACGGTGGGGGTGCAGGCACACCGCCAACGTACGGGTTCGGTCGGCGTGGGCTGCTCTCCATGGACTGCGAATAAGCAAAAGGGTTCGGCTCGCCAGTTGCGGAAACGGGAGACGAAGTGTCGGTGGCAGACTGGGGAGGCGTAAACGAATAGCCTCCAAACGGTGGAGGCACACCAGCTGGCGCCATCTGCGGGCCCTCAGGGAAACGACGAATGCTGTCTAAGCTCAAAGGCCGGACCATGTTGCCTTCAGGAAAGCTAGGTGAAAAATTTGTGGCAGGCGAAGCCATGGGTGTTCCAACACCATGACCGGCCGAGCCAAAAGGAGAATGTAATGCCTGGGCCATATCGAAATCATCCGGAAGTGCTCTTGACCTCATCATACGCTCGCGATCATCGCTCGTCAAACGCTTGAGCTTAGCTCTCCTATAGAGTCGTCGCAATCAGCAATCTTTCAAGGCTATCTTAGATGGACATCGGTGGTGGATTACCTGTTCTGGAACCACACTTGCACCTGGCGTGGGCTCAATCCTGGAATCTCTCTGGCTAGGCGTTCACGGTGCGCAGCGTCCGGGTGTGCCTGCCTGGCAAACTCACTCATCAAGAATCGAGTTTGGTTGTGCGTAAGCCTGATGGGAGTATTGTCAGCGCGAGTCCAATGATTCAGCAGTAGCGATTGCCAGTTCCACGGCCGACAAGCTGGCTCGAATTATGCAACTTTCCACATGAACATACCTGAATCTCTTCATCTTTCGTTTTTGCGCCCGCAGCTCGGCTGCGGTCATCGGCTTGGAGTCATCGCCCTCGTCGCCACTTGCGGAGAGGGCAGCGTCATTTTCGGCCTCTCTTTGACCCCGTTCTCCCTCCGGAGAGGGTGGCGTCAACCTCGAGACTGGGCTGGCGGGGGCCGAGCCACCATAGGTTACATTCGGCAGAGACGACCGCGGCGACCCTTCCAGGTTGCTGATGGTGATGCGATCTCTCTGGGGCTGTGGAGAGGCAATAGACTGGTCAGAGGCGCCAGGTTGTTGGGGGGCGGAGTGATGTGGCTGGTGGTTCAACATGTAGGGGAAGCTCTTGTGAGTGCGCAGCGGCGGGCGTTTCTGAGCGTCAAGAGAGAGTCCAGATACCTCGGAATATTGCAGGCCCATGGTCCCGTCGTTGGCGTCTCCCGGTTTCGGCCTTTGGCTGTGCCACTCAGACTCAGCGTGAGTCGCGGTGTACGCAGACATTCGCGGCGAGCTGGGTGGTGAGAGCGGTACGGAGAGGATTCCGTCAACCATTGGCAGATTGTGTCTGAGACTTGAACTGGAGAAGTGGTATGGAAAATGAGCTCGAGTGTGGCTGGACACGGAAGCTTGCGGTCAGTCAAGGCAGGTTGGGAGGGCCAAACAAAGAGAGGGCTGCGTACAAGCTGTCTCGATGCAGGATGCCGGGGTGCTCGAGATCGAATGACCAGCGAGCAAGGATGGCAGGCGGGAGCGGCTACAGGCGTCCTGAGCGACCCTTGCAAGTCGCAGGTTTCGTGCAGTGTGCCCCGAGGCGTGCGCTGTTGCAAGCCTTTGCAAGAACTGGGGCTTTGCAGGCGAAAAGCAAGAAAGAACAACCCAATGCGGGGTACGCTTCTGGAAAGACGACTCTCGTGCGGGCTTCCGTGCAACTTCAACACGGCGGCAGCGGCTCGAGCAGTTAGACAGATACGGCGGGCGTTCTCAGCAGGGCGGCCCTTTGGTTTGTGGGATTAATCCGCTCGGCTTTGCTTGGGGGTGGAGGGCCCGATTGCCGGTTCGACGGGCAAGCTGAAGCGAGCTTCCCTGCACGCAGCACGCAGCGCGGCCAAGGTCTTCGCGGTAACGGTGTCAAGTTGACAGGCCGGTGGAGGATTGAGTTTGGCGTAGCTCTGCCCCGGCAGTGAGCGGTGCAAGGCCGTAATGGCGGCGACTAGATATCTGCGATGCTGAATGGCGCGGCGCTCGGCGGCTGGCCAGGGTCCACTGTGGCAGAGTCTGACAGGCACGAGGATACATCAGCGCTTAGCCCTCGCGGCAAGAGGGGCGAGGCCATACCGAGGAGAAGCAACCGTGGGCGGGCGTCGAGGCCGGGTAAATCGAGCGTGTGAAGAATCGAAAACGAAGCAACGATCGGACGGGCTCGCGCCAACAACAGGGCAAGAAACGAAAGCAACAAGCGAAAGAGAAGACGCGGAGGTTACACGGCGCAGGGCATCACTGGAGGGCAGTCAGCAGGCAGCTGTTAAAAAAGTTGGGCGCGCGCAGAGCGGTACCTCGGGACGAACTCCTAGGGGAAAAGAGAGGTGACGCATCAGCGGACCCGCGAATGCTAGGCTTTTGGGACAGACGGGAGGCCAAGCATCTCGCCTTCGACAAGCAGGAGGGTCCGACTACACGGCTCGCTCCAGGACGAACAGGGAGCCAGACGGGTTGCGCCGAAGAGCACAGGTGATCCGTGGCGTGCAGCGCAGGCCTGGACGGCGCAGCAGGCTCATTGGCCTGGGCGAGCACGGGAGCCTCGAGGACCCGCCGCGGTGAAGCAGGGCTCGGCAACGCTTGTTGCGGGGTCTCTGGCCGGCGGGCATGCCAGCTCCAGCTGGGAAGCATCCATGATCCGGGCGGCTGTTCCTGGCCTGCCTGATTCGGGCCCGCCCTCGGTACACGCCCTCTAGTCAGGGCGGGTCGCCAGCGCCGGCAGCGCGAGGGAGATTGCGTCAGGAACAAGAATAACGTGCATCAGCCCTGAAGCCTCGCGCTGCATGAATGTCCGCCTCCTCATCTGCGTGCGCGGTGGGGAGCTCGATTGCCGACCTGGGCTGGCCGCCCGCCCCCCCCGGCTGATGCGCACGCACGATCATTGACTGAAGCGAGCATGCCACGCCAGGCTAGACTTACCGTCGCCGCCGGTACATCATGGACTAGCGGCTCACAGATCTCAACATAGAGATCTCGCGTTTGGGGCGCCCTCGGGCCGCCGCCGACACCGCGCGAGCCGACTCTCCAGACGCAGGCCGCCAGCGCGGGCGCACGTCTATGAGCGGGCCTGTTCGTGTCCGGTGGTTACGAGCGTCATCTCGCGCGTGCAAAAGGCGGCGAGGGAGCGCTGCGGGCACCGCCTTGGCGGCGCCGCCCTGTCGCCACGGAACAGGGGCGAGCAGAGCGGCAGGCGCACCGGGGGCTGGCGGAGGCGTCTGGGGGCGCGTTCTGCTCGACATACGCGCGAGAGCCGGCGACACGGCGGCGAGCGTTGCGGAGGGCTCACGGCTGGCGCGGTGCTTGTGCGCGTGTGGGTGTGGGTGTGGGTGTGCCTGGACCCGGACCTGGGTGTGCCTGGGGGTGTGCCTGGGGGTGTGCCTGGGTGTGCCTTGTCGTGCGCCGCGGCTCCCCGGCTCGGGCGGCGGGCATTGAAAGGCCAGCGGCCAGCGGGCGGCGGCCAGGCAGGCCTAGGAGACAGTGGTGGTTTCGCGGCGGACGGGCGTGTTGCTGAAGCGGGACGGCGACAACGCGGGCAGCAGCGGGCAGCAGCGAGCTCGCGCAGGGCGATGCGGGCCGAGCGAACGAGCAGCCTCGCCTGATCCGGCGCGCTGGCGACTCGCCGGCGGCAGGATGGAAATGAAGGAGCCTCTTCTCCGCCGACGGAAATTATTCTAGGGTACAGTCGCCCGGGGCGCGGCGGTTTGATGTGCTCCAGGGTCGGCTCGCTTGTGGTGGAGGAGGAGGAGTGATTCAGAAAAACGCGGGCATGTTTCATGCTCGGAGACGTGCAGACGACTCGGTCCCGCTTACGCCAACGCCGCGCCCACAATCAGCGGGCAGCAACGGCCGCAGAACAGTAACGGCCGCAGCAGGCGGTCTGGGGCCACCGTGCATGGCACCAGCCGTGCCGTCGTTGCGCGTGGCCACCGCTGCTGTGCGTGTGTAGGCCACATGCCAGCTGCGATGCACGCGCGCCTGCGCGCACGCCCGGCTGCAAGCTTGCTGCCCGCTGCCCGTTGGGGTGCCTGCCCGCCGCTAGACGCCGCCAGCCGCCAAGGAAGCTCAGGACCGCCGGGCCTCTGGCCCTCCAACCTCCAACTCGTTCTCCGCGTCCGCGTGTGCAGGTGGCGGTCGCAAAACGTATCACAGCCGCTGCTCGCGGGCACCGTTGGCCGCCAGCGATGTGGATCGCCCCGGCGGCCACGGCGCCACGATCTCTTTCCAGCACCGCTGCGCTTTGGGCTGAGACACCAACGCGCTGGTGCAAACGACACCACTGACTGGCCCAGCAATCTCGTCTTGCGCAAACCCATCGCGCCCGAGCTGTCATAGCGCCGCCCCCATGTCATAAGATCGCAGTCCGTATCGCTCACCATCCGGGATCGACGTTCTATGAGCATCATTTCGGCAGAATGCGCCGCCCTGCCTGCATGCCTGAGGCGATCGCGAGCGCTCTTGGCTCTGTTTCTACCTCACCGTGCCGTCACTTGACTGCCTTGCTGCTCGGCCCGTTCTTCCTCCTGCATCTGCACCTGTGATGCCGCTTCCGCCACGGACCCGTCAACCTTGCTCTCCGCCGCCTCGGTCGCCGCCCGCTCATCTTTGCCTGCGTCATCGCCGCCTTCAGGCTCGAACAGCGCCTGGAGCTGCTTGCCGTCGTCGATCTTGTCGAATAAGCTTAGCCTGTCCTTGGATGCAACGCGGAGTGCCCTCCACGTTTTGCTTGCTTTAGCCTCCTGCAACCTGTGCTTATCCTCATCCTCCATGGCCATCTCCATGTCTAATTCGTCCTCTTGTATTCCCCTGTGCAGCGACTCGGCCGTAGGAATCGTGTACCTGCATTTGGTTAGCCACGCCCCATCGAAGAAGTCCCTTGCCCGCACTACGTACCTCGACGACTCCTTGAGCCCCTGCAGCCCACTACTGATCGCCGCATCGGATAGAAATGACAGGTTCAACGACCCCAGCACTGACGACTTGAGCCGCTTGTTCGTGCACGCGCGCTGCGCTCCTGCCTTTGCCTCCTGGAATTCGCTGGGGGAGACTGGCGGCTGTGCAATTGGTGGACAGCTCTCCATCTTCCACCGGACCCAATTTTTGTCACGAGAGAGGACCGTGTCCACCATCCGGTAGTAAAATTTGCCGTCCGGTAGAAGCTGGAGGTAGGTCGTGATCGCTGTCCTGGTTTTGGATGCCCATTCGGCCTATGCCTTGCGTCAGAGCGGAAGATCGGATGCCTGTGCGCAGGATGCGCAAAGTAAGATCTACTTACATCTGCAGCACTTAGAGTGTAACTGTACTGAACGGCTCGATTCGGATTGCTCACGGCTGACAACCATTTCTGCGTCTTCTCCTTCGACTTCTCTGTCAATGAGAGTAGGAAATCAAGGAGGACCAGCGCCTGAACCAGTATGTGCCTCTGGAATGCCAGATCGCTGAGCTGAATAGTCGGTTAGTAAATTCATCAATTTGCGGTTCGAAGAGCACAAACCTCTAGCTCGAACAGGTCTCTGCTCGTCAGGTACTTCGGGTTATAGGGACTGGCGAACTCTTCTTCGACGTCTTCGTGCTTCCGTTTTACTCCACGGCCGTCTTCGGCGCCAGTGCTCTCGTCTTTGCCTTCAGTCCTGCCCTCGAGTTTGCTTTCGTTTTTGAGTCCTTCCTTGTCGTCGCTCTTGTCCTGCTTCTTCGTCGGCATGACCTTTGGAACATCCTTGAATTTGGCAATAGTATGTTCGATTCCAGACTTGAACTCGGCAAGATAGTCGCCCGAGAACAGTTTCGGTGGGTTGGAGAAGGCCTGCTGCAAGGTCCAGAAGATGGGATACAGCGTATCGGTGTCTAGTACTCTGCTATCCTTCTTCTGCTCCGCTTTGGCATCATCATCCGCGGCTGCACTCTCAGTAGTGATGGATGGCACTGCCTGTTTCGAATCGGGATCTATGTCCATTCCATCGAGCTTCTCGTCCTTGGAAGATGCTGGCTCATCAAACGCAGTGGCATTCTCGACGTGGAATTCGCCGCGCGAGTTGACCGAGCTTTTGTCGCCGAGAGGGAATGTCTGGAACAGGAAAATGAAGACACGTCCACAGAACACTGCATCCTCAGCACGAGACAGCCGCCGGAGCAGTTCGTTGCAAAAGCGTAGCACAACTATACGCTTGCTGGCGCCAGAGTTTTGGAGAAAGTCGCCCTAGATGAAGCAGGTGAGACTGGTTTCGTGATGAGACTTTTGGGGCATACTCACAGCCACCAAACGCTCCCTCCGAGACTCGAGGTAGTCGAAAACCCGTCTGCATCCATCGATGCTCTGACTGTCAAGCAGCTCTTCAGCGAGATAGAATATGAGCAAGCCATCACACTGGTCTTTGGCACGGTCAGTTTAGCACTTGGGAATAGGACAATCTTCAACGGAGACATACTGCGCTCGCTGCATGTCAAGACTACGTCAAGGAGATTCCAGACATGGACGAACGAAGGATCATCGATCGTGGTCGTTGCCTGTGGCTCTGTCAGTTTGGCCATTTGGGAGTCAAGCAAGGCGCGCGTACCACGAGGTGGTGTAGGAGATTCTTTGCGGCTATTTCTGCGACGGTGTTGTGGGACACCTGATGTTGGATGTTGTCACTCAAGAGAAGTGATTCACCATCCAGCAGATCGGTGGCGGAAATCTGCGGCTCGATAGAATCGCTGGCCTTGATCTTTTGCGCCTTTTCGAGAAGCTCCTTGAAACGGGCGGTTACAGCCTCGACGGAGTCTACAGCGGGGAACACCATGCTGCAAGGTGCTGCGGCAGCTACTTTGCGAGAGTCGGATCAATCTGATGGTGTTGCTGGCTCCGCAGCACGGCCGTCCGTCACGGGGTGACGTTGTGAGGCGGAGCGACTAATTCTGGAGCTGGCGGCTTGGTCGACAGGGATGGGCTGGACCACGGGGCTGCCGGACGCGCCGTTGAACTAAAGCCAATAGCAGTCTAGGTACTGAGGGTGCGAATGCTTCGATGCTAGAGTGTACGCGGGTGTTGCAAGGTTTCGGTGTTGAGCGGTAGGGTCGTTGCGCTTTGCTGCCGCTCATCTTCAACCAAGGTTGGTCAATCGGCGCTTTGCGCTAGGCGCTTCCTAAGCGAGCCCGACGCGTCTCCCAGCAGCGAGACGCGTTCCGCTCAGCGCGTCTGCATTCCAACATCTTTGCGACCGCTTGAAAGCCCACATGCGACACTGAGAACAGCTCCTCTGCCTTCGTACACGTCCATCCGCCTCAAGCAGCTTCACGAATCAAGGACGATCTATTCAACATGACGTCGCCAGCAGCACAACCCCGCTCCGCGCCGGTAGCAGATGATGATCTCGACGACCTGTTCAACTATGACGCGTCCATGGACGACATCTTCAACGAGGTGGATTCCAACTCCAACCGACCCAGCGACGATCGCGCAGGAAAAGCGAGCAAGCAGAACACGGAAACCCTGGGCATCGACGAGGAAGTCACGGTCGCAAAGAAAAGGCAGCCGATTGCGAAACTCGACGAAGCCCGGTCAGTCCCGCGCGAATTTCGCGTGAAGCACAGGTTTCGCTGACGAAGTCCGCAGCCTTCTTTCTGGAGCCGGAATTCCGAGATTGCGCAGGATCTCCAAGGAAAAACTCAGGTTCAAAGGCAAAGGCCACGAGGTCAGACAATTTCTCCGGAATGAGCACGGCTCGCTAACCCTTCTCCCCAGTTTTCGGATGTTGCGCGTCTCCTGAATATGTACCAGCTGTGGCTCGACGACCTTTACCCGAGGGCGAAGTTTGCGGACGGACTGGCCATCATTGAGAAACTCGGACATAAGAAGCGGATGCAAATTATGCGGAGGGAATGGATCAACGAGGGAAACCCCAAGCGATCGGGGGAGGTGGGGACTGAGCTTCAAGGAGAACGGGAGGCTGAAAACACGACAAAGACAGCGGGCACGACCCAGGATGGCGAGCATCAGGAGAGAGAGCCGCGGAGTGACGGTGAGCAACATCAGCCGATGGAAGCACAAACCACACACACGGATGCAGCGCCAAGCCGGTTCGATGGGGAACCTGACGACGATGAGTTGGATGCCCTGCTGATGGCCGACATGCCTGCACCTACGGGGTTGCATGCGCCTTCGAGTCAGACGGCCGATGAACCCGCTGAAGACGAGCTGGATGCTCTGCTTGCTGAAGAAATGAACGGAGCGCCGGGAAGCGCACCCACGGGCGGATCAAGACCGGGACCAGCATCAGGTTATCGCAAATCACCTCGGGAGGCAAACCAGGATGATGAGTTCGCAGATGAGATGGAGGCCATGGAGGGGCTGGAGGATTGGTAGCTGCCGAGGGTGTTTCATCGTTTGCAAAGCGAGGCGTTAGGGGTCATTTCGGAACTGGGATAACGGGATATCCTGTCAAGAGATTGCGCGGCGGCGAAAGAGGCGGTATGGCCTCCTGTACGTTGGTACTTAGCGAAATGCACGGCAGCAGGTGGCTGGGCTTTGGCCGTGAAGAACGCGAAGATAGCGTTGTGTGTCGTCAATTTTATTTTAAGAAAACGTGGCTTGTGTGCTTCTGACGATCGGGCTTATCTTCCATCGGGATGCAATAATAATAATACTGGCGCAATCGCTGTGCACACGCCGCCCTCGGCGCGGGCCAGGCGCGCTCTCGGCCCGCGTTGGTCATTCGGTCGGAAGTTGAAGGATTGTACGGAGTGCCATGTTATTCACGAGCCGCTGCATCAAGGCGTGCCGTCGCGCAAGAAGGCGTCTATAGCGGGCGGAATATCGTATCAGGGCGCCAGAGCTTGTCTGCGAGACAATGATATCGTATCTCATGATTCGTGGTGGCCTTATCGATATGCGGCTGCGACTCGCACAAGCGAGAAGGAGCTGCTGTTGCACATGCGTCATGCTGGCAGCGTTTGCTAGACCGCGACCACAGCGCGTCCAAGCCCACGCCGCCCAGCACCGATTCACCACCGCACGGCTCCTTCGCATCCCACGCATAGCAGCATGGAGGACTTGGCCCAGGCTTTCGAACGCGTCAGCCTTGCGGCCGACTCTGCCGCAGGGAGCAATACTGACTGGATCGACTCGATCCTCGAGGTGCAACGACCTCGCAAACGGACACGGCGAACCAGAGATGAGCTTAAGCAGGAGCTTGAGAAAGAGTTTCTCACCCCTTCGTCTGCGTTCAACACTCAATGGCTCAATGAACTTCAGCAAAGATGGGAAGCGCCTATCAATTATGCCGACCTATTCGAGCTGGCTCCCACGCAGACGCGCACCATCATCCGTTTCACTCGCGAGGGCTTGGAAGGCCTTGTGACGGGCTACAAAGAGATTACGGTTCCTGCAAATAGCGCCACTGCAAAAAATTCGACGTCACTCCTTAGGAAACCCGCCAACAGGGCCGACTTCGTACGCGGTGCTGCCGGCTTCTTCCCTTTCGCGCCCGGCGGTCTGGATGGCGTAGAGGCCGTGGCGGCGGCGGAAGATGGGGTTTTACAGGCCCAGCAAGCAGAAAAAACGAGGAAGCATGGCGGGCTGGACCGCGTCCTAAATTTCGGCGTCGAAGGGGGCCTTCTCGAAATCCCGCCTGGGTTCGCTCGAGGCTTGGATTTCAAGAAGAAAGCCAGCACCGATCAGCAGAATGCAGAGGATGTTGAAATTGCCTTGGGAGAAGAGCCTGCCCCGGTTGAATCAGTAGATGGCATTCCCTCAGAAGACACCGACGGTGTCCAGCCGTCCGCGGGCGACTCTGGCGACGAGGAGAGTGAGAATGATGATGACATTGACTCCCTTCTGCCTGTTGAATTCCCGGCGCTCGCCCCGCGTGGAAACCTTACACTCGCAAGCACTAGGAGGGCCGCCAAGGAGTGGGCCCATATGGTTGATGTCAACCGAGACATTCCTAACTTTAGGGATCTTGTGCCGGACATGGCACGAGAATGGCCATTCGAGTTGGATACTTTCCAGAAGGAAGCTGTGTATCATCTTGAGAACGGGGACTCGGTCTTTGTTGCAGCTCACACTTCGGCTGGCAAGACGGTCGTGGCCGAGTATGCCATCGCACTCGCAGCTAAGCACATGACCAAGGCAATTTACACGTCTCCGATCAAGGCTCTCAGCAACCAGAAATTCAGAGACTTCAGGAATGAGTTTGATGACGTTGGGATTCTTACAGGAGACGTCCAGATCCGCCCTGAGGCCAGCTGTTTGATCATGACGACCGAGATTCTTCGAAGCATGCTATATCGAGGAGCAGACCTTATTCGAGATGTCGAATTCGTCATCTTCGATGAGGTGCACTACGTCAACGACCTCGAGCGTGGAGTTGTGTGGGAAGAAGTCATCATCATGCTCCCAGAGCATGTTACTCTCATTCTTCTTTCTGCGACAGTCCCGAACACGTATGAATTTGCGTCCTGGGTGGGCAGAACCAAGAAGAAGAACATCTACGTTATCTCGACACCGAAACGTCCCGTTCCGCTCGAGCACTACTTGTGGTCGAACAAAGTCATGCACAAGATTGTGGACGCGGATAAACACTTCATTGAGAAAGGTTGGAAAGATGCAAACGACATCCTTTCGGGCAAGGACAAGGTTAAGGCAACTAAGCTTGAGGAGTCTAATGCCTCGCGGGGTGGGGCCAACCAAAGAGGTGGGCGTGGGCAAGACCAGCGCGGCGGCAGGGGCGGCGGCAGGGGCGGCGCTCAACAGAGAGGAGGCGCCCAACAGCGCGGGAGAGGAGGCGCACCGGCACAACGCGGGCGGGGTAACATTGCTCGTACAGGCCGTGGCGGCGGAAGGACGACTGCTGCGCAGGACAGAAACATCTGGGTCCATCTCGTCCAGCACTTGCGCAAAGAAAACCTGCTACCAGCTTGTATCTTCGTCTTCTCGAAGAAACGTTGCGAGGAGAACGCCGATGCGCTTGCAAACTTGGACTTCTGTACCGCTTCGGAAAAAAGCGCCATACACATGGTTATCGAGAAGTCAATTGCCCGCCTTAAACCGGAAGATAGAGTACTCCCTCAAATTAGGAGGCTCCGCGAGTTGCTGAGTCGAGGAATCGCTGTCCACCATGGAGGCATGCTACCCATTGTCAAGGAAGTGGTAGAGATACTCTTTGCGAAGACACTGGTCAAGATCTTGTTCGCAACCGAAACCTTTGCTATGGGTCTCAACCTTCCCACCAGAACTGTGGTTTTCTCCGGCTTCCGGAAACACGATGGCCGCCAATTCCGAGATCTTTTGCCTGGAGAGTATACTCAGATGGCCGGACGAGCTGGTCGTAGAGGACTCGATGCCGTTGGCTCTGTCATCATTGTTGCACCAGGTGCTGAAGAAGCGCCCCCAGCTGCCCGCCTGCGACAGATGATCCTTGGCGATCCGACAAAGCTTCGCTCACAATTTAGGCTTACATACAACATGATACTGAACCTCCTAAGAGTAGAAGCACTGAAGATCGAAGAGATGATCAAGCGCAGTTTCAGCGAGAACGCCACACAAGCCCTGCTTCCCGAACACGAGAAGGCTGTCAAGCTGTCTGAAGCAGATCTTGAAAAGATCAAGCGAGAGCCATGTGAGATTTGCGACGTTGATCTCGAGCTTTGTCACGAAGCTTCCATGAAATATCAGCGTTTGACCAATGAGCTTCACCTCGCGCTCCTTGCCACCCCTGTTGGAAAACGCTTGTTCGACATCAGGCGTCTGGTAATCTACAAGAAGGTGAGTAGGCCTAGACCTTTGACATGGGTGTCTAACTGAAAATTATCCCAAGGACGGCATTCGCGCCGCTGGCATGCTGCTGAGAGATGGCATCAGCAAAGGCCATGAGCCAACGGTGCAGATACTCGAGATCAGCACCAACGCGAAGCGTCAGCCAAGTGACCTGCTGCCTTACCTCTCAGGGTTTACGAAGTTTTTCGCATCATTGCCGCGCAATGCATCGGACACGAAATTGAAGGCAGCATCGATCCTTCTGAGCGACGTAGAGAGCATCACAGCAGCACACATCAAGGTCAATCAGCCCTTCCAATACACCGATTCCATTCATTCCATCAGCAAAAGAAAAGGCAGTGTTAACATTCTCCCTAGATTGACATTGCCGACGTACTGAAGGGTGATTCCGAGGCACTCAAGCTAGCAAGCGACCAGTTCCAACCTCTATGCGAGTCATGGGCCTCCCAAGACTGGAACGAAGTAGACCTGTCGAAATTCATCAAGGACATGACGTATAGAGGCCTTCTCGATGAACGCAACAAGCAGGCTGAGCTTGCTCAGGCACGGACGTGCCTGAAGTGCCCTAGATTCGTCCAGCACGTGAGTCAATCTGGATCTTCCTGCCCTGTCCAGCGACAATGAATGGCCTCTGACCGACTTTTCTGCTTGCAGTTTGCCATGGCGCATGATGAGTGGCTTATCAAGGAGAACATTGCGCAACTGCGTCAGCTTATGTCAGATCAAAACTTGCAGCTCCTTCCGGACTACGAACAACGGATCTCGGTGCTGAAGGACCTTGGATTCATTGACGAGAAATCCAGGGTCGAGCTGAAGGGCAAAGTAGCCTGCGAGGTACCTTCACTTCGTGTCAATGCGATTTCAAATTGTGAGCTGATCATGTGTTCCAGATCCACTCTGCCGACGAACTGGTCCTCACGGAGCTGATCTTGGAGAACGTGCTTGCAGACTTCGAGCCGGAGGAGATCGCAGCGCTGTTGTCTGCCTTTGTCTTCCAGGAAAAGACGGATGTTGCGCCCACGTTGACCCCGAGACTGGAGCAGGGCCAGGCCAAGATCGTCGAGATCTCAGAGAAGGTCAACCAGATCCAGACGCTGCACCAAGTCATCCTTTCTTCGGAGGACTCGAACGACTTCGTCAGTCGGCCGCGTTTCGGCATGGTAGAGGTGGTGTACGAGTGGGCACGTGGCATGTCCTTCAACCGCATTACAGACCTGACGGACGTTATGGAGGGGACAATTGTGCGGGTGATCACGCGGCTGGACGAGACGTGCAGAGAGGTCAAAAATGCGGCACGCATCATTGGTGACCCGACGCTGTACACGAAGATGCAGACGTGTCAGGAGCTGATTAAGCGAGACATTTGCAACGCAGCCAGCTTATACCTGTAAGGGTTGGGGGCGGAAGACAGCGATCTAGGGCGAGAAGGTACATAGCAGATAGCTTAAAAAGTGAACGTCGCCGAGCAGTGGGCTCCTTGCATGGCGCCTCGCACGAGGAGGGATCGGCCACGTCTCACTCAGCGCGAGGCATCCGTGGCTTCGGCAGTCGAAGCGCTAGAGGCGGCACTTCCCCTAGGCAGCAAATAATGGTGCAGACGCGGCAGGCATGAGCAGGCGCCGTGGACGGAGTGCGCGCGAGAAAGCGGCGGGTGGCCCCGTGTGGAGCGCGGCTCAGGCGGCGTGGCGACGGCAGGGCGGGCGGGACGGGCGTCGCTGGCACGCTTTGCGCGGGGCTGGGCCAGGGGCCAGTCGGGCGGCGATCGTGTGGCGAGTGGGCGGCGCAGGGCCCAGGCTGAGACGGCGATCGCGATACACCACGAATGGTGTTGAGGAGAGCGGGCGGAGGGCGCACGGGCCGGCGGCCTTGGCGACCCTGTCGCTGGCAGCGATTTTTGTGCAGCCTGCGGGCATGCCCCTCGGCTTCACCTGTCCACCTCAAACCGAGATTTCCCTCGTGCTTTCTCCCGGTCCACCCTCGACGCCGGGACACATCTCTCGGGGCACACCCACCTGCCTCACCCGCCACCGTGCACGCTCTGTCCGTGTACCCAGTGCTGTCCGCTTCCCTTGCAAAGGCCGTGCCGTCTTTAAGCCGACACCACCGCACGCCTCGAGTCCGGCACGCTTGCCCCAGAGCCCACCATGGACGTAGCTGGCCTACGAAGTCGCATTGCCGCGACTCTCGAATCCAACGCCGACGCCCGTCGCCAGGCCGAAATCGATCTCAAATATGTGCGCCCGCGCCGACGAGCCCCGCTGAGAAATTTTGATTGACATCCGCCTAGGCAGAAGACCAGCCCGGTTTTCCCGACGCTCTGCTGAACATCCTCGAGGCCGAGCAGGAGGCTGGCGTGCGCCTGTCCAGTACGCTGCTCCCATGCTAGTCCCCATGCCGCCCGCTAACCCCCGCCCGCGCAGCCGTCGTTTACCTGAAAAACCGCATAACCAAAGGCTGGTCGCCCGCCGAAGACTACTCGCAGGCAAAGCCCATACCCGAGGAGGAGAAGGCAAACTTCCGCAAGCGCCTTGTGCCCGTCCTCGCCACTTCCGCGCCGCCCATCCGCGCCCAGCTTATCCCCACGCTCCAGAAAATCCTCGCCTTCGACTTCCCTTCCAAGTGGCCCGAATTCCTCGACATCACCCAGCAGCTCCTCAACGCAAATGACGCAAACTCGGTTTTTGCCGGCATCCAGTGCCTGCTCGCCATTTGCCGCATATACCGCTTCAAGGGCAATGAGGACAGGACGGAGTTTGACGGGATCGTGCAGGTTACCTTCCCGCAGCTGCTGAACATCGGCTCGAGGCTCGTCAACGAGACGAGTCTGGAGGCTGGCGAGATGCTGCGGACTATCCTTAAGGTCTACAAGCACGCCATCTACGTCAGTCCCCACTTCTGCGCATTCGCATTCTGTAGCCTGAGAAATGCTGACGTTTGGTAGTTTGAACTACCCGTTCCGCTCCGCGACCAGCAGAGCATGGTTGGCTGGTGCACCCTTTTCCTGAATGTGGTCGCTAAGGAAGCACCCCCGTGTGCCATGTCCGAGGACCTTGAGGAGCGCGAAACGAATCACTGGTGGAAGGCAAAGAAGTGGGCATATGCCAACTTGAACAGGTTATTCGTGAGGTACGCGCGCCCCTCCGTTTCCCGGGCATTCTCTCGTACTCACCCATACCGCGCAGATACGGTAATCCCCAGACCCTTGGAAAGAGCAACGAGATCGATTATTCGGCAGTGGCCAAGAACTTTCTCGAGAACTTTGCTCCGGAGATCCTTAAGGGTTATTTGCAACAGGTCGAGAAATGGGTTGCCAAGACGGCCTGGCTGAGCAAGGCTTGTTTATCCTACACTCTGGCCTTCCTGGACGAGTGCGTTAGGCCCAAGTCCATGTGGAACCACCTGAAGCCTCACCTGGAGGGTCTCATTTCGCATCTTATCTTCCCCGTTCTTTGCCAGTCGGACGAAGACATCGAGTTGTTTGAGACTGATCCTCAGGAGTACTTGCACCGTAAGCTCAACTTTTATGAAGAGGTTTCCTCACCGGACGTTGCCGCAACAAACTTCCTTGTCACCCTCACCAAGGCTCGCAGAAAGCAAACCTTCACCGTCTTGAACTACATCAACAACATCGTCAGCCAGTACGAGTCGGCCCCGGATGACCAGAAGAACCCGCGCCACAAGGAAGGCGCGCTGCGCATGATTGGTACTCTCGCCCCCGTCATCCTTGGAAAGAAGAGCCCGATCGCCGATCAGGTCGAATATTTCTTCGTCCGTCACGTCTTCCCCGAGTTCAGAAGTCCCCACGGTTTCCTTCGTGCTCGCGCCTGTGACACGCTCGAAAAGTTTGAGCAGCTCGATTTCAAGGACCAGAACAACCTTATCGTCATCTACCGCAACATACTGGAATCGATGGCTGATCCTGCTCTCCCGGTCCGTGTCGAGGCTGCTCTCGCTCTTCAGCCACTCATTCGCCACGACGTCATCCGTACTTCCATGCAGCAGAACATTCCTCAGGTCATGCAGCAGCTCCTGAAGCTCGCTAACGAGGTCGATGTCGATGCGCTTGCCAACGTGATGGAGGATTTTGTCGAGGTTTTCGCGGCTGAGCTGACGCCTTTCGCTGTTGCACTGAGCGAGCAGCTGAGGGATACATACCTCCGCATCGTGCGCGAACTGCTCGAGCGGAACCAGCAGAAGGATGACGATGACACTTTTGGAGATTACCTGGACGACAAGAGCATTACTGCTCTTGGTGTTCTGCAGACTATTGGCACGCTTATTCTGACTCTGGAAAGCACGCCGGAGCTGCTTCTGCACCTCGAGACTATTCTCATGCCAGTAATCTCCATCACGCTCGAGAACAAGCTCTATGGTATTTATTTTGCTCCCCATTCACACAACTTTGAGTTTCTGTGGAACTGACCATTGTCCAGACTTGTACAACGAGGTCTTCGAAATCATCGACAGTTGCACGTTCGCGGCGAAGAGTATCTCCACCACGATGTGGCAGGCTTTCGAGTTGATCCACAGGACGTTCAAGGCTGGCGCAGAACTCTACTTGGAAGGTATGTTTGACAGCTGATTCCTGAAAACAAAACTCTCGATCAAATACTTACACCACAAAGATATGCTCCCAGCTTTGGAGAACTTTGTTACCTACGGTTACGAAGCCCTCATTGTTCAACGCCCCTACCTCGAGGCCATCGTTGACATGATTCGCACCATTTTCAAGGACGACAAGGTCGGCGGTGTTGACCGCATTTGCGGCTGCAAGCTCGCCGAGATCCTGATGCTGACGTTGCGCGGGCACATCGACGACTTTATTCCTGAGTTTATCCAGCTCTCCATGCATGTCCTGCTCAACGATGATGCCAAGGTCAAATCCTACCGCATTCACTTGATGGAAATGATCATCAATTGCATCTACTACAACCCCCGTCTTTCTCTACACGTCCTGGAGAGCAACGGCTGGACCAACAAGTTCTTCAGCCTCTGGTTTTCTAACATTGACAGCTTCACGCGGGTCCATGACAAGAAGCTCTCTATTGCTGCCATCGCCGCCCTTCTGACCTTGAATGCCCAGGAGGTTCCCGTTAGCGTGCAGGGCGGCTGGGCTCGTCTCCTCAACGGCATTGTGCGGCTTTTCCAGACGCTTCCTGCTGCCATGAAGAGTAAGCATTCCTTTATGTTCAGGATTTTGTGCCGAACTAACTGATCTCGGCAGACCGGGAAGAAGCCAAGCGCGAGGAGGACTTTAGCTTCAGCCAAGAGTTCGAGGAGGATGAAGAAGATGAGGAGTGGGAGGGTGAAGGGGACTGGGCCAACGAGGGAGAAGAGACTGAGGATATCAAGGATGAGAGCACGGCATACCTTGAGTTCCTCAATGAAGAAGTACGATACGCCGAGCCGGGAAAGACTAGAGCACAGCTAACGATGTTGCAGGCACAGAAGTTCAACGTCATCAGCGATGACGACGATGACGAGCTCGAGGAGGAAAGCTTGCTCGAAACGCCCCTGGACAAGCTTGAGCCCTACAGCCTGTTCAAGACTGCTTTATTGAGTATGCACAACCCCCTTTACTCTCCTGAAGTATCACTAACAGAGAAACAGACTTGCAGCAAGAACAGCCTCAACTGTACGAGACCTTGACTAAAGACCTCAACCCCGAGGAGCAACAAGTTGTCCAAGGTGCAGTCCACCAAGCGGATGTGATCGCCCAGCAGCAGGCCGAACTCGCCAATGGTAACCCGCCGACGATCGCTTAAGTGCCTCCCAACTACCCGGGCATTCAGTGAGCACGTCTTGCAACCATGTCCTAAGGACGCTCGTTGTCCCTCCTCTCAAATTTTTATTTGATGTTCTCGCAGCGCGCATTTCCCCACACCTCGGCGTTTGATAATTCATCCCCTTCTATTTGATTTTGGCGAATCAAGAAAGTTTCTCATTATTGGCATGCGCGGGTGAACGGAACAAAAAAAATGGGGCACACCACTGGAGAGACGGAACTGGATCTAAGCTGATGCTCTGAACTGCGCACAAGACAAGAGCGCGTCGAGTATCGCTTAGGTAAATTATTATTGTATGTAGTTAGGTAGCTATTCCCCTTCGCGACACCGCCTGCAACAGCACCAAACAGCCCCAGATTTCCACATTGAGTGTCACCGTTGTTTTCCTCTCATACAGTCAAAGGTCTACCCGGTCGTTTGAACGTGGCGGCCTATCCTGAAATAGTGTTTCCTTATTGTTCGACATTAGAAGGCTCTTGACCTCGTTCAGACTGTTCGCACAGAACTTCATTTGGGCAAAATAGGATGTTCATGGGAGGAGAGAGAGACCTTGATGACGGAGGACGGTTGCCTGATGGATGGGAAGCACAGCCGGAGTACTGGGAGAACGGATGGCTCATGCTGCTTGGTTTTGATTCAACCTTGAAATAGAATGGAATGGATTCATGTTCCCCCTCACGGAAGTTTTGCTATCTTCGATGGACCTTTTGACTTTCGCCTGAATCGAGCTGTGAGTCAAGCTAGGCGCTGGAGTTACTCCTAGCTGGAAGCTTCAAAGGGACCGAGAGCAGACAACAAAGGGGAGTGCAGAAGAGAACAGACCTTCCGAGCAGGAAGGCGTCGTACTAATGTTTCGACCAGGGAGAAGGAAAGAGATGGAGGAACAAAAGGAAACCTTGCCGAAGAGCCAAGACTACAGCACAGCGGGGACATCCCAAGCCGTCCGCTCCAAAATGCATGCTCGCTCCCTGCTTGTTAGAAGCCGTCGAGGTTCGTCGCAATAATATCTCCTCGGCTTACGCGTGGCAGATGGGTTGCGACAGGTTTCGAAACAACGTCCACGTAATCCGGTCAATCGCCCGGAAAAGAAATTCCATTCTGTGAGAGTTTCATTCGTCGGGCTATCCTTGGCTCCCTTTTCCAACGTGTTTTGCCGTCTGTTTCGATGCCCGTCCCACCGCACCATCGACGACGACCCCGACTCCTGCGGACGGACACGCATGAGCGCCAATGCCGCGTGGTCCGGCGCACAGTCGACTGCACGCGCAAACGGGCTCGAAACAAAGTCTAACTCCGGGATTCGGGGAATGGAGCCGAGGGAAGTCATACGCTCGATGCGAAGGAGAGCAGTAGCTTGGGAAGCGGGAGAGGCAGCAAAAGGAAGCAGCACGTTCCATACGAAGATCACCTCTGTTTCAGAAAGCCGTTGCAAGTTCGTGAATCACAATTTGTTGGCGGAGACGGTGGACAACGGGAGGAAGAAAGTATTCCCAGGGGAGGCGCCAATGCAACGGTATACCCGGGGCTTCGGGCGAACAGGTGGGGTGAAGGCGGAACAATACAGTCAGGAGACGTCTGTTGATTACGTGCAAAAAAACTATAGCTTAGCCCAACCCAGCGCCCTTGGCTTTGGGCTTCTTCGATCGATCGCTCGCTCTTCTAGCAGGAAGATGCTTTTCTTTTCCCCAGTGACATGTCTTTTAGGGGTCGGTGGTTCTCGATCGTTGATGGTGGGTGGCCGCAACAAAGGTTTGACGATCTCGTAAAGGCGACTATCATCACGGCTCGCTAAAGTACTGCGTTTTGGGGGATGATCCTGCGCTTGATTGGTCGTGTGGGTGGGTAGGTGATGCCTCGAGGTAATGTGGGGCCTTCTGGGTCGGGCTGACGTGGGCGGCGTGTGGGTCTCCGACATTGTGCGGGAGCCTTGACCGTATTCGGTGTGTTTTGAGAGCATGGGCTTGGCGTGGTGTTGAGGGGCTTTGCAAGCAGTCCTCGATGGACGTAGAAATTGCAACCTGGTGATCAGGGCGTCTCTTATGGAGATTGCAGAGAGCATTTCACATGATGCGTGAGGGTAGCCTGCAAAGTCTTGCAATGGATCCTATACACCGAAAGACGTGAGGCGATTGTGCAGACGTACATACTATGACTTGTTTGTATGGTTGGGTGCTAACTTATTCGAGTCTCAGAGTTTTGCTGTTGGTCTGTTGCTGTAGAATCGCACAAACAATCATCTGTAGTGTAGGTCTTTAGTTCTCGGTTGTGCGTGCTTAGTCAGACAACAGTCTGATACTAGGAGAATGGTATACCATCCAGTGCAGCATAGACTTATATCAGACCTAAAGGCGGTAGTTCTGAGGGCTCCCCGGTATTTTGCAACACCAAACAATGCCTTCCTATTCTCTCTGTGTTAGATGGCAACTTTAAGATGTCTTGGAATGTTGTCTTGCAAAATCTGCTGGGCTGTCAAAGGTTGGAGCAACAACGCGCGATCGTTGCGCTCGTACTTTTGGGAGCATCATCCGCTCTGCAATCTTGCGCTCTAGTCGAGGTATGGTCGTTTCCCTAGGTCTCGCACGCGCTCATGGAGGACCAAAATCCCTCAACGCTTGCTGTCATGGAGCTCCTGGTAAGGGACGGTCCATAAACGCACAAGGCCGAACTGGTCGCAACTACGATTGAGAAGGGCCGAAAGGGTCGATCTCAGCAGTGTTATCAACGTTGGTCGTTTGGGTCAATTGACAAAGGCGGTGACAGCCTGGCATGGCTGCTTGGCATGGTGTTCAGAGGCAGCGAACGGTCCGTGCAAGGCTTTCGCGGGACAGACCGCTGAAGCGTTGGCTCGAAGTTAATTGCGTCCTGAAGCGACACGGCGTCAGGGAATGGCGCCACGAACATGCAGGCCTCATCACCAAGGGCGCACGTACGTTGCTGCTCGAAGGAGGCCTCGAAACAGTGGCGCAGAGCGGCCTGCTTGGTGAGGCGGTAGATGGGCTATTGGCTACAGCGCCCGGGCTCGCAAGCACGACCGTCTCGGCGTAATAAGTATCTCGAAGAGCGGTTGCCGCGCGACGGCAAAGAAAGGGCTCCGCAGGGCTGTATCTCCGCAGAGGCTTCCGTTCCGATGCGCCAGCACGGTGGCTAATAAGGTGTTCGGAAACTGGGCGGGCGGTCGTCCGTTCCGAGAGCGACGCTCTCCTGGGACGTGACGTCCCGCGTGCCACGTGTGGAGAAACGGCTGCAGCGGTCGGCAGCAACAGAGACGTGCCCAGCCGTGTGCCGACGCAGAGTTGCTTCTTTGACCGTCCGCTGATGACTGACCGGTCTTCGACAGCGAGCTCGCGCGACAAAGGCAAGCCGGAACGCTTATCGGCGATCCCGGTCATAGTCCCGTGCTGTGTATGCTTTCGCGGCATGCACATGGGTGCAGGTGCATGCATGGCAGGAGTGCTGGCATGTGAAGGGGGCTGCTCGTCAGCTACATACAACACTGCAGGCGCCAGGGCGTGCGTCTGCAAAGATAAGGAGGCTGCAAGAGTCGCGCTTAGTGGGAGGACGCATGCAGGGAAGGGAATCCGCATGGAGCGAGGCGCTGGAATGCCACATGTTGGAGAGCGGCGCGGCTGGCTGCTCCCACGGGCGCGACGAAGTAGCCAGAGGTACCGCAACGATCTGGCGGGCTGGCGGTGGCGGGCGGAGCGAGAGGAGCGAGAGGCTGCGTGCTGGAGCTGTGATGTCAGTGTGCCGCTGCCGCGTCTGGCGGGATCGTGAGATGCGAGAGAGGGCGGCTGGCACGCTGAGCATCGCGCGGCCTGACGCAAGTCGAGTCGCTCGCCGCTCGCCGCTCGCCGCCCGCCGCCGCTTCCCGTGATCAGCAGCACGCAGCGCTGGCGGCCAGTGGCCAGGCTGGTCTTCTCCGCACTTGTGTTGCGTGCGCCAAGCGCTTCCAGAAGCTGTCTGTCGTGCCCCGCGATGGCCACGGCCCCGGCGCGTGGCGACGATGGTGGCAGAGAGATCGTTTGCGGCGCGCAGTCGAAGATTCGAGGGCTCTGCACGTGACCTGCGCTGCGAGGGAAGCCCACGTGCGGCAACATGAGGCGACCGAGCCGAAGCGCGGCTCTGTGGGCTGCTGGCTGCAGATCCGCGCCAGTCGCGCAGCGGGTGGCAGGCGCCAGCGACCCCTCCAGCGACCCCTCCAGCGACCCCTCCAGCGACCCCTGGCCGGGCGCGCTGCCGGCCGCTCGTGGCTCGGCCTGCACCTGAGCGTCTACGTCACACCGAGAACCCACACGGCCGCGTTTGCACCTCGACCTCAACCTCTTGCGCGAGCTCGCCGCTCCCACCGCCGTGCGCGAATTTTCGCGGCCGCCTCGCTCGGTACTGTGCCACCGCCGCCGCAGCGCGGACGCGGCCCGCGGGAGCTGGAGCTGCCGGGGTGCCTTCAAACGCGCTGTCGCTCGCGCACACAGATCGAGCTCTCATCACGCAGGGTGGGACGCGTCCCAAGCCTCTGAATCAGTCGATGAGCCGATGCTGTTCCTGCTAACCTCGATCGCGCCTAGCCCGCTGGAGACCACCGCGCTCCACCCCTCGTTCGACCCTCGCAACCGACACATTATTGACAGCCCGCCCGCGCTGGAACACGCTCTGCATCCCCTCAACAACCATTGGGTCCTCTGCGGAGCTCGCCGCCCGCCTTGTGCGTGCATAAGCCTTGGCAGGCACTCGACGGCTGCTTCATCAATAATGCACCAGAGGATCAGGGAATGGCAGACGCCGTCTGAGTAGGAAACGCTCTAAATTTTTTTGTCGGCCGTGAGTCTATCTTTGGATGCGCCATTGTCATGCTGGCGTCACCGACGAGTAAGTGCGAATGCAGCCAAACAAATCTAATAATGCTCTACATATCGTCATTTCAAGGTTCTTCAAGCAACCTAGTCCTCCGCCACGGGTATTATCCGATAGGATACCATCAC